GAAAACGCTAACTAAAACGGTATTAATAGTAAGTCCACAGAATAAAGCCAAGCAAAATTATAGTAAGAACTTTACTCTGGACACGTTAGGGTGAGTGAATGTATGTAGCGCTTTTGAATGCAGAGGTCCGTTTTCAGATACCGAATAGCTAATGATTCAGCTATGTACAGATGGCCTATGCAAAGTCTCTTTTGTACGATATTAAGGGAATATGTGTAGCACTGTGAAGCATTCGTGAGGGTGTGCTCGATATCTAGAGACTACAAGGTGTTCGAGGATGGAGCTGCTATTCTTTTTCTTTTCTCCTCTGGCTCACCAAGTTGGACAATGTTCCAGAATATATTTGTCGACTTGCCGTTCAAACTTCCTGCTGTTAAAATCAAACAAGATATAGTTATGATCCCATTAGGTTTTTATCCAACTATGCTGTCTATTTTATTATTTCTACAATTCTCGCCCCTAATTGCACAATATGTCAGTCTTCTTAGTAAATATAGTGCTACTTTGTTTGAGTTTTGTCCGCCACCCCCTGTGTTTATTACGGTATTTTAATTCCTAATTGTAATTCTGTTAATTTGACGCTTGACTGGAAATAATTCTGGAACTTTCCCACCCATTTATCATAAATACACGAATGTACAGCCCAGCTGATGACTTCGTCGAAAAGAAAATTTTCTTTGCTGCAACCATCTTTTTGTTATTCCAAAAAGATATATAAAAGAGAAACACTTTTTGAAATTATTTCTTCCCTCAGACTTTACTCTAATGTTCACAGCTTCACAAATAAGTTTTTTTAAGCAATGATGGTGAATTTGTGAATCAAATATGACTGCTAAATATTGTAAATATGACCGTAATAAAAAGGATTATACTGATAACAATAGTAATAATAATTATAATAAGATCAATAATAATGAAGTTGGTGATAATAATAATAATAATAAAGACAGCATGATATGATATACGTTCCAGTCATTGAATACGGTCAAAATTTTATAAAAGTTGCGTAATCCTGAAGATGAAGCAGAGCACTGATCAAATTTTAAATCAATCTGAAGAATATATGGAAAAAAGTAAGAAAGAGGGAGAAGTTCTAATTAGTTGACCTATGCCAGTCTTCCGAATTCCCCTAGCGATGTATTATGAAAGATGGGTACAAATTCCTTTCGAAAACGTTTCTTCTATCTGCCTGGTGACCATTATCAACCAAAGTGAGACAGATTAGAGCTTCTAGATTTTAATTGAATTTTAGTATTCCCATTGATTGATTGGACCAAAGTGCTCGGTTTCACTGGGAAATGCAGGTGCATCCAGTTGATGGCTCCTAAATAGGACAAAATGCGCGTCCTGGATTCCGCTTCTAGATTTTGTTTAACCTTTTTTCGAACCATGAAGAAAGGTAGTCCAAAATGCGTTTGGAAAGTGATTTTGTCATTCAATGGAAAGGTGTGCAGAGGAGGTTTAACATTAGGCTTGGAAGAACAGCATATCAGTGTTCTTTTGGCAGAATACGCAAACAGTATCCGGTTGAATTAGATTTTACTTTATGTGCTAAGCTTTTCTAAAGCAGTCATTTGTGAAAGACTATATACCGTGTATTTCATCACTTTAATGTGTGAGAATATTTCCATCAGCCTAAGAATAGTGGTTGATGTTGCATTGTTCACGTAAATAACTACTTCTTTCTTCAGAAAGACTCAGATGACCTCTATCAAGCGTTTTTGTATAAACAGCAAACTTTACGGTTGGTTTATCCTGGCCGGTTTTTCGAAATTTGTACAAAAGTTAATTGACCTTCACAGTGGCAGTTGCCTCACGATTTAAAGCTACTAAATTTTGACATATTTTAAATTTTGTAAAGTCTTTAAGTGAACCATCATATTTCGTTCAAGTATTAATTATGTACAGACACTCACTGAGAAAGCAAACGGATAGAATAAGCGAAAATGTTAGTTTTATAGATATTTAGTTGAATTTACTGGTCATTAGGGACTTGTAGAATTTGTGCGTCCTACACAGAATGAATCAGAAGCACTTGTGTGCATAGTTAGATCTTATAATTTGTTCTGCTTAGTTACACACTTAGATATATCTTGCACTCTCATTATTTCTAGTATGGCATTCCTTTAGCATACTTAACCCTGTTAATATATTTTTTTCAGTTACGTTTTACGTGTTTGGGCCACTCACACTTACTATAATAAAGCTGATGACAATAATCAGTCACGATTGTCACATTTTCGTCATTAACCAAAATCAGTTAGAGAGATCATTAAAAACCAGCTGGGAGTACTCAACAACTGTTTCGTCCTAGTTGGGAACCCTTCATTAGTGCGTATTTACGACCTCACCAGGGGTCGAAGTGAGAACCTTCAGGTTACTAAAGCAAGCTAGTTGGTCATTCAGCAACTTTTCATGGGATTCCATGACCTCTGAATTCTTATTTCGCCGACTGATGACACAGAGCTGCTGCCATGAACGCTTCAGATAAGCATCCATTTCATCTTGATGTGTTAGACACCACTGGTTACGACTTCCAACTAAAGCTTCAGAAAATCCATACAGAGGTTTCGCACTGCCGACGAGTTCCAGAAGAGGAGGCGAAAGGTGTTCAGTGATCCCTAGTTTTCAAAGATCTCTCTAAGTGATGTGTTCGCTCGTAACGAAAATCTAACAAATGTAATTAATCCAAAATCCTCACAAATCCTATTGCCTGAATAAATCAGTCAGATAGATCGAAACAAGTGAAATGGGATTTAAAACATCGATGGACTAATTTAAAGTCAAGTTTATAAGCCTTTAAGCTACCTCTCCATTACATATTCCTTCACAAAATTCAGCAATGTACAACATATTAGTAATGCAGTTTGGAATTCATTTGTATTTTCTAGGCAGAAAAAAGAGACAGGACAAACAGTGGCTCACTACGGACACTTGGAAACTAATAGAAGAGAGAAGGACAGTGAAGCAAAAGATTATCCAGTGCACTGACGAGCAACAAAAACAGGAGCTGAATGCAAGCTACAATACACTGAACAAAAGAGTGAAGAAAAGTGCCAGGGAAGACAAAAGAAAATATTATGAAACCATGGCAAACGAAGCAGAACAAGCTGCAGGCAAAGGAGACCTCGCCACACTCTACCAAACAACTAGGAACCTTTCGGGCAAACGTTCGACACAGATTAAGCCAATAAAGGACGACAATGGAAAGTCAATCACCAAAGAGGTGGAACAGAGAAAGCACTGGGTTGAACACTTCAAAAGACTTCTAAATCGTCCGCCACCTACAACACGTCCAGCAATACCAACAACGGAAGCAGAACTACCAGTGAACACTGACCCCCCGACGAAATCAGAAGTCCTGAATGCAATCAAGATGCTTAAAGCTGGGAAAACACCGGGACCAGATGGAATCCCAGCAGAGGCTTTGAAAATAGACCCAGAGACAACAGCGGACTTGATGACACCACTGCTGGAGAAGGTGTGGAAAGAGGGCAAAGTACCCGAGGATTGGAAGAACAGTTACTTATTCAAACTTCCAAAGAAAGGAGACTTAAGTCAATGTAAAAACTGGCGTGGAATTATGCTTCTGTCCATTCCAAGCAAGATACTAAGTCGCATCATCCTGGAGAGAATCAAACAAGCCCTAGATGAAAAACTTCGTCCGGAACAGGCTGGATTCAGGAGAAACAAATCATGTATTGATCAAATCGCCACTCTACGGATCATCATTGAACAAAGCTTGGAATGGCAGTCACCTCTCTATCTCAACTTCATCGACTTTGAAAAGGCCTTCGACAGCGTCGATCGAGAGGTCATTTGGAAACTACTTCGCTACTACGGGGTCCCATCGACAATTATACACCTCATCCAACAGTTATACGACAATGCTGCATGCCAAGTAATCCACAACGGGAAACTTACGGAAGCCTTCGAAGTGAGGACGGGAGTGAGGCAAGGCTGTCTACTATCACCAATGATCTTCCTGATTGCAATTGATTGGATAATGCGACAGACAACGGCAACCAACGAGGGAACAGGCATAAAATGGACTGACACAAAAGACTTGGAGGATCTGGATTTCGCCGATGATATATGTCTGATTTCCCATAAACTGGAAGATATGCAAGTGAAAAGTAACAAGTTGGCAGAAGAAGCATCAAAGATAGGACTTCACGTGAACATAGATAAAACAGAGATGATGAAGATTCCTAGCCAACATCAACAACACCAACAGACCACAATAAGCATAAATGGGAAGAACCTGAAAGAAACAACCTCCTTCACCTACCTGGGAAGCATCGTCTCAACTACAGGCGGAACTGACGAGGACATCAAAGCCAGAATCGGAAAAGCAAGACAAGCTTTCATTACTCTCAAATCTGTGTGGAGGTCAACAGAGCTCAGCATCAAAAATAAGATCCGGATTTTCAACTCCAATGTGAAGTCAGTGCTACTATACGGATCAGAGACTTGGCGAGTCATAAAGAGCATCTCAAACAAACTTCAAACCTTCATTAACAACTGTCTCCGCTCAATACTCAAGATCAGATGGCCAGAAAAGATCAGCAACAGGGATCTCTGGGAGCGAACCAATCAGGAACCGATTGTGAAACAAATAGGCAGAAAGAAATGGAGATGGATTGGCCATACGCTGAGGAAACCATCAAGTGACATCACTAGACAAGCCCTCGAGTGGAACCCGAAAGGGAGGCGGCGAGTTGGTCGTCCAAGGGTGACTTGGAGGAGGTCATGCGAGGAGGAGATGAAAGCATGTGGACAGACCTGGAGCAGGGTGAAAAAGTTGTCAGAAAACCGAAGTCAATGGAGGTGCGCAGCTGAAGCCCTATGTTCCTCTAGGAACTAAAGGATACAATAATAATATAATAAATGATTACGGTAAACGAAAGTACTTTTCATAAATGTAATTCATTATTGTATAATTATGATTTGTTCTTTCTTCTTATTTTTTGTTGTTGTTTTGAAATCTCTTATTTTAGATGCTTGAGACAAGAGGTGTTGAGAACTTGTTAACTGTACTGAAGGTACAAACAGCTCATAAAAATGCTTTAATTGCTTCAATTTTATTAGCTTATAATGCATGTCCTGCATTTTATACAGCACATGCACCTAAAGTCAAGTATGTTAATATTAATAACCATCATGTTGTGACAAAAATTATTTGTATGGTATTTAATCCTTAAAAAACTGATTCTTAAAAATCATTCTGATGTACGCTAGTAACTGAGCTTCAGGAAGAAGTTCACTAGAGTTCTAGTGAGAAGTCGTAAACAGTGGGATACACCAGGCTGAAAGTGAGGAAAAATACTCGCCAGCCATGACACTGGCTGGTGGTCAAGCTATAATCACGAATTGATAGAAGCCAGAATTCATGGATAATTGATTCGGGTCTCAGTGTCTGAACAGTATACGTGATCGCCTTTTTAACCGGAAGATTGTTGGTTCGAACCCTGGTGGTTGATAAAGACTGCTGATTAGTCGTGAACTACGACGAAACGGCTCTCCAGTACTGCTTTGTTTTCAATGGTTCTCTGACTGACATCATTCCGTGGTCAAACTTGAAATAAAACTAATAATTTCAGTTGTAGATGATGTTGTTGGACTTTAAGTTCTGTAATATTCAAACAAATGTATGGAAATCAAGTGTTAATATACAGTTTAGAAGTTCGTCCATCAGTACGAACTAACAACAATCTGCAGTCAATGTCTCTTGACCAAGCATTCTACACCTATCAACATGATTTAAACCAAAAGTCGATGAATTGATTCTCCAACCTAATCCTTTTTTAGTTAAAATTGTTCGTCAAAGAAGTCAGAGGTTCAGCATATGTAACATAAGTTGTAGCTTCACTAGCCTATTGATTTTCCCTCCATACCTAATACTCCACGCCTAACCACATTGTTAGTAATCATGGGATACTGCCTAATGTGGTAGACTGAATTGACGATGGTCCGAAGTCACCAGATTTCTTTATACGTTCCAGTCTTAACAGTAATGTTTAACAGTCATAAAGTAGAACGAGTCAAGATCGTGCACCGTACACCCATATTCGGATGAACAGTCAGATTTTACCACGACATAAAAGTTAACGCAGGTTAGGAAGTACTAAGGAGGCCTCTTCCATCTGTGGTACGTGTTCTTCAGTCTCCTAGGGCCTGATACAGCTTGCCAAATAAGTCAAGTAGTCTAAGAACTCATTATCTTCGCTCCGTATCCTTAAAGTAGGAGTGAGTGTAAGCCATTCCTGTAATATAATTTTGTAATATGACAGGAGAGTAGCCCCTACGGATGACACTTCAATTTTCCTTGTTTTACGCAGAAAACTTTTCATTTTATCCATTTATTCATCACAAAGGTTCTTATGGTTTGTGTACTTTAAATCAACGAGACGTTTTGTGGTAGAAGCTCAGTCACTATGACATTAAAGTCAGTCAGAGTCACATCTATCAGTATACCTTTAATGAACTTGAATAAAAGCAGAGACAGTAGTTATTCCTGAAGAATATTACTAGTCGCTGACATTTCAGATACACAATTCGCAGTATGTAGTGTTTATTAAATTGGTTTTTTATTACCGCTCAGTATAATACCCTCTAAAATAACAAAGGTGACATTTAACGTTGATTGAACTCTTTTCACTTTTGTGTAAGCACTATCATTAGTGTTGTATTTGAATTGCTTCCGTTTGGAGAGTTAAGCTTGACTACCTTCAGTTGTAGTCAACTAATCAATACTTCAGGTAATGTCAGTAGTAAAAGCAAAGACTTGTAAGGTTGTTAGGCCACAGATGTAATCTAAACGTTGTTTAGGGGGATTTCATTTTCAGAGCTGTTTTTTAAACTATTTCACTAACCTGAAAGGATGAATTGGCCATCTCTGATTTGAATTGCATTTATTATTCTAGCGGTAATCATTGACGCAAAGGAATTTCCATTGCTTTTAGTAATAAACATTACGTGGTGTGAAACTATCCTCTACGTGTTCTCAGTATTATTCTAAATTTTGTGAAGCGTTAACATTCTAGTGTATTATTATTACTATTCCCTTGGGTTTCCTATGGACTATAGTGCTTCAACAACACATCACCCCTGTCTTTTATTCTCTACTGTCCTCTTCAGCTGGCTCCACAATTGCCCATAATCTCTCATCTCCTCCTCGTCTACACAATCTCCTCCATTTCACTCTCTCATGAACTACCCACTCGTCACTTCCCAATGGAATTCCACTAGAGCGGTGGTCTGCACTGAGAGCGATGTCATTCAACCGCCTCTTCATAGTATGCCCTATCCATCTCCAATTTCTCCTGCATATTTGTTGAGCCATCGGCTCTTGCCTGTTGGTTTGTTACCAGCCAGAGTCTCACGTTGTTAATTCTTTCTGGCCGGTTGGCCATCTAATCTTCAGTAGGGAACCAGCGCACCTGTTGACAAAAGTTTGTAAGTTATTGAAAATGCTTTTCAAGACACTCAATGTAAGTTTCTAACCCCTTTAGAAGAACTGACCGATTTCAAATTTGTGTTGAAAACCCGAATTTCGTTCTTCTCACTGGACGGAGTGCAGAAGATTTCCAAAAACTGGTTTCAGGTTAATGAAGCCATATCTTGCTTTTATTGTTTTAGTTTAGTGATGTTGAAAGTTTATGTATTAATTTCCATGCCACTCAACAAGAACGGATAACTTTTCAGTCGCCTTTTTCATTGATTGAAAGTAAAGGTCTATTATATATGTGTAATGAAAAAATAAACACAGTATCTTACTGTTAAAACACACCTCATTTAGATTCGTATAACATAAAGTCATACATATCCTTTTTGCACTAAATATTAAACTGCTTATCTATAATTGTTTCATAAAACTTCGTTAATAGCAAGCAAAGATACAATTATGCCTTATCTAAGTTTTTACTTTACTATTTTAGGAATGGTGTAATTCATTCTATTAACACTGGAGTTAATTTAATGAGTTATAATGGACTAAGTGGTACACAAGTTGGGCCTACTCCATTGGCACTTGAAAGGTCAACACATCAAATGAATGCAGATTATCATCCAGAGGCTTATTTCTCTATACAACTTGAAAAGGTAAATCATGAAATTATATATCTGATTTTATTGTTGTTCTTGTTGTCGATTACTTACTTCATAAATCCGGTGTTTTAACAAAATATTCGAATCTCATAGATATTTTTTCTATTTTTATTTTTTTATTATTTTTATTTTTGATTTACAGCTTGATTCCACACTGTATTTTCGGTACAAGTATGGAATTTTCAGCATAGATATCGGTAGCCCAAATTCGCAGGCCGACCATTGACATCAGGTGTGCGTCGGTGCGGGCTCGAACCCCGGACCATGTGCATGGTCGGCGAGAGTCCTCACCACTGTGCCACCGACGCAGGTTATTAAAAATCTCTTTATTAACAAGGCTAGATGCCTATTATCACCGATGATATTCTTAATTGTTGTGGACTGGGTTATGCGTCAGATTGTGCGTGGGGAGCAAGAAGGCAGCTATACTGTTATGTACTCGTCGCTAAATTGTTATGGACTGGTCGAGAAAACTAATAGTCCTGACGCAAGAAGGCGGAAATCAGAAGACCACTAGGTTTGCGATGATACTTCTATTTTCTAAACACAAGGAGAAGCAATAAGTGGTATCACACCAAAGTAAGTAAGTAAAAGTAGTTCACACAAATTGTGTGAGCGAAATATATATGACAAGGGTGTAAACAATCATTAGACAGTCTTAACATGAATGGCTAATTATAATGAAGTATCGATCCACATATACATAGCGAAATATATCAGACATGTCAACAACCACCATATATGGATATATGTCACCAAGCAACGGACTGTCAACCAACACTCATATTATATATAATATAAGGAGAATACACATTATTAAAGGAGACAAGTTCATACAAGTGAAGTGGTCACAGACTAAGCGAGCAAACAGAAAGAGAGACCAACATACACACACATAAATATATATATGTGGATACATATCATATACACTGGACAAATAAGAAGATATTAGAAGATCTGAATTTCGCAGGCGATAATTGTTTAATGTCACAGAAGCACAGACTTAAAGACGAAAACCAACAAACTGGCTGCAAACGCTGGCAGCGAAGACAGGACAGCATTGCAGGTGAGCATAGAGAAGACGGAGGTGATGAAAATAACCAACCAACCAACCACTGACAACAATATCCAACACCAATCATTATCAAAAGAATAAATTTCAAAGAGGTTACTTCCTTCACTTATCTAGGAAGCACAATCTCAACCACAGGCAGTTGGAATGGATGATGTCAAAGTCAAACAGAAGCGAAAAGGCAAGATATGCCTTCATTAACCCTGAAATCTGCACTCAGCCAGCATAAAGAACAATATTCAGATTTTCAGTACAAATGTAAAGCCAGTCAATTCTTCTATATGGGTCAGAAACTTGCACTGTGTGTCATGAAAAACATTTCCAACAAGTTACAGACTTTCATCAACAGCTGCTCAAATCTCTGGCTGACTCCATATACTGAATGAAGATTAAATAGCCGACCAGCCGGAAAGAAAGAATTAACAATAAGAAACTCTGGCTGGGAACAAACCAACAGGCGAGAGCCGATTACTTAACAAATATGTCGGAGGAAATGGAGATGAACCGAGCATAAGTTGAGGGAATCGTCGAATATCATAACTCGAGTAGAATCCAAATGGAAAGCAACGAGTGGATTGTCGGTTCGAGGGTGACATAGAGGAGATTGTATGGCGAGGTGTAGATGAGAGATTATGGAGAGTTGTGAAGGCAGCCAAAGAGGAGAGCAGAAAATAGGACAAAGTGGAAATGTGTTGTTGAAGCCCTATGTTCCATTTGGAACCCAAGGGAATAATAATAAATTAAAGTCATTCTGACCTTAGACTAACTGCTAGAATAGCTCATTCTGTGATGCTATTGGACAGAGATTTGATCCCACATTGCTGGGCATATTCTACTTGATTCTTAAGTTCTTTTTACAGTTGATTCTTGATTAATTTATTTTATCCTACAATGTTTATTTTGTACTACAAACTTATCTGATTTGTATAGCTGCCTAACGGTAACGTTGAGGTAATTTCTAGTCCTTCATGTCAATACTTTTGAATAGAAGCGCATAGATATTATTATATTATTATTATTGTATCCTTTAGTTCCTAGAGGAACATAGGGCTTCAGCTGCACACCTCCAGTGACTTCGGTTTTCTGACAACTTTTTCACCCTGCTCCAGGTCTGTCCACATGCCTTCATCTCCTCCTCGCATGACCTCCTCCAAGTCACCCTTGGACGACCAACTCGCCGCCTCCCTTTCGGGTTCCACTCGAGGGCTTGTCTAGTGATGTCACTTGATGGTTTCCTCAGCGTATGGCCAATCCATCTCCATTTCTTTCTGCCTATTTGTTTCACAATCGGTTCCTGATTGGTTCGCTCCCAGAGATCCCTGTTGCTGATCTTTTCTGGCTGGCCATCTGATCTTGAGTATTGAGCGGAGACAGTTGTTAATGAAGGTTTGAAGTTTGTTTGAGATGCTCTTTATGACTCGCCAAGTCTCTGATCCGTATAGTAGCACTGACTTCACATTGGAGTTGAAAATCCGGATCTTATTTTTGATGCTGATTGCTGTTGACCTCCACACAGATTTGAGAGTAATGAAAGCTTGTCTTGCTTTTCCGATTCTGGCTTTGATGTCCTCGTCAGTTCCGCCTGTAGTTGAGACGATGCTTCCCAGGTAGGTGAAGGAGGTTGTTTATTTCAGGTTCCTCCCATTTATGCTGATTGTTGTCTGTTGTTGTTGCTGTTGATGTTGGCTAGGAATCTTCATCACCTTTGTTTTCTCTATGTTCACCTGAAGTCCTATCTTCTCTGGATGCTTCTTCTGTCAACTTGTTACTTTTCACTTGCATATCTTCGAGTTTATGGGAAATCAGACATATATCATCGGCGAAATCCAGATCCTCCAAGTCTTTTGTGTCAGTCCATTTTATGCCTGTTCCCTCGTTGGTTGCCGTTGTCTGTCGCATTATCCAATCAATTGCAATCAGGAAGATCATTGGTGATAGTAGACAGCCTTGCCTCACTCCCGTCCTCACTTCGAAGGCTTCCGTAAGTTTCCCGTTGTGGATTACTTGGCATGCAGCATTTTCGTATAACTGTTGGATGAGGTGTATAATTGTCGATGGGACCCCGTAGTAGCGAAGTAGTTTCCAAATGACCTCTCGATCGACGCTGTCGAAGGCCTTTTCAAAGTCGATGAAGTTGAGATAGAGAGGTGACTGCTGTCTTCGAGAGTTTTGTGACTGTACGTGTCCAAGGAAGTGTTCGCCAACTATATGGTAGGATGCAAAAATCATTTTCATTTGTTCAGATCACAACAAGCCGGTTTTGGTCGTTACACACTGGGTCGAATTTCTAGGAAAGTATAGACTGAAATTCACTTCGAAGGGGATTCTTGACTATACAATCAGCACATTACAAATAGTCATATTTTTCCTGTTTGAATTTATTGGAAATTAAGTCATCTGATGATATCCGTTAGAGAACCATTGGAAAACCTGGGAGCACTGAAAAGACGCATCGTCCTAGTTTGGGACTGTTCATCAATACGCACCCACCCAACCCATCCAAAATAATCCCTACGAAACCAATACTTGAAAATGAATCTGATGATAATATACTGAAATAGAAGACAAGTACATGTCTTTAAAGTAATGCTAATCAACACTTTTCATTTGAAGTGAATTAAGGTGCTTGATATCAATGAGAATGCATTCGGGTAATTCATGAGATAGGTGGTAAGTATCAAGAGTTGTCCAGTGAAGATTCTTAGGTGAAAGAAGGCATATCTGTAAGCATTACTTAAAGAAGTTAAGCTGAGTTGAAACTACTTTGAAGATCAACATGGATAGTTCTAGAACCGATAGTATTGGACCCACTGTCTTATTCAGTTTTCAGTGTTGATGTTTATTATACATTCAAAAAGTTTCTTTTAGTTTTCAAATAAGAAGACAACACCTAAATTCCACCCACAACTCTTACATATTTTCATGTAGAACCTCATAATTTGATAGAACTCTTGTTTCGAATAATACTGGCCTCTTTAAACTATTCCTTATCATTCAAACACTTGTTTCATAGGCTGTCAGAAAGCATTAAACTAATATTTGCCTCAAAACGTCTGTGTAACTGCAATGCCTTAAACTGGTGTAATGTAAGAGGGAAAAATAAATTATAAGTTAGAAGTGATTATTCATTATCATAAAAGTTTTATATTTCCCAATAAATGAAAAACAAAACGATATTCTTGATTTTACTGACGCTTCGGTATTTAATGATGCTAATAGCTTTACTAAAGTATTATGAAACCAGAATTTATAAATTCTCAGCTTATATACAGTAACTTGATCATCGTGTTTATTAAGTACTCTTCTGATATCTTCTGATATTTTTTGATCCATATAGAATGTCTAAAGATATCAGGAGAGTACTCAATAAACTAGACATCAGAGTTTTCTTCAAAACATCAGACAAACTGCCAATCAATCTTGTTCATATAAAAGACTAAATCCTTAAAGATTCTCTATCTAATTGTGTCTATAAAATAAAATGCTTGCTTGGAATGTGATGCGATATACATCGAAAAAACATCGCCAAAGAGAAATCAAAATCAGAAGAAATGAATACCGTAGAGCATCTGTTAGACCACCGAGAAATCCGGTTGAACTAGAAAAACTTGAAAAATTATCAGCCATAGGTCTACACACTATAGAGTCCGGTCACAAAATTGTTTTTTGACAGTATTGAAATCTTCAATTATTTGTTTTGTAGGGATTTTGTTTGATTGCATGGAGGATTTCATCATGGGACGACATCAGTTAGAGAACCACTGGAACACCTGGGAGTACTGGACAGCTGTTTCGTCCTAGTTTTGGACTCTTCGACAGTATGCACACACTGGGGTTCGATCCCAGGACCTTTTGGTTACAAGGCGTGATGTTACGCCGTGAACTGGCAGAAGTTAGAATTCATGGACCATTGGATCGTGGTTCAATGGTCTACGATCTTGCGTTGTAACCAGAAGGTCCTGGGTTCGAACCTCAGTGTGTGGGTGCGTACAGATGAAGAGTCCCAAACTAGGACGAAACCGCTGTCCAGTATTCCCAGGTTTTCCAGTGGTTCTGTAACTGATATCAGCTCATGATGAAATCCTCCATGCAATATTGAAATCATCCAGAAAAAATTCAGAAGTCACAAAGAACGTTTAATATCATCGGAAACAGTTCATATTAAATGTAATCCAAACTGTCTGGATAGAAAGGATGGACTGAAACAGAATTTAACCTAGTCCCAATATATACCCACATACGTACACGCACAAAGTGATAGAATCAACACATGTGTAATAAGCAGTTTTCATTATGTAAACTCATGCTGTTTTTGTAATTTCATAAACTTGTCAAAATCTGACAATCCACAAATAATTTTGTTATCTTTACCAACTGACCAGCCTGACAATGTAAAAATTATCTGTTGTTAAATAATGATGAATAGGTTAGTGCATATAAACTGAAATTTTGTAAAATCTGGTTTAATACTACTTTGATTAGGTTATTAGCAGCATTAAATAGCGAAACGTCAGCAAAAACAGTATCTTCCAGAGTTTGTTTCTAGGGATCTGATTTGTTTCAAGTTTGATCACGGATTTATGTTATTTAACGAATCAGTGAGAACCACCAGGGAGTACTGGACATTTGTCTCTTACCAGGTTGGGACTCATCGGCAGTCTACACCCACCGGGTTCGGAACCCGGGGCATATCCGACGTAAATGCAAGCTCGTAAACTATTCAGTCACTGGACCCACCCGGTTGGGAGAGGGGACCAGTACTTGCCGACGATGACATTTGTTGGTGGTCATACTAAAATCTAGAAGTGGCAGAAGTAAAAATTCATGGGCTATTGAGTTTGGTCTCAGGGTCTGAACGGTCTAAGATCTTGCCTTGTAACTAGAAAGCCCTGTCTCCGGACCCTGGTGGCTGGTGGGTACTGACGATGATTCCCAAACTAGGACGAAACCACCATGCGGTAAATTACTCCCTGCTGGTTTCCAAAGGTTCTCTAAGTGACACCAATCCATGATCAAACTTGAAAATCAATATCTTTTTGTTTCTCATTCATTGAGAAATACAAAATCTTTTATTATAATGAATATTTAGAATATACCCAATATTCGAAACTTTTCAAACTGTCGGAAGTATTTATCCACCCCCACCCACCCCCCAGTTAAGCATGAAATATCCTTTATTTTTGAATGTGGATATTTGACACCCTGCTTAAAATAAAATACAATAGAATAAATTGTTTATTTTATTTTATTTTATTAATATTAATTTAAAAGGGACCTAGTCGGGATAGAATGCAGAATGCTTTTATTAAAAGAACACAAGGTGGTGGTATCGCTTCATCGAAAAGTACTGTAGAAAGTGAGAAAATGAAACGGTAAAACAAAAATTAGTGATTCTATTGTTCAATGTTACATGTAACATATTTTTTGTCTTTTACTGTTGCATTTTTAAAGAAATGTTTTATTTCAGTGAAAATTGTTGCATAACATACACATAGTCTTAATAGTCCTTATAGGGAAGATTAAATGGTAGTATAAGGAGAAATTTGCATAGGAAAGGAATATGGACGGGATAATATAGAAATTTTTATAGCTTCGTTCCTCTCCAGTACAAGAAGAAATTTAGTAAGGACCCTCAGTCAAAGGATTAGAGTTACATGCTCAGAAGAGATAACTGAAAATGGATTAAGCATTGTATATGATACCTTGATCAAAAATATAGCTAATGAAATAATTACCGACTAGTTAAGCAAATCCATTCATTAAAGAACTTTTAATGCTGGTAAACTAAAAGTCATATTTTCTGCACGACCGGTTGGGATTCTTCAAATGAAAGATGAATTACGTAGACTAACTAGGTACCTCTACTTCTATCTACCGATTCAACTGTGCTGCTTTTGGGGCGAGTTATATTAACCGTTGCTCTAGGAACTGGATTTGTCATGCTCAGGAACATCTACCAGTGTAGCTAAATAAAGGTGTAGTGTAAACCATCAGCATTTCAGTTTTAGACCATCTGGTCCAAACTGACCACTCAAGAATCCTTTCCTATCATCTATTGGCACCAAATAAATTGCTGAGAGCATTCAGGTACCGAATAATTTAAACAGCAGAAGCTACTGTGATTCGTCTAAAAAAACCAATGCTGTGTGTGCAGCAGAAACAGGTTCAACAACTATTACTGGCCTGTTGTGGAGTATGCGAATACTTTATTTTATCGGTCTTTTTGACATATCCCTCCATCCCGTACATCTAAATCTCCCTATCCATTTTCATTACAGTTGCATTCACTAGCCTTTTGTTTGTCATTTTCTCATATAAACGTAGTGGTTAACTTACATACTGACACACATACAACCCGTAAAACATACAACGCACATAAAATCTTTTTTCTCTACCCCCGACCTTGACATGAGCATTCATCCATCTGATGTTTATAATCAATATGAATAAAACATATGTCCAAACCAAGTTCACTTTTAACGGTTTGAAAAATAGGAACATGATTCATTTTTTATTTATTCATTTATTAATATACATTCGTTGTGATCAATAATCATTTATTTTGTAATATTGGTGTTCATTTTAATATTACAATTATTCATAATGCCATATCATATATTTTGGACTATAATCTCTCAACAATCTAATTGCAAATAACTTTTGGAATTCTGATCTCAGTGATTCGATGTTACTCTTTAAAAACGACCAGTATGGTCAATAACAATCATTCTTTCATTATCCTTGTCCTATTTGGGACTCGTCAGCTGGGTGTACCTGCATTCCGCAGTGAGTCAGTGACGATGTTCCCACCAAGGCTCGAAACCAATGCCAATAGTTTCAAACGCCAAAGCGTTGTCCACTAGACCACTTGGGCCACATGTCAACCTGAGACCGAGCACTTCAGTTCAATCAATAGACGGTAAACTCTAAAACTGAATTAAATAGTCATAGTTATTTGTTTTTCACTCACTAACTATCAAGTAATTAATTTTGTTAGTACTTTTAATCACTAGCATGCTCAAAATTACCATCTTGTAGAAGTTTTATCTTGATTAAATAAAGTATAATTATATTTCAATAGTTTACACACAATGATAAGTTTTATTGCATGGAGGATTTAATTATGAGCTGACATCAGTTAGAGAACCACTGGAAAACCTGGGAGTACTGGACAGCTGTTTCGTCCTAGTTTGGAACTCTTCATCAGTACGCACCCACCGGGATTCGAACCCAAGACCTAGGACGAAACAGCTTTCCAGTACTCCCTGGTCCTGGGTTCGAATCCCGGTGGGTGCGTACTGCTGGAGAGTCCCAAACTAGGCTGACGAAGCAGCTGTCCAGTACTCCCAGGTTTTCCAATGGTTCTCTAACTGATGTTAGCTCATGATTAAATCCTCCATGCAATCAAACAAAATCCCTACAAAACCAATACTTGAAAATGATAAGTTTTGTTATTTGTAATATTTCGAGCAAAATTACAAATAACAAAACTTGTCATTGTGTGTAAACTATTGAAATATAATTATGCCTTTATTTGATCTAATCCACAATGCTCAAACATTTTAGTGATATTATTAATTTATCTTGATTACTTTTTATTATTTTATTCCAATTGACTTTTCTTCCTCTTCTTTAGAGAATTTTTATCACAATATTGTCTTGATTTTGGTCAACGTACTCAACAAGCATCACTTCGTGCACAAATTATTGAAACCTACAGTTCTATATTAATCATATTGAAAAGTGTACCAACTGTATCGTATGTTCACTCTGGTCTCTTTTCATTTTTAGTATAATGTTAATAATAATTTGTTTAATTTGTTACCTTGAAGGTTTAGTCAGTCTGAGAGCAACTACAATTGATCTGTATTTTTTCGTGTACTTATTATCAACAAATTCATTTTAGTAAAAAGAACAAGAAGTTCAGCAAAGATGGCGATCTTTTCGGCGATTTCATTCTCAAAAGCAGCTGTACAATCACATTTATATACATTAGTTTACATGGATACAAATATTATTTGGATGGAGGATTTCATCTAACCGTTGTCAGCTCATGATGAAGTCCTCCATCCAATCAAACAAAATCCCTACAAAACAAATACTTGACAGTTATTATTTATTTAATTCCACATAGTAACGAAGGTGATAATAATTTTCAACTTGGTATGAAAGTGTGGAGGTACAAATATAGATTACAAGGGGTTTAGAGACAAGATTGCATAGGGTTAGAAAACAGTTACGACGTATGCAAAATTAATATTTGATAACTGGAGAAATAATTTTAAAGGCGAATAAAAGGTGATAATTATTTTCAACTTGATATGAATTACAAGAGGCTTAGAAACAAAAATTACGCATAGATAGAACGAATTACAGGTGGGAACAAAATGAACATGAGAACAAAGTGAAATCAAAAATTCTCAACTTGAAATGTAAGTTAGGTGTGAATATAGATTACAAGAGGCATGGAAACAAAAACACAGGATTAGAATATAGTTGTAAAATGGTCATTCTAAACGGATTACAAGTGGGATCAGGAGGAGCATGGAAATAAACTTAAAATAACTGATTTTATAACTAAGAAAATGGGATGAATTGAATGAAGGCAAAGAGAGAAAATTACACACAAGGAACAAAACAAAAAACTGAAGGAACTAAGTCCATGGTAGTTGTAAAGACTGGACTGGTTTCTTTTGAACACACAGCTCCGGCTTTTCGATGCTTATAGATAGAGCTTCTGCAATACAAAGAAGTCGGAAACACACTGAGTTTGATAGATTTTTGTTTACTTTGTAAATGACTCTGAATGAGTCAGTTGAGATTCTGTGACGGGTATTGACAAGGTGTTCAGTTATGCCGCTTCTGATTGAACCAGTGCCTCCTTTTTGCAGGCATGCTGGATGATGTTCTCTAACACGTTTTGATGAGATCCGCATAGAACGACCTATGTACCTAGCTTCGCAGGAGCAGGTGAATTGATATATCATATATATATATATATATATATATATGGATTGAAGTGGTCGTGTTCGGAAGTCTGTTCTTTCCGTTGCTCCGAAGTAGTGGGTGGCTAGAGAATATCACTCTTAGAGTTGCTGCGGGAAAAGTCTTCTTCAGGGAATTGGAGATTCACCTTCTAAGGATATCTGCTGCTAGGTCTCCCCTGAATTCCAGATTCAAATAGACTGTCTTCTTTTGTGCTGAAGTGCATTCTTCTTTTTTTGGCTTTGGTTTCACGTTCTTCTCCACGTAACGTAGTGAGTATCCATTTTGAACCAGGATACTTTTGGGAAATAGGAAATTCATCCTAACAGGACAACTGGGATACGCACTACTAGACTGAATTTTCAACTTGTGTAGAAGGAATGCATGTATCAGCAGATCCTCTCATTAGCCATGGATATGCAGTTCTGATAGAATTCAGTTTGCACCAACACCTAGGACTAGACACATTACATTATTTCCTACTTAGTGTCCAATCGAAGTATCCAGTGGAGTCCTGCAGATGGTTAGTCGCGAATTCAAACATTATTATTATTATTGCTCCCTTGGGTTCCTAGTGGAACATAAGGCCTCAACTGCACGTCTCCATTTGCTTCTGTCTTCTGCTGTACTTTTCGCCTGCATCCATGTTAGTCCATATTCTCTCAACTCCTCTTCACACGATCTCCTCCACGCCGCCCTTGGACGTCCCACACGCCGCTTCCCTTTCGGGTTCCACTCGAGGGCTTGACGCGCGATGTCACCCAGCGGTCTCCTCAGCGAGTGTCCGATCCATCTCCACTTTCTCCTGCATATTTGTTGGGCGATTGGTTCTTGCTTTGTTTGTTCCCATAATTCCTTGTTGGGGATTCTTTCCGACCCAGCCATCTGATCTTCAGTAAAGAGCGAAGACAGTTGTTAATAAAGGTCTGCAGCCTTTTGGAAATATTCTTTGTGACCCACCCGCCAAGTTTCTGATCCGTATAGAAGAACTGACTGACTTGACGTTTGTATTGAAAATCCGAATTTTGTTGGTGTTGCTGAGTGACGAGGATTTCCAGATTGATTTCATGTTGATGAATGTGTTTCTCGCCTTCCCGATTCTCGATTTGACATCCTCGTCCGCTCCTCCTGTAGTTGAGACAATGCTCCCTAGATGATAAGTGAATGAAGTAACCTCTTTCAAATCCCTCCTGTTGAGGATGATTGACGTTGGATGTTGTTGCTGTTGTTGGTTGGTTATTTTCATAACCTCCGTCTTGTCTATGTTTACCTGGAGTCCTCTCTTCACTGGCTGCTTCTTCGACCAGTTTGTCGGTTTTCGCTTGTAAGTCTTCGATTTTGTGTGTGTGACATCAAACATAAGTCATCCGCGAAATCCAGGTCTTCTAGCTTCTTCACGTCGGTCCAGGATATTCCTGTCTTCTCGTTTCCCACTGTCTGACGCATGATCCAGTCCACCACAATTAGGAATATCATTGGTGATAGTAAGCACCCTTGTCTGACTGACTCCTGTGTTTACTCCAAACGCCTTGCTGAGTTTTCCGTTGTGGATCACTTGACATGTGCCGTTGTCGTACAGCTGTTGAATAAGGTTGATGAATGTTTGGGGTACGCCATAGTACTCAAGTAATTTCCAAATTACTTCACGGTCAACGCTGTCGAAGGCCTTCTCAAAGTCTATAAAGCTGAGGTAGAGGTTTGATCGCCATTCCTCTTTTGACTTCAACATTGGATGACTTGAGTTCGAATCTCAAAATGGACATGAGTTTTTTCAAGCAGGAAACAAAGGTCAGACTGGACTTCCTGTCAACTGCCTTCAACTATAAAATAATAACGATTCAGAATTCTGCCTTTTCAATTTTCCAAATTCACACAATCCGTTTGATAGTAATGAAGAGGATTTTTGTGGATAAATCTATTATCATGATATAGTACTCAAAGATGTAAAGTGGTTTTTTATGTATCCACCAACTGTGAAAGTAAAGTACTGTAGAAAAGTTGAGTTGGTTAAAAACGATTGAAATTTATAACTGGAAAACGCTTTTGTTCCGAATCACACATGAAACTTACAATATCCTTCCTATTTGTTCCAAGTGGAATATGGACCTACAAGCTTGAACTTTAAAAGTTTCAGTAGCAAAGGTGTTTATTCTTTACAAGATAGGGTTGCTAGGCTGACTCCCAATCTTCCCTTGTTGTCTGACTTACAACTAGCTAAGGGTGATTGAGGGTTTTGGGCTAGTCAGGAATTAAATCCCGACCCATTTAGATGGTTAGAGAATATTCTATGGCTAAATCGCTGACTCACCATGAAACTTAAGACCGACCGATGTATCAGGGTTAATTTTTGCATGAAATTGCGTCATTTCAAGTTGCTACTATCCAAGTAGACACAAATAAATCTAGAGAAACGGAGAGGTTAATCTTTTACTGTATGAAAGGTTGACGGATAAGTTAATGCAGAACCACTCACTAGAATCTTAGTAAAAATAAATGTCTCTTCAGTATTTTTGTCTCTAATATTGTAATAAAGTCACACTTAATAAAGATATCCAGGGAAATGGATTACTTAGGTACAGATTGTTGAGGATTTCTGGAATCTTGATGAAAACCGTGAGGGATTACATACAGACATACGGAACTACATCTCAATGAAATGCATCAAGAATGTGCTTTTACCTTCAGTAAAAACTCACAAAGAAACATTTTCCCTATTATAAGTTATTCCACTTAGTAACAGGTCGACTGCTATGAAAGTAAAATTTAAAATCGTATAACAGTAAGACAATTTGTACCCGATAATTGTAAGTTGATTGTATAAAGTGTCAAATAATATTAATAATATTATTATAATATTATTAATCCACAACGGGAAACTTACGGAATCCTTCGAAGTGAAGACGGGAGTAAGACAAGGCTGCCTACTATCGCTAATGATTTTTCTGATTTAAGTAGATTGAATAATGCGATAGACAACGGACAATGAGATGCATCAAAGATAGGCCTTCAGGTGAACATGAAGAAAACAGAGGTGATGATGAAGATCCCTGGTCACCAGCAACAGCGATAACAACGGCGACAGACAACAGCCAGCATAAATGGGAGAAATCTGAAAGAAGCAACCTCCTTTAACTACCAACCTGGGAAGCATCGTTTCAACTACAGGCCGACGGAACTGATGAGGATATCAAAGCGAATATCGGGAAAGCAAGGTAAGCAAGCTTTCATTTCCTTCAAGTTTGTGAGGAGGTCGATAGCATACAGAATGAAAATGAAAATAAGATCCGGATTCTCGACTCCAATGTGAAGTCAGTGCTACTTACTATACGGATCAGAGACTTGGCCAGCGCGTCACGAACAGCACTTCGAAAAAACTACAGACCTTTATCAATAGCTGTCTTTGTCCACTTCTACTCAAGATCAGATGGCCAGCCAGAAAAGATCACCAACAGGGATCTCTGGCAATGAGCGAACCAACCCAGAAGGAACCGATTGTGAAACAAATAAGCAGAAAGAAACGGAGGTGGATTGTCCATACTCTGAGGAAACCATCAAGTGACATCACTAGATAAGCCATTGCTCGAGTGGAACCAGGCTGAAAGGGAAGCGGCGAGTTGGTCGTCAGTGCGAGGGTGGGGTGACATGGAGGAGGTCATGTGAAGAGGAGATGAAAGCCTGTGGACAGACTTGGAGCGGGTGAAAAAGTTGGCAGAAAACAGAAGGCAGTGGAGATGTTCAGCTGAAGCCCTATGTTCCTCTAGGAATTAAAGGAAATAACAATAATATACTTTCGAATATCCTGTAACAGACAGATGTTTTGTGTGACCATGAAGTATCCTGAAAAAGCCGACAGAGGTGTATGTGAGGATGAAAAAGATGAGCGTGCTAAGTGTAAATATAAACAGATTTTGGTGTTAGTCTAACAACTGTCCACAAATATTCACCTCAAAAGTTAGGTAGAGTAATATAAAAGTAGCAAAAATGTATTCCACCATAATAAGGTGAATAAAGTGCTCATCAAAGGCATTGATGAGGACAGCTGTGTATCACATATTGACAAAGTTAGAATTCAGGGGTCACTGAATTCTGTCCCAAGTGGTGGAATGGTCAACGAACTGGTCTCTTGATCTGAAGGTTCTAGGTTTAATCCCTGGCCAATTTGCGGGCACGCGCTGATGAAGAGTTCCAAACTAGGACGAAACAGCTGTCAGTTGCTCATGGTTGGTTTCCAATAAACTCTCTAAGTAATAATAATTCGTGGTGAATATGTAACAACTTAAATAAATTTATCATCATATGATCGTTTGCTTCACATTAAGACTAAATAAATTTCTTTTATTTTTCAATAAAGAATATTTGTCAAAGATGATTTTTATATTTTATAGTGAAGAATTTTTCATAATTGGTTATGCATTTGAAAAGAAATCCTCTGAAGATGATCTTGATACACAGACTACAGATCCACGATCATTACGTAGTCGTCCTCGTCGTGTATTATCTACAGATGGTAAAAAGTGTTATAACTTATGGTTTATACCACATTTTATCGAAGTGCTATTTGTATTTCGTCATTTGGATGATGAAGCCTGTACAAAAGCTCTACGTTCTATGTCAAGAATTGCTCGTGCTTTACATGACATTTTGCATTATTTAATTGCATATGCTCGGTTGGGTATCAGTTCATCTAGAATAACACCTGAACAACGTCATCGAATATTAGTTACGTCTGATGAAGTAAGCATTATTCAGATATCAGGCATTCCTTTTAATTAACTATGGTAACTGTTGTGTCGATTCAGTCGTTTTACGTTTTACTAGAGTTTTATGAAAAATCGATCAGAGAGTCAAAATGCTACATCACTTAGTGCTACTATATACTATAAATAATCCATTTTACGACGCAGCTTTCCTCCGTATTACACGTAGGATCCGTTAATGGATCTTTCTTTTCCTTGCCCTTTCTGTCTAATTTCATCACAGATTTACCAATGCAATTGACTATAAATGACTTCAGCGATCTAAGAATTAACGTGTAACCAGGGAGTAATTTCGTTGACACAAAATATGCAAATGATATAGACCTTCTAGGTGAGGATACTGATAAAATGCAGTCTTATGAATACCATGAGTAGTAATCTTCGGATATTTGGCATGCGATCCGCTCCTATCAAATACAAGATGATACTACAGGACTGAACTACCTCGACTCACTCCTAACTTAAAGAAAGGGAGTAAAGTGATGGGGCTTGTTGACCACTTCACTTGTTCGGAAAGTTGCATCAGGTCCCAAGGGCTGATTGCAAACGAAATTTCACCTTGGATATAAAAGTCTCGTTTGGCATTTGCCAACTTACGCCATCTCCGGTGTAGATCTGATATCTGGCTGGCTACCGATGAAAGGACGTATGTATTGTTGACCAGTTCTCTTCATCCTCCTTTATGGTTGTGAGACAGCTACTGGAAGTGGAACATGTGAATTTGGTAGCTGTCTTTGAACACAAAGGCCTGCATTCTATCTTACGCGTTAAGGGGCATAATGTAGTGAGTAATGTTGAGGTTAGGCGTTGAGTGTTAGGTGAGGAAGGAGAACCAGTCGACGAGTTTTTGCGGTTACATCGATTGAGATGTTTAAGACATGTGTTACGCATCTCTAATCATTACCTTCCTCGATGGGGAATGTCAGGTGGTTGGAAAAGAGCTGGTGGTGGTAAAAGCACAACATTTGAATCGGTCCATGAATGCTTTTCCAGTTGGTTTCAGCCACGTGGAGGGATGCAGACTTTCCAATAGTAGTTCTCGGAATTCTAAGAACTTAGGGTATGAAATTATTGGTAATATATCTCGAAATCTTTATCAATCGTGCAGATGCATTCACTCTCTGCGATCTGCTATATTCATTAAACCGGAGTGTTTTTCAATGTTATTATTCCTTCTTCCTCTTACTTCTGCGTATTATCGTCCTTTGGAATCTTATTCTCTCTCATTTTTTTCTTCCTTTGTGTGGTACACGGAGTGTGTCAATTTGAAGTGCCACACTTCTGTGCTACAAAGTTCTCTATTGAAACCAGCCAGTCAGTTAACTGTTCTGATCATGTATAAAATCTGTATGAATCTAATTAAACAAATTAATATTTATATATTATTTTTATTATTATTATCAATTTATTATTATATATTGAATTGAATTTTTGATTTTTCTCGTCGATTGATTGGACCGAGCCCCTCGGTGAGAACATCATCATCGCTCAGTGAGAAATTCACGTACATCCAGCTGACGAGTCCCAAATAGGGCGAAATGCGCATCCTGCATTCCACTGCTAGCCACCATCCACAAATTGTATACTTATTATTATATATTTATTATTAATATTTATCATATAAATTATTTATATCGCTTACATGATTCTCTTATCATCAAAGTGTAATATTTCAGTTTAATGTATAACTGAAAATATATGATTCCTGTAAAAAGATAGTCGAAGTTGTATTTAGTATGCTGAAACTCAGCGATAACAGACAGTTGTGAAATATTATGTGCCATAATAATGGTTAACGTTAATGGAATACGTTAGCGCTGATATAACATTATTTTCATGGTCATTTACAAGGTGGGCTACCAGTCGTAAGAAGTATTTTATGTCCAAACCAAGTTCAATTTTAATAGTATGAAAAAATTTGGGCATTGAGTATATGATATTCATTACTATAAAAGCTTTTGTATTTCCCAATGAATAAAAGACAAAACGGTACTGTTTTTGCCGACGTTTCGCCATTTAGTGTTGACAGCTTTATCAAAGTATTATTAAACTAGAATTCATAAAATATCAGCTTATATAGTGTAATTTAATCCTTTTTCTTTAGCATGAGATAATTTTTATGTAGTTGTGAAGTTGGCTAGTTGGTTGGTTGCAATACCCACTCCCTCATGAAGTGACAAAATCAACACAAATGTGATAAGTAATTTCCTTATGACAATACGTGTTGTTTTTTATAATTTCATACGCTTATCAAATCCAACAATCTACACCTATTTTTGTTATCTTTACCAATTAACCAACTCTAGTCGGCTTCAACAACACGTCTCCACTTCATGCTTTTCTCTCTAGTTCTCTTTAGCTGGTTCCACGAATAGCCATAAGCTTTCATTTCCTCCATTTTGCCTTCAGATGTCCAACTCATTGATTTCAATTTATTTATTTTTTTTTATTTCTGATTACAGTTGGGGACCTGGCTAGTGTTGTTTCTCCCTAGAGTATGCCTGATTCATCTGCGTGGCTACTTACAAGGTTTTTGGGCAGTAGATTATTGTCTGGTCCATTGCCTGTAATAGCTCATCATTGTTTATCTTTTCTGACTTGCCATATGATCATTTGTATCAAGCGAAAATAGCCATTTATAACGGCCTGCAGTCTGCTAGCAATGCTTTTCTTGACGCACCAAGTCACTGAACCATATGAAAGCACACACTGACTTCATAATTGTATTGAAGGTTCTGATCTTGTTTCTTATGCTGAGTGCAGTAGATTTACACACTGGTCTCACATTAATGGAGGGCTGTCTTGCTTCTGCTATCTTGCATTCAACATCCTCATCCATGCCGTCAATAGATGAAATGATGGCGCCAACGTAAGTAAAAGAGGTAACTTCCTTTAGATTTCTCCCATAGATGGTGATCAGTACTTGATATTGTTGGTTGGATACCTTTCTCATTTCTGTGTCCCACAGATGTCTCATTTTCACTGTCTCTACTGGCAACTTGTTGGTTTTTGCCCGTAGATCTTCAAGTTTATGCAAAATTACACCTAAATCATCTAAGAAATTCCACTGAATAAGAGCTTTGGCTGCTGTATGTGACACTATGGTTACTACTTCACTTAACACTTTGGAGAGCTCACTTTTATTCCATCTGTTATCACAGATTTTTAGCAGTCTTACAGCCTAACTTCTCATTTGTCTTACAATCTGCATAGCGTTGTTAACCTTAAAATTGATGTGGACATTCCATCTTCCCATATCTGCTTTTCCTTTAATTGAAATAAGATACATCGACCGACTTGCATATCGATGGCTGTCATCAGTATACATCATTTCTGCCCGACTTCTATGAAGATTGAGTTTATTTTTTATATTTTTCCCGACTTTTTAATTTTCTGTAGCGATTAAGTTGATTTTTCGAGGTTGGGTTGCTGGTCTCCTCTTTTTCCTAGCTTAGGATCGTTTGATAAACTATTCATTTAATGAACTCGGCGAGGTTATAGAAACATATTTGGCTTGCATGTCAAGTAGACATTAAGTCGTAATAAGTCTCGACCTGCTCTAACACCTCTCTTTTTTCGATTAGTTCATATTACTCTGTGAAATCTTTGTGGTATTTCTGAATGTTGTTCACCTGGCTTTTGCATACTTGGTTCTTGGGTTAGTTTTCGTGAAGTTTGCTGCTTTCATCACCAGAACCTCTTCGTTTCCTAGTAGGGTTCTGATGTCTTGACAAGAGGAGTCCTCTGACTTCAGTTTTATAAATAACTAACCCGGTCTTATTTTTGAAGACGCCAGCAGTCCATTTGTTTGTGAGAATTTCTAAAATTAAAATGACTGATGGCGTTTACTTTCGGTGATTATACATGCCATTTTAATTAAAAAATCTCCCACATAAAATAAAAGAATCACCTATTTTCTCAGAATCAGAATAATTTACAAACAGCTGAAGAATCCGCCATTGCAACAGCAGAAGTAGCTGGTCTACAACAATCAGCTTCACAACTTGTCTCTGTTGGTACTACTGAAAGTATGTCATTGGCGTTGTCATCACCTGCCAGTTCCATTACTCCACTGGATTTAACAATACAAGGACGTAGTCTTATTGTGGATCAATTAGTAGGTAATTAACCTTATTTGACTTGAGTGAATTTCTTTTTGTATTATGTCAGAAATAATTCTTGATTATAATGTATAGTAAAATAATTTCAGTTTCATATTCTTAATCCTGAATATCATTTGACAGTTGTCTTATTTGTTAACTGGCCTGATGATTTGGAGAGCTTTGTGTGCTGTTTTAAGTTTGTGGGCGGTTGCTGATTCCCGGCTGTTCACACCATGGAAGTTGATTTTTTTCTTGGAGCATCTGAAACAGACAGAGAATTAGTTTTGCTTGCCAGTAGAGCCCAGAGGACATCTGTTTGGGGCTGGTCACGTAAGGGCAGTTTGAATTTTCTTTTAGAGTTCTTTCCGAACTTAGAACTTACCGCCGGCTACGAACCCCGCTAGAGAAAGTCTAGATGTACAATATTTGGATTGACTATTTTTAACCCCCCTCTTCACAGTGCAGAAGTAGCATAGCTGACATGCTGATCATCTAAGGGGAAACACTATAGTACTGTTACATCCCTGTTTCCCAGCAGTACGACTTTGCACACAGATCTCAAGCATATTTTAAACATTGGACCCTATGCCAGTAAAAGCCTTTAGTCTAGTCGCTATCCTAATGACCTTTCTAGCATGTAAGAACCAGCAGAAATATCAGTTTCAGTCAGTCAGCAAGTCTGCCCACTACTTCAAGGTAACAGCTATAGGTTAGGTCTTGAAACAGTGAGACTGTAGCTTTTATCTTCTCTTGTCTGATGATTTCTATTCTGTGTAGCACAAATCTTTATGAACACATTCAGTCTAAGTAGGTTAGGTAATCGTGCACGCCACTTAGATATTCCTAAATGGTGTAATATCATGATATATACAAAAACATGAACATGTGTGTCGGTGGCACAGTGGTTAGGACTCTCGCCGACCATGCACATGGTCCGAGGTTTGATCCACTGCCGACGCACACCTGATATCTATGGTCGGCCTGCAAAATTTGGGCTACCGATATCCGTGCTGAGAATTCCATACTTGTACCAAAAGTACAGTTTGGAATCAAGCTGTAATCAAAAAAATAATTAAATTTGCTTCTTAGTTGACTTACTTGCAAATTATGTATAAAACCTCCTGGAAATCCCTGGAAATAATTCCCATCCAGGTAATTATGACTGAGGTTCTTTCCAACGATTTCATTCCCTTTAACTGTACTTTCCCATTTGTCCAAAGAATATATATATATATATATATATAGTTGTACAGCTTGAGAATAAATTCACTGAAAAGAGTAACCCTTCACCGAACTCATTTTCTTTTACATAACTCACTGGGAACTTAAAAGTTCCCAGCTTTATCACCAAAGTGTATATTTGACTAACAGATTACTGTCATTACGCTTGGGATTATTATGATACTATTACTCCCTAGGGTTCTGAGTGGAAAATGATGCCTTAACAGCACATCTGTATTTCATCCTAATCTTTGCGGTCTTCTTCATTTGACCTTATTATTGTCTATAGACTGTCATCTCCTCCCCACAAGACCTCATTATTAGAAGCCTATATAATCGTTTCCCACTCTGAGGTTCCACTCAAGGGTGTGTCTGACGTGTGATATCACTCAATGGTCTCCTTGGCATGTATCCGATCTATCTTCATTTTCTTTGGAACATTTCTGGAGCAATATGTTATTGGTTGGTTCGTTCCCAAAGTTTGCCACCTGTAATTCAAAATGAACCCAGCAACGTGGGCAACTGTTGATAAAAGTCTTCATTAGCCTGTTTGGAATGCTTTTCGGGATGCACACGTCAAGTTTCTGACCCATTTTGGAGATCACACTGACTTAACTGAAAATCCGAATTTTTGTTCTTTATCGTAAGTGGAGCAGATTTCCACACTGATTTCAGAGTGATGAAGATCTGTCTTGTCTTCCCGATCTTGGTTTTGATATCGTTATCCTCACCGACTGAGTATATTTGAAAAGATACGAAACGATAGATAATTGAAGGAGGTGACCTTTTTCAGATTTCTCCCATTGACAGTTAGAATTCAAGAACCATCGGATCGAGTCCCAGTGGCTCAATGGTCTACGAGCTCTTTTTGTAACCAGAAGGTCCTGGGTTCGAACCCCAGTGGGTGCGTACTGCTGAGGAGTCCCAAACTAGGATGAAACAGCTGTCCAGTACTCCCAGGTTTTCCAGTGGTTCTCTAACTGATGTCAGCTCATGATTAAATCCTCTATACAATCAAACCAAATCCCTACAAAACCAACACTTGAAAATCCTCTATTATCGAGAAACCAATGAATATAATTTCAATGCTTATAGAATATCATATAGACAGATATCACCAAAATAACAGAAGTCCTGAATGTACAGTTTCGTGTTATTTGACTTTAATTAGTAAGTAAAACAACACGTTGGACATTTTGCCCTGTCAGATATTGCCTGATCAGATTGATTGATTGATTGACTGCCTACAAATAAGGCTTAGAATATTTTCAACTATGTCAGCTGATATCTCATAATCGGTGTAGGTAATTAATTCATCTGCGTACAAAGTTAAGCTTGGCTTCATCATCTCAACCAATACATATTAGATGATAGTTTTAGTGATATAAACTTTAATTTCCTCCTTGTAATAGAAGTTATGCTCTTTGATGAATATTAAAAAGACTGAAATAACATGAACTTAATAATAATAATAATAAAACTTTATTTCAGACAGTATGCGAACTTATGGTATAAAACTTTTCAACGTATTCAGTTCCAAAGTACCTTTTTATTCACACAGGATTCATATGTAAAGTAATAATCTGAAGTATATCTTCATTGCGTTGAAGAATTGCACAGCGTTTACTTGGAAGCAAGTTAAATCACCTCACATAGTTCATGCGTAGGTCATCTGATATAAGTGGACGATTAAAACTATTATAAATCCAGATGAAATTGGGCATTTTGTTAGTCAGCAATTTTGGTAGTCCAGTGATCTAAGCAGGTCGCCTTTAGAAACCTTTCATGTATTGTTTGTCGAGACTCGGCAGATAAACTTTCATTAACAAAAATGGGATTATACTAGTCTAGGTTATTTTGTCATGAAAATGTAGCTATTGACGGCGAGAAAAATAACCTTAAGCATAATGACTTAAAAACTACCTTTTGGTTTTCAACACCGTAATCCGTTTTTCGAGGTCAATTTTCATATTTCCCTTGGATACAAGAAACTTTAACCTTATGAAAATCTAGACTGATTCAAGAAATTTTCAAGATGAAGTTATTGATAATAAGTCTGCCTATATTTGTGCTGAATAATCGATAGAGATCTTATACATTTGTTTGTTTTCATGACTAATTATGAGAATATGTCACTACAGCATTTACGGTCCCTACAGTTCTTACATTCACTAATGTGAAGACTGTGCACCATGACGAAAAAATGTCAATACGACAGTATATTCACAATTAATACCAACAGAACTTATTCATATAGAAAATAAACTTCTCACAGGATTACTGTGAAAACTAAAAGTTTCAATCTAGAAATAAATATGAATTTTCTCTTCGAAGTCAGTTGAATGCTTTCTAACAGAAGAAAATATTCAGTTTATTTAAAATAATAATAACAGATATCTCATATTAGAAGTTAATTGGTGGATGGTGACTATCAGTGGAATCCAGGATGCGTATCTCGTCCCATTTGGGACTCGTCAGCCTGATCTGCCTACATTACCTAGTGAGTGATGATGTTCCCACGGTGACTCGAACACAGTGCCCATAGTTTCAAACACCAAAGCGCTATCCACTAGACCACTTAGGCCATGTGAGGCACCTCTTGTGCAACTGTTCACATTAGTTATTAAATTGAATTTTAGATTTTCCCGTCAATTGATTTGACTGAAGTTCTCGGTCTCAGATTGACATGTGGACCAAGTGGTCAAGTGGATAACACTTTAGCGTGTGAAACTATGAGCACTGGGTTCGAGCCTCGGTGGAAACATCATTACTCGCTGGAGAATGCAGGCACATCCAGTTGACGAGTCCAAAATAGGACGAAATACGCATCAAGCTGGAATCCACTGCTGGTTACCATTCACCAATTAACTTCTAATTACATACTCAGACATCATCAAAATATCTCCACAAGAAGCCAACATGTAAACCTGGGACCGAGCACTTTGGTTCAATCAAAAATTGAGTTAGATATGGCATATTATCTACTATTCTGAATCATTGTTAGACGGTCGGAGGTATTCTGCAGTAAGCCCCGTGTGACTTAAATTTCGTGCTTTTTGGCATTTACCAGTCAGAAAGGCGTATCTGCAATGCTGAAGGAACTCATGTCAGTTTTGAGGTACACACCTGCTGCACTTATTGCTGCAATCAAACAAGTTACTACTGAGCTATTCGGGCTCACAGCTAACCTCCAGTAGGACGGTAATGGATCCTTTGATTGGACACCAGGTAGTAGGTAACTAGTATCAAACGACTAGTCCTTCGTTTGATGCAGACTGGATTCGATCAGTCAAACGAAGGTCTAGATGCAGGACATTAGTTACATCTTAGTGTCTGATCAACGGGTCCATGATACTCGATTGATTGGATAAGCTATTGTAGTATTTTATGAATACATTTTAGGAATATAATTAAATCACGCATAATAATAACAAATTAATTCTTTATTTCCCCTTATCCTTAAAAATCATTTCCAGATGGTTCAGATGATTATGATGGTGGTCCAATGTCTACATTAGGTATCAAAAATGTTCAGTGTTATAAGTTTAAAATGATCTGTTATTTGTTTGTTTATTGTTGAATTTCCGTTAGAACTAGTAAATTCAAACTATAAAAAATTGGTACATTTATTTATCTATCATAAACATTTAAACTGTAATGACCCTAACAGACGTGTTGTCTTCGGAATATAGGAAACCTATCTTTGCATCCTAATGTATAGCTGACCAAAACTTCCTTGAGGTACTCACAGTTACACAATACCTCAATGATAGCAAACAGACAGGTAATTGCAATTAATTCTGACGTACTCAACATTGAGGTTAAGCAGCACTACAGATCCAATAGTTTATTGAGTACTGAAAGAAGTATTGAGAATCAAGCAGAATATTCCCAAACAAGGTGGAATCAAAACTCTGTCAGCGAGGATCGCTCACCAAACAGTTCCCACAGAGACAGTCCAATAGTCACAATGACATTGACACATTCAGATAAAACTGAATTCATGAAACATAACATTACTAATATCATCATCATACAACCCCCAAAGAAAAGCATTACAATTAGAGATTAAACAGGGACAAATACAAGTAACAGGGATTAAGTGAACGGATAGTGTGCTAATATGTCAGATGAGCGATATACAGTCGAAGAGAAAAACGGATAATAAATTACAAAGTTAGCTGATACATCTAAATAAGTATCAATACTTTACTAAGATCATTCAGGAAGGAGTATCCCGACAATTATTCTCCTACATTAACTTTTTATAGGAAAAAAACTAAAGTGTTTATTTAATAAAGTTTTAAAAAGTATTTTGTGAAACGTGGCTTATAGTTTAAAGAATCACTTGGTTTGTTCATGAAATATATGTAAACACTTTAATACATTGGTCGTATATGTGCGATAAATTATGAATTGGACTTACAATACTTGTAAGCAACATCTCAGCTGCACTTAAATAGTCGTCTCTCTCTTGATTGATGTGGTAGGAATTAATATTAATAATAATGATTTACTTTACTCCAAAAACAGTACTTGTGATACAGAATGGAATTTTCAGCATTAATCACAATATTGCATCTAATTTCCTCAAATTATAAATAAAAATTAATCACACAGAAAATTTCCCACATTTACAATAGAGGTAGTGTCAAAAACATGCAGCATAGAAAATGGAAATAATAATGATAATGATAACAGCTAAACCAATGATAATACAAGTGAAAACTGCTGTGGGCCTGTTTCACACAGTATTGGCAATGTGGTATAGAAATCCTAACATGTTTAAAAATATTGAATATAACGTTCTCTTTACATGATATGGTGAGGGGAAAAACAAAGATTGGTGTTTGCAATTATGAGAGTAAAACAAACAAAGAAGCAACAGGACTATAAATATAATAGAAATAATAAAAGTAAAACTTGAAGGTATATAAGGATGGATGGAGGAAATTATTTATTTACTAGATGAAAAAAGGTTAGTTAGTTCTTGCCTGACGCTATTTTCATCACATAAAATACGTGCCAAGTATGGTATCATAGAATTTTGATATTTAGACGTGCGAGCATACAGTTTTCTGAGGTTACTCCTTCTTCTACCTGAGGAGGAGATGCAAGGTGAAAGCTGAGGGTAAAGCGGATGCTCCGAGTCAGACAAAATCCCTCTAGCAAATTTATTGCACGAAGTCAAGTGCCTATCGATGAGGACGTTAACTATGTGGTCCACTGGGACACCACTCACACTACTGACCGTCGTCTTCAGTATTCTACTAATTGTGACATAGTCTTTTTTAAGCAAACCAGGAAAGAATAAGGGTGAACAATGAAGAAGAAGAATAGGTAGGATGCAATAGTTTATGAACTGTAAGAGGAGGGGTTGAGTTATACCCGAGTGACTTAACTTCTTAATGTAGAATGTCAGGCGGAATATTTTACTGGAGATCGCTGAGACATGAGAAGACCAGGAGAGATAACAATGATCCCCAACAACCAATCAGAGTTTAGGTGAAAAAGTGTAGCATGATCGTTAAAAATTTGTTAAGACACTGAAAAATATAATATCACATTGGATAAGTGTATTCTATGTGTTGTAAGAATGTCTTAAAGTTACTTCAAGGATAATCCGCAAAGAAATCATAACATACACAGAAGTTGTATTCATCCAGGTGGCTGTAGATCATGGTACCTCAGGATTCATGGATATTCATAATAATATTTCAGTACTGCTGAATTACACTGTGTCTTCAAAACCACCCATATTTTGCGTTTGAAAGTAAAAGATAAACTGCCTAGATTCGCCTCTCCTATGTGTTTCTACCAATTTGACAGCTTTTGTGGAGCCAGTTACATAGGCCGTAAAATTAGGCGTGTTTCTCGTCGGATTCTCGAACATCATCCTGCGTGGTTGGTAAAATAAAGGACAAACAAAATCCATTCATAGTGCTATTCTATCTCATCTTGTGGATACAGAACACAAGATTGATGTTAACGAGGCAGCTTTCAGAGTCATTTACCGCATACGAACTAATTTTAACTTCACGTTAAGAGTTCGTCCACTACATATTGCTGAGGTTGTTGAAATCGACATTAAGAAACCTAACTTATGTATCCAAAAGAAGCTGGTTCAGACACTGTCCTTACCTTGGCTACCAAGGTTTTAATGATCCTCAATTTTTTGAGGAAATTTCCTTAATTTTATGTGATATTCTATTTGCTAATATATTTTTATGCTTATAATAGTTTATGCATCTTTCGTGAACTGTAATTCAATTGATCTTACTTAACAAATCGATATTATTTCAGAACAGTAATACTGTTGTTGACTACTATTCTAGAATATTCTAAGTATATAAACGTAAATATAATTGCAGAGCCAGAAGGGGAAGTTATCGAAAAGGATATTCTTTGCTCAATTTTTCGTTTTTTCTAGATGTCTGAATGAGTAATAATTTGCTTTATTCCAAAACAGTAATTACGTTACAATGTGGAGTTCTTAGCATTTCGTACAATACTACATATAATTAAGTCGAAAAAAACTATAAAAACAAAAAATAATATTACTGGGTATGAATAACCAGGATTGATCATATCAGCTATTTTGGTACTTGCAGTGATAATAAAGTCAAAAATGTACAAAACGTCTAAAATAATCATAATAATATTACTAGCTAAAATTATGAGTTAACTGAAATAGTGTCAGCATAGATTACAAATAGTAGAGGATGAAAGAGCTATTTATTTTGCTAACTACATAGTTACAAGTTTCACGCTTAGGGGCTTTCTCCATCACATAGAACTCTGGTGGACAAAATAGAGTATCGTTGAGTTTTTGTACTTACTTCCGCGAGTGTATACTATTTCACAATGCTTTCTAGCCTTATCTAATGATGACGTGCAGGGGTAGAGTTGTGTATAAAGAGTTACTGAGGGGTAGACAACGGGAATTTTGTCCATTTTACGCATGAGTTCAGATGTCGATCAGCTAGACAAGTAACGAGCTTGTTCCACTAATAATCTATAATACACTGTGGAATATGATGCGCTTCTTATTGAGTAACTCAGGAAAAACTAAGGGAAAGTAATACAGAACGATAGATCAGATGTAAGACTTAACAAACTGTGAAAGTAGAGGTTGAGCAATACCCCTGACTCTCTTAACTTTTTAATATAGAAGGTTAGACGAGACATCTTCCTATAAATCAACAAGATATGGGATGTTAGATGGTTGGAGGTAATCGGCAGGAAGCCTTGGACTTAGGTTTCGTGCTAGTTGGCACTCGTCAGCAAGATGTATCTGCAATCTTGAAGGAAATCATGTCTCTCTCGAGATTTGAACCCGCGTCACCCAGTGCTGCAGTCAGAGACGTTACCACTCAGCTAGTCGGGCTTGTGATTAACCTCATTTAGGACTTCAGTGGATACTTTGATTTGACACTAGTAACTAGTGCAATGAGTTTCTTCAAGGTTGCAGATACGCCTTGCTGACTTGTGAGTGCTAACTAGCACGAAACCTAGGTCAGGTGTAGCTTCCTGCCGATCGCCTCTAACCATCTAATATCATCAAATCAATGGCCACCGTGATGGTGAGCCACCTGGAATGGTGGCCACATTGTCAACCTGACTGATAGAATTCAGTCTGAACCAAAGAAAGGACTAAAAACATCGCACTAGTTACTAGTGTCCAATCAAAGTAATGTGATGACCAAGAAAGGTGACAGCAAAGAACTATTCCAAGGTAATTTATGCTTGACCTAGTTTCAGTTTCAGTACTTTATATGCTGCAAGCATCATGTAACCAAAACAGTTCGTGTAAGTCACGTTTATGCTTGAAGGTAAAGTTAACTGTCTAACATTTAGAGGGATTTAACATGACATTCCTAACTCTATTCGTTAACTTACTTCTAACCCTAATTATTTACTTATTGTATTATTGTTCACTTGGGTTCCGAGTGGAATATAGGGCTTCAACAACACGTCTATACTTTGTTCTATTTTCTGTGGTCTTCTTTGGCCGGCTTCACGGTTGCTCATAGTCTTTGGTCTCCTCCCCATGTTACTTACTACCATCTTCATTTGATGTTCAAGTGGCTGCATCATTCGACCACCGAAATTTGTCAGTGGTTATCAAAGCTTCACCAGCTTCCTGTGAATCAGATCATTTAATAAATAATGTGACCAAACTTGTATATCTGCACATATGAGCTGAGTAATATTTGTATTTATACATACATATAATAAGTAGTTTGTTCTTTTCATTTCTGTTTTTTATTTATTCTTGGTGATATTTAGCCACTGAATTAAGAGAAATTCAATATCAAATAAATCGATTACCAGATCCAACTGATCCAGAACAAATTATTGAAGTTTTATCGCTTAGACGTGATATAATGTTCTTAAAATTTGATGTCTGCATACGTACAGTGTTAGGAGAAACATTTCTTGCTGCAGGTAATGAAGAAGCCTTCAAAGTAAGTGAATGTATTTCTGTAACTTTTTTTTTTTCAGTCCAACATTTCTTCCGTAAAACTTTCTATATTTTGGCTTTGTAAGGATTCCCAAAACTAGGATGAAACAGCAGCTGTCCAGTACTCCCTGGTTTTCAATGGTTCTCTAACTGATATCAATCCGTGATCAACCCGTAAAACATTCCGTAAAACTGTTTATTAAACTGACTAGATGATTCATCTTTTCACACAAGAACTTCAAGGCTGTAAATAATGGCGAGTAGACCAACCAGTTACGTAATAAAGCCGATCACCATGCTAAGATTTGACTGCAGACAGATTGGTCACAGCAGAGAAAGACGATCATTTTATTATCATTATCATCACCTCATAGCATTGAAAACTGAATTTACTTTACTCATACATATACTGGTATACTGAATAAACACAGTATAGGTGTTTTATTCACTCCATTCTTTTCATTGTAAATCACAAAAGTAAGACTGAATGGCAAAGTTTATTATTATTATTATTATTCCTTTGCGTTCCGAGTGCAACACAGGGCTTCAACAACACATTTCCACTTTGTTCTGTCTTCTGCTATCCTCTTCATCTAGGGCTACGATTGACAAAACTCTTTCATCTCCTCCTACTCTTTCTGGCCATTTGATCTTCAGTATGAAGCCAGCAGAGGGTGCAGCTGTTGATGAAAGTCTGCAACTAGCTGTTGGAAACCCTTTTCGTGACTGACACGTAGTGCAAGTTTCTGACCCGTATAGAAGAACCGATTTCACATTGTTTAAAGAAACAGGAAGTGAATAAAACGACCAAATGTTAAAATGCTTGTTGACTAAACAAATTATCAGCTGCTCAAATTCCATTCTTAACTAGATTTCAGTGAAATGTCAATGCTGAAGAGAAAACCTCTTCCTCTTCCTAGTTATATTCGATTGCTTATGAAGTGAGACCACCTAATTTTTTAAGTAAATCCTGAAAACTTTAGATAGACTATAAATTGTTCCTGATAGTTAATGTTTCACTTCTGTAGCTGACTTATTTCTTATACGAACATGTATGTATTTTGAGACCACTTTCAAACGATAAAGAGGAAGCAAATTATCATTATTCAGGAAATGGATTCTACGATGGGAAACTTCCTAGCCATTCGAACTGAACTTTTCACGATATATCAGCGAGGCCGTCCGTTTAATACAGTTCGTCAGTGTAGATATCATAGGCTTAAACCCTCCCCCCCCCCTAATATGCCTTTGGGACAATTAATCTTGAAAACAGACCGGTCAAAATACAGAAAACAGCCACCAGTCATTTCGGCCCATTTAAACAAACAAATAAGGACTATAGTTTCCTAGTTTGCCTTTGTCTTATAAATTTTTCTCTACTGTTCGCAAGTTTTACCATCAAACATGAAGTTCAGAAATTTATGCGATTCAAGCCATTCATTTGTCCATCTAGTATGCCATTGCAGTCTTTATTAACATTAGGTTTAATATTAACCTTATTTACCAGCTTAAATCTGTCTATTAAACAATGGAATCAATAAACTCCATCGTGAAGAGAATTTTATTTTGACAAAGTCTCACAGTAAAATTTACTGATGACGTTTCGAGCGCAGTTTATTATTACTCATTATCGTATCGTAGTACTTACACAACTTTCGAACTTCGTTTATTTATATTCCATTATTTCTCATTTCTCAATTCGATTGGTAGTAATATTTTCCATATCTCTGGAATTGGTGATAAGTCATTCTTATTTCGTGTGTTGGGTGTAGATATGTTGGACACAAATTCAGTAATCGATCTCTCTCCCTCCAACTATTGATATTAGGTTTTAGAAATTTAACTCTGTAACTTCAAACCTTCATTAACAGTTGTCTTCACTCAATACTCAAGATAAGATGGCCAGCCAGAAAAGATCAGCAACAGGGATCTCTGGCAATGAGCGAACCAACCCAGAAGGAACCGATTGTGAAACAAATAAGCAGGAAGAAATGGAGATGGATTAGCCATACTCTGAGGAAACCATCAAGTGACATCACTAGACAAGCCACTGCTCGAGTGGAACCAAGCTGAAAGGGAAGTGGCGAGTTGGTCGTCAGTGCGAGGGTGGGGTGACTTGGAGGAGGTCATGTGAGGAGGAGATGAAAGCATGTGGGCAGACCTGGAGCGGAGTGAAAAAGTTGGCAGAAAACAGAAGGCAATGGAGACGCGCAGCTGAAGCCCTATGTTCCTCTAGGAATTAAAGGATATAATAATAACTCTGTAACTTTCCCATAAAATTTATTAACAAGATCACAAAAAGTCACAAAAAAAGCAAAAGAATAGTGAGACTAGTAATGAGACCATAAATAACAAAGAGCTTAAAGCATCTACGGTCCTATCAAATAGAGAGGGGACATCTGAATCCTTCTCTGCGTAGGATTCTTAATAAAGCAGGAATTAGATTGATGGCATTTAAACCTACAAACTCACTCAGGGACAAAATGTTTCGGATAAAGGACCTTGTAGGTTGACCCAATTAGACAAAATAATCTCATTTACAAAATACTTTGCAATAACTCTGGGGTCGACTACATAGATAAAGCCACTAGATCGGTGGTAGTCGGATAATCAGAACATAAGAATTTGTTATGTACTCGTCGCCAAATTATTGTTATGTACTGGTCGAGAATTTAATAGTCCTGACGCAAGAAAGACGGAAATCAGAAGACCACTAGGTTTGCGGTGATACTTCTATTTTCCAAACACAAGGAGAATCAACGTGTCACACAAGAGTGTGAGAGCAAAATATATATGAATGTCCAAACAAGTGTGTGAACAAATCCATAGACAGTCTTAACATGATTGGCTAATTATAATGGAGTATCGATCCATATATACATAACGAAATATAACAGACTGTCAACAAACACACATATTATATATAATATAAGGGGAATATACATTGTTAAAGTAGACAGGTTCATCAAAGTGAAATGGTCACAGACTAAGAGAGCAACAGAAAGAGAGACCACCATACACACACATATACATATATATATATGGATACATATCAGAATTTATCTAAATGTAAAACGACTGACCCCGAAAAGATAAGTAACTTAGAACTATACTCTACCACAGTGCTCAAGTTCAATCCCTATATCAATCAATTAACTCTCCGTCATTTGCCGAATTCCAAACAGCAAGCACATTATCCTTTGTCTAATAATTCATCACATTAATTACATAATGATTTTACAGTTATGGTAATTAAAACAATGGTGTTTCTGTTTTCAAGTTTATTGTTTAAATATTTTTTTTCTATCTAGGAAGTAAAAGAAAACAGTCACTTCCCGCTAGCGGAATTATCAAATATGCAACGGCCGTGTGTGAATGCAATTGATTTATGTATACCGGAGCCTATGGAACCAAGAGATGATAATGCACAGGCTATACTTCCATGGCGTTGTTTGATTAATTATTATGGTCCTTATTTGCTATTCAATACAAATTGGACACAAATTGATTATAATATACGCTTATGTTTAGCTGGATTGAAACCAGTCGATCGGTAATTATATATATATATATAAAGTTTCACTAAGTTTCCTTTATTTGTTGTTTAATAATGCACACCATTACAAAAATCACTTCAAACGTAGCATGTGTGATCGACAACAAGTAATTTTCTTCTCAATTCCGCAGTCACACAGTACTCATGCTCCTTCTGTTTCAGGCATTCCAAGAAGAAATCGTTTTCCACGATGCGCGCAGCTGGGGAGTAACAACTCTCCATACACTTCTATAAGCACACAAAGCTTTCCTGACAGATTATCGCCGTCCCTCATTACATCTTAATTTCTTCCTACTGTTAATACTATTCCACAGATAGGTCCATCATCTCTGAATTTTGCAACCAATACTAACATCATCGAGAGCTGGAAAGACTACCAACTTTATATTGGAGAATTTAACGTCAGGACTCTTTACCAAATCGGACAGCAAGCTACACTAGGCAGAACTTTAGCATCTTGAGCAGTGGATATATGTTGTTTTTCGAAGGCAAGCATACAATAACTAATGTGTGTTTATTCACTTAACCTTACCTACCTAAGAGAGGGAATTTACGAAATTGAACTTACGAATGTCAGAAACATTCTCTGGATAGTTAACGAGGAATTCCAGGTATAGGGATAGAATTGAATGCTAGGGCCAGAAAATCCCTACCCAACTGGATCCCAGTGGTTAGTTGTATTTTTTTTATTTTTTATTTATTTATTTTTTTGATTACAGCTTGATTCCACACCGTATTTTAGGTACAAGTATGGAATTTTCAGCATGGATATCGGTAGCCCAAATTTCGCAGGCCGACCATAGATATCAGGTGTGCGTCGGCATGGACTCGAACTCCGGACTATGTGCATGGTCGGCGAGAGTCCTAACCACTGTGCCACCGACGCATACTATTTGGCCGAACGGATCCTTTTAAAGTAGGAAAGATTGAGATACACGTCCATGTTTTTTTCATGACCTCCACCTACGTTTCTGTAAACTGCAGGTCAGACAAAGTAAATGGTGAGTTACATAAAAAGCTATCTAGTTTGCTGCTCAAGACGAATCACTCAGGTGTAGTCGTTTCAGCAGGTGACTTCAGAGCTCAAGTATAGGAGCTATAACGGCCGCACCTTTGGAATGCCATGCCACTAGTGGCATAAGATGGAAGTAAATAATATATTTTATTACTGTTATTCCTTTGGGTTCCACTTGGAACATAGTGCTTCAACAGCACATCCCCGCTTTCTCCTATTTTCTGCTACCCTTTTCATCTGGGTCCACGACTGACCATAATCTCTCATCTCCTCCTCCAACTCACATGACCTCCTCCATGTCAACCTATCACCAACGACTCACTCGTCACCTCCCATTGGGTTTCCACTCGAGAGGTGACCTGTATTGAGTGTGATTTCATTCGACGGTCTCCTCAACATATACCCGATCCATCTCTACAGTGAATAATAACAATAGCTTTATTGTGAACCATATTTATATAATGTGCAGAATTTTCAGCAGAATTCATTGCATGATATTTTACCTCCATCCAGGATCTTCAAATTAAAAATATTAACTGACAGTAGATCGTGTGACCCGAAGAACCCACCAATCCGTTATATTTCTTTTGTGTCTCCGACAAATGCACGACATTTGGTGGAATACTAAGTATAAAAAGTTCAAGAGTACACTTTGAGAGCTAAGGACATAACTGAGAAACAGTTATCTCCATATATTAGTATACGTTGCCTCCTAGGATTATGCTTTTCCTCGAGTTTAACAAAAGCTCGCGAATCAGCAGGTTGTAAACAACTTAAATACTCTCCAGAGCAAATAATACTACTAGATGTCATACTTCAATTATTGGTTTTGTAGGGATTTTGTTTGTTTGATTGGTTGGAGGATTTCATCATGAGCTGACATCAGTTAGATAACCATTGGAAAACCTGGGGGGAGTGGGCAGTTGTTTCGTTCCACTAGTTTGGAACTCCTCATCAGTACACACTCACCGACAGGGTTCGAACCCAGGACCTTATTGTTACAAGGCGAGCTCGTAGATCATTAGGCCAGCGGAAACCTGTCCAATGGCCCATGAATTTTTAAAAACAGTAGGGCACAGCAGTCTGAAGGTGAGGCAGTAACTCATCGAAGAAGATATTGTGAAGTGGTCTCACTATATCATGAATTGGTAGAAGTTAAAATTCATGGACTGCCATTGGATCGGGTCCCAGTGGGTTGTAACCAAAAGGTCATGGGTTCGAACCCGGTCTGCGGGTGCATACTGTCCCAAACTAGTGGAACGAAACAGCTGCCCAGTTCTCCTAGGTTTTCCAGTGATTCTCTAACTGATGTCATACTTTATTAGATTAAAAAAAACTGATCAGGAGAAATTATATGCAATATATTGATGGAGATGTTATAGTGGCACAAGTTTTAAGCAGCCTGCTTAGAGCAGTACACATAAGTGTTAGGCTTCAGAACATCTTCTCTACTACTTTGAACTTCAATATTTATAAGTGGGACCAGTAAAATATATACTGACAGAGTATACGGTTGGATGATTTTTGTATATTGCAATATAAATTGCCTAACCAATGCTCTGACCCCGGTACTAAAGATAAATTTAGCCTGAATGTAGTAACACAATAGCCTGTAACAAAAAACAGTGGTAAGATATCTCTAAGCAAGATGATTAACATGTTTACATTACTAAATTATAATTAATTTTGTACAGTTGAGGCGACATAAAAATAATTTTTTTATTTTATAACAACATTTGTCCAGCCCAACTGTACACGGTGAATTATTGGCTATGAATTTAACTCTTGAAGATATTCTTGAAACTGGTGATATACCAGAAGCTTGTGCTGGGGATAAACTACCAATTCAACAGGCGGAAAATATGCATTGTATGCTTGGCAAGCGTACTAGAGAGAAGAGACGTGATCTACAACAGACACCAGGTATTACAGCTACAACAGGTCCAACAATGACAACGCAAACACCAAGTACAGAACAGAGTACAGGTAAAACTCAAAGTATCAGTCCAAATCTACAAACTGCTACATCAAGTTCATCTAAAAAATTAACAGGTGACAATAAATTTTTAGTTATTTTTGTTGACTGAAATATATTTGTTAGTTGTATATCAGTGGTCTGTTTGAGTAAATTAGTTACAAATATTTATTTGATTACTGTAGACTGTTGTAAGCAAAGGATGAAAATGAAATGCGCTAAACTTGATCGATTCGTTGATTCGCTTGTTTCTTTTTTATTCTTCGATGTAACCACACAGATAAACAAATTTCCATTCATATACAGGCTACATGTCAATAACTTAACAAATAACCTTTTATTTCAACGTCTTTATACATAAAACCACTCACTACTCAGCACTGGAATTTGTTCTCGGCATATATATATATATATATATATATATATATATATATATATATATATATATATATTAAATGGCTGGAGGCAGCTAGAAGGAAGCCTCGTCTGACTTAGGCTTTGTGATTGTTGGTATTCAGCCGACAGTAAGACGTATCTTCAACTATGAAGGAATTGATGTCTCTGTGTGACCCAGCCACAGACGCTACCATTAAACTTTTCGGCTTTGTGACTTATCCCCTGTGTGACTATATTTGATACTTTGATTTGATACTTAGTGTCATGTGTCCAGTTCTATCTTTGGTGTAGATTTGATTCTATCCGTCAAGTTTGCAGTGTGGCCACTATGCTAGGTGGCTCACCATCACTGTGCACTGTGAATTGTTGGTATTAGATGGTTGGAAGCAGTCGGCAGGAAGCCTTTGAAAAAGGTTTCGTGCTAGTTGGCACTCACCAGTCAGCAAGGAATGTCTGCAGTCCTGAAGGAATTCATAGCGCCTCTGAATTCGATATATATATATTTATATATCGTGCTCAATTCTAAACCCATAGAAATATATATATGGGTTTAGAATATATATATATATATATATTAAGTGGTTAGAGGCATTCGGAAGGAAGCCAAGCCTGATTTACGTTCGTGTTTGTAAACATTCACCAGTCAGAAAGGCGTATCTGCAATCTTGAAGGAATTCATGTCTCTTCTAAGATACTAAGCCGTGTCACTCAGTGATATAGTCAGTCAAAGAAGTTACCACTGAGCTATTCAGGCCCATGATTGACCTCCTGTAGGACTCTATTGGATTCTCTGATTAGACACTGGGTAGTAATAAGTGTAATGCATCTAGTCCCTTGTTTCATGTAGACTGAATTCTTTTAATCAAGTTTGAAATGTGACCAACATACTAGGCGGCTTGACATCACTGTGTACTGCGAATTATGGTTATTGCATATCTGGAGGCTGTCGGCAAGAAGCTTTGGATATAGGTATCGTGCTTTTTGGGACTCATCAGGAAGGTGTATCTACAGTCTTGAAGGAAATCATTTTCCTTCTGAATTTGATATATACCTATATTGGGAACAGCCATCTAGACAGGCTGACAAGTAGAATCCATTTTTTGTGATTCTATTGTCATCTCGAGTTTTTCCACCAATCTTTCCTGGTCCTCCCATATCTTGCTAGTTACTCGAAAGATGTTTCGCTTAACGTTCTACGTTAGGACGTTTAGGCAATCTGGTATAAAGCAGTCTTTGCTTTCTTAGTTTGTTAATTCTTGTATTCTACCCATCCCTCTTTACTGCTCCCCATTCATCTTTCCTGGACTACTTAAGAAAGACTTTGCTTTGCTGAGAAGGGCACTAAAAGCCATTGGTAGGGCAAGTGAGATATCGTTAAACCAACTGGTTAACACTATTGTGGATAGACATATAATGAATGTCATGTAAGAAACTAGCGAATACAATATTGTCAGACCACGAGAATCCTCTCTATACGCAGCTCTCCACTTGCATTTCATCTGGTAGAACTAGAAGCAGCTCTAGGAGGAGGCTATATGCTAGGACTTCCAAGTACAAAAACCCCACAATACCTTATCTGGCACAGCTGTTATGTGATGAGAAATCCGTTAGGTATAACACGATCAACTTACTGCGGCACTCTAACAAATAGTCCCATTAGTTTTTGCTTTCCTTTCCTCGTTACTATTACACTGTTGTTCACATCTTCTATTACACACTAATTTTATATTTCATATCCTGTGTGGTGCATTGTTTAAAATGTAAACGCAACGCTATTTTTTATTTTATTTTATTTATCTATTTTTTTTGGTTGTTGTTTTTTGATTTTAAAATCTTATAAAACTTATGAGGTAATTAGATGCAATATTGTACTGCACGCTGAAAATTCCATAGCTATACCACGAATACTGTTTGGAATAAAGCTATTATTATTATTATTATGAAATAGAGAGCCCCAACTATTGTTCATCCATGAATTTCTTCGTCCCTATGATATTATTCAGTAGTTAGCAAATACACTTAAGTAAATCTGTCTAAGGAATAACGATAAAAGCCTTATCTACTCGATATAATCATAACAATGTTTCTTTAGGAAAAAATCGGTTGCTGTATAATGTCCATTCATCTTCGTCTTCTTTAAATGTACTAAGTTGTTATTGTAAGTCGATGGTGTAAAATTGTGACCGACTAATTTTATAGCCACTCTAACAGAATGTTTTTCTTGAGAAGACCACTTAACCAGTATCATATTTTAATTTGTTTTGTGTACACCTACTTACATTTTTGTCTTGTTTTTCATATTACTTCCTCCTATGAGTTACAATTTGTGAGTTTTCATTATTCTAAACAAACCTGATTGTGAATAACATTAACCTCAGCAAGTAAACTATAGTATTCATATCAAATATTTATTTATTGACACTGAATTTAAACAACAATTTAAAAAAGACTATTTGAACTTTTCAGAATTCAGATATAGTTTCCTGCCACACTTGGCTTTAAGGTGATAAAACTACCACTCCAACTAAAATAATAATAATAATATCTAATCGATTGTCATGAATAAAATGTGAACTGATAAGGGTCATGTAAATGAAATTGGTTAAATGATAGTTTCTATTTTGTTAGAATAATTCAGATATTTCAATACAGTTGTCATTGAATTTTAGTTTATTTGGAAATCGAGGAGTACTGGACAGCCATTTCTTCCTCATTCGCCACTCTTCGTCAGTACTCGCCCAACCCCCCCTCCCCCCCGAACCATCGATCGAACCCAAGACCTTAGGGATAAAAGACGAACTCGTATACTATTCAGCCACTGGGATAGTCCGATGGCTGATAAATTCCAACCTCTGACATTTAGAGTTCCGGTGGTACTGCATACTTCTGAAGAGTCCTACACAAGGATGAAAGCACCTTCTGATACTCCCTGGTTCCTAACATTTCTGCAAATGAAGTCACTTCGTGGTCTAAAATGATGGTAACCATCTATGAAAGTTTTAGTAACTATGCTGCTACATTTACACTAGTATGGCTCTTTATTTTCATTCAGTTTTGAAAAGGATTGTCCAGGTTCAACAGTTGACGTTTATGACTTATGTATTTAAATTCTAAGAAGTTTTAAGTCCACTGTGTGAATTCTGAACGGTCAGAGATACAACTAAAAAAACGAAACTGGAGACAACACTGGACATCTTTTTCATCATTCTAGTTTAAGTTTATTCAGGGGTGCACGATCATTACCCCATCAGATGTCGAACCCAATACCTACATTTCACGAGACAAACAAGTTATCAATAACCCACTAGATCATAACTCATTAGGCTGTGAATTTTGACTTCTTTTGATTCCTGATATCATCCCTTACTATCACCGAATACCAGACCACTTGATGGATCTTCCTAGTCTTGGCTTCTTATTAGAACTCGTAGCCAACCGTCGCAAAATTGGTTACTGATGAGCAGCACATTAATTTTCAAGTATTATTTTGTGACTTTTTGACGAAACCTACCCTAAAATTAATCAATTCTTCAAAAACTTTATAACTTTGTAACGTCATACCAAGAATAAAAATGTCAGTTAATAAGCATGTTCTAATTTACCTATACTTCTAGACTGTCTGTTGTTAAACCGATGAAAAACATATAGCAGTATGTAATGTATTCATCATAAATGAATTGCTTTTTTTTCTCCAACCCTTACGGATACTCTTTTTTATATAATAGGTGTAAGTACAATCAAGTTGAGTACTCTGGATACACCGATAGCAGCATATGAATTAATCAAAAAGTGTTTAATTTTGTGGAAACGTGTTGAGTTATTGAAATATGCTTGGGGAAAGAGAAGATTAGGCATTGAACGAATTAATACACCATCAGCATTTAAAATGTTTTGGTAAGATCATTATTTTTTGTTGCTTTATTTTATTATTATTATTGTCTAACAACATTAAATTATGATTATCGTAGGTTGTAAAGTTGTAATACTCACATTTATGTCATTAGAATAAATGCATACTTGTGGTCTTTTAGGAATGTTCGCCAACCATGCATGTGGTTCACAGTTTGATCCCCGGCCATCAACTCGCTCCTTTACCTCGCTAAATCAGTAATAAAAATGGTAAAAAGGGAAGGTTGAACACGAGGCTAGTAAACCCATTCCGTTTAAAATAAACACCACTGCTATCGAAACTTCAAGCCTCTAGCCTGAAGCCCTGTGTCCCACTGGGGATGTGAAGGAATGAAAAAAAATATGTATATATTAACTATTCTGAACAGTGTTCACATATGATGTACAGGATTTTCAGTGTAATTTACTGCTTAATGGTTTCTCCTTGTGCAGGATCTTCAAGTAAAGCAGTAATTGATGGTAGGTCGTTTGACACGATGTTGTCTAACCTGAAATGCAAACCAATCCTTTACACTGTTTCGTTTTGTATGATATTTGAATGAAAGCCATTTGAAAAAGTGGCAAGACCCAAGGACATAAGTGAGTAATTAGATACTTCAGGCATTTGGTTTTTATTTTTCAGACAATACAGTTAGTGCTAAATATCTCAGGAACAGTAATCTCGTGTATTGAGATACTCTGCCACCTACGCTTTTGCTTTTCTCAAGTTTAGTAAAACCTCGCGAATTAGCGGGTTACAGGGAAATCAATAGACAAGGCTGTGCAGTTACACTGAGATGGTCAGGACATGTGTTACGCATGCCTAGCCCATAGCCTTTCTCGACTGCCAATGCTAGCTGACATAGGGTTAGGTTAGAAAAGAGCCAGTGGTGGTCAAACGAAAACATGGCTTCATCAGTCAATGAAATCCACAACAGTTAGTTTGAGCCACGTAGGGAGGTGTGGATGTTTTGACTGGCTGGGGTCCTTCGGACGGTAAACACCAATAAAAGCTGGACAAAATTGATGATATGGCTCAAAATCGTTCTCAATAGCACAGGTTCATCTACTCCTTGTGACTTATAATTTTCAATGGAACTTTATTGTTCGTCAATATTACCATTCTATTTGCCTCATATCTCTGTTTACTGTCTGTATTTTGCGTTTCTTTTTACTTTCTTCTTCTTCTTCTTCTTCTCTGGCTTTGTGTGCTACGTGGAGTGTGGCGACTCGAACTGCTGCACATCAGTGCAAAGTTCTATGTTGAAACCAGACAGACAGACAGACAGCTGGCCAGCATTAGAGTCCATATTTTAAATGAATGAAATAAACTGAACAATAGAAATTATATACAATATAATGACGGAGGCTTTCGGCAGCCTAAGTTTTTAAGCAGGCTGCTGTGAAAGTATATTGAATGTCTTGGTAGTTTCTAATAATTTTCCCCCTCCTCCCCTCATTTCTTTGGATTCCGAGTGGAGTTTAGAAATTTAAGTTATGAAATTTCAGTAAGAATAGTGATATCCTGTCTAATGATCAATCTTACATCCGCTTAGACCCTTAGAATATGTATTATTTAACTCTTATGTTAGTATTTAAACTAGTGTGCGCTGAAATTGATGTTTGCCTCCAAACTGATAAAGTTATAAACAATCCTTATCTTGGTTACGGGATTTCATCATGAGCTGACTGACATCTGTTAAAGAAACATTGTAAAACCTGCAGGGAGTACTGGACAGCTGTTTCGTTCCACTAGTTTGAGGCTCTTCATCAGTGCACACCCACCGTGGTTTGAACCCAGGACCTTGTGGCTACAATGGCCACAGAGCTCGTAGACCAGTAAGCTACTGGGACTCAATCTAATTCCCAACCCATGAGTTCCAACTTCTACCAATTCACGAAATAGTGCGACCACTAGCCAATGTCTTCGGCAAGTATTTGTCCTCACGCCCAACCTGCTGTACGCTACCGGCCACGACTTCCCATTAGAACCCCAGGTAACTACCTACCTGAATAGGTTCAGTTGCTAGTGAGCATCTCATTGATCGAATCCCTACAAACCAATACTTGAATCCTTATCTTAGTGACTCGACGATTTATTTATTCGTTATAAGTCAGCAATATTTAAAGTTGAGGTAAAAACATAATGCACAACTGTGTCTGGGTCATTTCATCCGTTACCTGTAAAGGTGGGCTTTTTTAAGCGCTTAACCAACGGAATGAAAATTCGAATTTGAATGCAAAGAAGGTAAATAATGAAATAAAACAGATGAGAGAATCATTGTTATTAAATAACTATAACACAAAATTCATTAGAAACTTTGGGACAAGCTGTGTGTTGTAAACGACTCTAAAAATCAGATATGACAAATATTCCGATCAATAAAGTTCTTTGCAATGACTGTGACTTTAGTTACGTAATCCAGTCCAGTTAGGTTAAGTCAGCAGGACATTAGGATTCAGTTAAGTGTTAAACTGTTTGCTCAAAAAATTGACCAACTTAGAGAAGATTTCAATAAATGCAATGCATTCACCCATACACAATCACTCAATAAAGCAGGATAGGAGTACAGTTCGAGAGAGGAATATAGTAAAGAGGAGAGAATGGTAGAATCCCTGTTCAGCTAATATACTCTTAACAAATTCAGTAGGAATGATGAAACCCCAATTCGAGAGATATCGGAAATATTCATACTAATAAAATCGAACGATACTAAATAATGGAACTGTGTCGAAAAGAAAACTGACGTGATATATTGCCGATATTGAGACCTAGTGGACTGCGATCTATATGAGTCTAAAACCCAACAGACTACTCTAATCGTTAATTGCAGCGTTAAGCACTGATGGGTAGAAAGAATTGAGAAGATAAAACGTTGAAGAAAGAGTTTCTAATGTTTCAAATAACAGTTGAAGCACTTTATAGTGGTGCTGAGTATATGCCTTTTCACAAGCGTTAAATTCACTTGATAAATGTTAGCTACAAATGACAACTCAGTCTTGAAAAGGAGTGGGGAATTCAAATAGCTATTTTATTTAAGATTAGGCAAAATCAAAAGTATAAAAATTTTGATGTGACCATAAGCAAAAAAACTTCGGTTGAAAAGTTATTAGTGAACACAGGGTTTCAGGTGCATATCTTTGTTTCATTCTGTTCTCTGCAGTCTTCTGTAGCTGGTCCCACGATTACTCATAGGTTCTCATTTCCTCCTCATACGACAGCCTCGGTTTCACACTCGGACCCACGCCCAACTTGTGGTTTCTCACTCACTTTCCACTCCAACTATGTATGGCCTGGCGAATGACGTCATCAAAAGGTCTCGTGAACATGTGTCTAGCCCATCTCTATTTTCTTCCGAATATTTGTTCGCCAACAGGTCTTTAATTATTTCGTTCTCAGTGTCCCTTGTTCCGAATTCTTTTCGGCCAGCTGGTCATCTGATCTTCATTACTGAGACAGAAAATGGGGTGAGTGTTCAAAACACGGACATTTTACTTCGTGCTGAGCACAACGGATTTTCACACTGATTCCAGATTGATAAAGGTCTGGCTTGCCCTTCTGATTCTAGTTTTGGCATCCTCATTCGTGTCACTCCCTGAAGTTGAAACGATATTGACTAGATACGTGAAGTAACTCTCCTCTCTCATATATATTCTGTTGGTAGTCAAACTGCATATCAAATGAAATGAAATTATATTACAGAATTATACTCTAACAGTGTGCCTTAATTCTTTTCTTAAATCAATTTACTGAAGGTGTTTGATAACCTCACATTTTCTGTAAAAATGGACATTCGGTTAATTTGTAGTATTTCATAAAATAACTTCATTTTGGCATTTACCCTCCATTTTAGTTCAATTTACAAACGTGAGAAGCTGTATCCTTTATTACGAAATTTATCTATACAATATCGTCAGCCTGATATGTATTCTTTTGGTCCATTGAATGATAGTGACATCTTTGTTATGCCTAAAAATATTCCAGAAATTGTTGTCAGACAACGACAAGTAAGTTATATTTCTTTTGAATAGTTTTGATTTCTTGATGTATATGATGAAATTTTTGATTTAGTTTGTATTTTCCTGTCGACTGATTTTACCGAAATGAGCGGCATCTGTTGACATGTCGCCTCCTGCCTAGTACGGGCACTTCGACGATGTCTGGGGATTTAAAACATTTATTTCCCGATACGAATTTACAACAAACAATAAAGGTTAATAAAGCAGGATTTAATGAATTCATCAAGTTTCGGTAGAACTCGTCAGCTGAATACTCTACATACACGGATATATATACTTTTGAAATTACATTGGGAGATATTAGACTGATAAGTAAACAAACTACATAGAATTAATCATGCAGAAAGACACGTGCGAATGTTTTCCAGGTCATGTTCAAATAGATAAGGGGAGAGAGAGTATGAGAGATCAAAATTAAGATAAATTGCATTACGCTTCAATTGCATCACTTAGATAAACAATTAGTCACTAGGGAATATAAGGAGAATTGCAAACAGACTAATATCATTAGTAATAGTTATAATAACAGTTTTAATAGTGCTGAAGTGAGTTAAGATAACCTTACTGATAAAGCATAGTTTTAGATGAATCAAGAATAATAATAATAATGGTAATAATAATAACAATAATAGTAAGAAGAAGAGGTAGAATAATAACAAGTAGAGAATAAAACGTATTACCATGGTAGATTCAGAGTCACGACCACCTCATTTTGTATACACAGAGCTGGTTTATAAATTCGAATTGCACAAGCCTCTGCAATTGCAAGCATCTTCTTGTTTCTTTGTTTGCTGACAATGGTAAATGACTTGACTGCGTTGATATCATGTCCGTAATCTACAAGATGTTTTGTTATTGAGGATTTTGGCACTTTGAACTTAGCTGTTTTCAACCATTTTGGCAAATGCTCCATCATTTGATTTTGATTTTTGATTTACAGCTTTATTCCACACTGTATTTTTGGTACAAGTATGGAATTTTCAGCATGGATATCGGTAGCCCAAATTTTGCAGGCCGACCATAGATATCAGGTGTGCGTCGGCGTGGGCTCGAACCCCGGACCATGTGCGAGTAGACAATCGCCTTTCCGTACGACCTATGTATTTGCTGCCACAAACACACTCAAATTGATATATGCAGTTTGAAGTGTCGAGGATTGGCGACTGGTCTTTCCCAGATTGTTGAAGCACTCGCTTGGTGGTGTTAAGGATAACAAGTTTTGCAGCATAATAAGTTCTCTTGATGGCTTTGTCGAGTCTTCGTTTCACTACTTCTTGTACGTCATCTCCTTTGAACGGCAAATTGATATAAACAGGTTTCTTTGGAACTGTTTGAATTGTTTTGCGGGGGTAGTTTCTTTGGAGTATTTATTAATGAACTTCTCAGGATATCCATTCTTAGATAAAATATCCTTCAGAGATTTTATTTCCTGTTCAATAGTACTGTCAGAACAAATTTTCCGTGCTCTATTGAACAGTGTTCTGACTAGGTTCTTTTTGTACTGGATTGGGACAAAGCTCTTGAAATGCATGTACTGTCCTGTCCATGAAGACTTTCTAAATATAGATCTTTCGATTGTGCCATCATTCATTTTGGCTAGAAAAACGTCTAGGAATTTCATAGTATCGTTTTCCTCGTGTTCTACTGTGAAATTGAGATTTGGATGGCATGAATTGAATTTTATCAACATGTCTTCCGCTTTTGATCTGCTTTCACAGACAATAAAAATGTCATCAACATATCTTAGGTATACATTTGTTTCTTGTATATGTTGCTGCAAAGCACCGGTTTCTAGGCGTGACAAGAATAAGTCGGCGAAAAGTGGTCCCAAAGGGCTTCCCATTGCGACACCATCAACTTGACGGAACAGACGCCCGTTGAATTGGAATTGGACATTTTTAGTACATAAAAGTAGTAATTTCCTCAATTCCGATGTTGGAATGGGTATGTCTTCAGCTTCTTTACATATGAAGTCGATAGTCTCAACGACTGGCACATTTGTGAAAAGGGAGGTAACATCGAAAGAGACCAAATGCTTATCGGATACATTGAAATCTTTAATTTGATTGACAAATTGAAATGAATCAGAGACTATATGTGTTCCGAAACGTTTCAACAATGGCTGCAACAGTTCACATAACCACTGTGCTAGTCTGTGGTATGGTGAGTTTATCATAGAGAGTATGGGTCTTAACGGCGCTCCTGGTTTGTGTATTTTTACGCGTCCGTATAGTTTTGGGATTTGTGACCCAATCGGTTTGATATTTCTATATGTGTTTTCGTCTATGTATTTATTTTTGAAGAGTTGTCGTAGATGCTGCACAATTTTCCTTTCGGTTGATAACGTTTGGTCTTTTGCATGGTTATCCAATTTGAATTTAGATTCATCGGCGAGAATTTGATGCATTTTTTCGAGATAATCTATCTTGTTCATTAGCACTACACTTTGTCCTTTATCAGCTTGTAGGATAACAAGATTTTTGTCTTTTCGAAGCTTGTTTAAAGATCGCCAGTGTTCTTTGGTGATATGCGACTTTTGATTGGTCGGCATGACTCGAAATTGATGATTTAACTTGAATTAATTTGATAGATGGTGACTAACAGTGGGATTCAGCATGGAATTGAAATAAACATAAATTTCTTAAAATTCCATGTTTTAATACACTGCATGACTAAATTATTACAGACTAACCACACATACAAAGACAGTGAAAACCAGAGAGCACCGTATAAATCTTTCGTCATGGTCATCGGCTCTTCAACAGTAGTCATCGATGACCTCAATGGGAATGGAAACCATGACCTGTAGGTTGTGGGTTAGCTAAGCTATCACTCACCTATTGGAATGAAGTCTAATGCTCCATGAAATGGTATAGGTTAGAACTAACAGGCCATTGAATATAATTCCAGTGACTGACTGGTAACCTGGTTGCCTTGTATCCTGGATATCATGAGTTTAGTCTTTGTAAAGTTATGAGTTGCACACTGGGATAAAACAGCTGACCTAAGGATGCCTGAAATCGCGTCCAGTCATCTATAGAAACACTCATAATGGCTGTTGATTCTAGTGGATTTCTGTCAGTGAGAACACTTTCAATAGCAAGTCTTTAACTAAATAGATCTATATGACTGTTAAAATAATTAAATAAAACAATATAAATCAGGTGGATGCTTTTTTCTAAACAGGAATTCATTTATCTGTATCTTTCCTAATGTTTGTTTTTTGTTTTGAATTATTCTAGTTACTTAAACTTATAGAGGCATTTGAATTCTTCATGATATCTGATTTAAGAAAGTTAGTTGTACGTCAAACTGATTTAGTAATCAAGGAGCGTAATCGTGAAGAAGGTAATCTACCATTAGATTTATGGAAAAGACCTGTAAGTATGTTTTCCTTGGGTTTTTGTTTATTTATTTGCTCAATTTTAAGTGCTTTGTAAAACACTGTATATGGTGTGAGCTTGTGTACTGTGAAGTACACTCACGTTTTTCGTAACAGTATAAATTCTAAGATATATATGATGGAGATGATTTGTAGCTCAGGTGGATGATTTTGATTTGGTTGTGTTCTCTGAGCTGGACAGTTAATTTGTGAAGCTTTCATTGCCCTACTAGGCAACATCTTCAGCGCACACTTCAATTTGAAGTCAGCTCTTAGATTTCTTCACGAGTTTATTAATCATCCCAGGTCACCAGGAGGGATGATTAATAAACTCGTGAAGAAATCTAAGAGCTGACTTCAATTTGAAGTGTGCGCTGAAGATGTCTGTCTGTCTGTTTTCGACATAGAACTATGCACAAATGTGCGGAAGTTCAAGTCGCCACATTCCGTGTAGCACGCGAAGCAAGAGAAGAAAGTACAAGAAAAGCATAATAGAAACAGTGAGCAGAGGTGTGAGACAAAGGAGTAATAAAGAAATACAAAACAGTTTCATTGGAGATCATAAGTCACAGGGAGTGGATGCATCTGCGCCACTCAGAACGGTTTTGAGCCATATCACCAATTGTTTCCAACCATAGGTTTTTACCGTCCCGAGGACCCCAGCCTGGAAGTCTACACCTTCCTACGTGACTTAGACTAACTGTTGTAGATTTCATTGACTGGTGGTAAGTTTTGTTTGACCGCCGCTAGCTTTTTTCCAACCTGACCCTATATCCGCTAACATAGCTCGTCGAGGGAGGCGATGGCTTGGCATACGTAACACATGTCCTAACCATCTCAGTCTTTGTAGCTTCACGACTTCGTCGATTGATTTCCCCTGTTTACCTAGAACTCTACGCCTAACCTCAATGTTGCTCACCTTATTATGCCACTTTACACGGGAAATAGAACGCAGGCACCTATGATCAAAGACAGCTAGTTTTTTCATGTCTTCCACTCTGAGTGGCCAGGTCTCACAACCATAAAGGAGGACGGAGCGGACTGATGAGCAGTACACCTGCCCTTTGGTCGATAGTCGAACATCTCGTCTACGCCAGAGTCGGCGTAAACTAACAAATGCGAAACGAGCCCCTTGTATTCGTGCTGAGATTTCGTCAGAGATCAACCCGTTGGCACTGGCTGATGGTACTTCCCAAATAAGTGAAGCGGTCAACGTGCTCTACCACTTCACTCCCTATTTCTAATCTAGGAGTCAGTGTAGTCCAGTCCTGTAACATCATCTTGCATTTGGCGGGAAACCCAATCCAACATCATGTCCAAATCCGTTAGAACACACTGTCCGTGTCACATCACCTTTCACACTAATTTTATCTCATTTCTAGGTAAATAGAAAATATTTACATCAATCGATCACGCTGTATTCACCTTATCTTAAATGCACAAATAACATCTGATCTCATTAGATTGACTGTGTAAAAGTGTGGTGAGAGCAGCCTGCTAGCCAATTGGCTGACATTAATCTACGTCAATGTCTAGGTCACTGATACGGGCCTTGAGAAAATATGATCAAGGCTGTTTCAACAACCAATCACAGCAAACTTAAACGTGGGCAAATGTGATTTGCAGATAGATGGCTCCACTTTCCGAGGAACTCGAAAACAACCAGTCAGAAGACTGCGTTTTTCTACTTGACTAGGCTATAATTATGTATGTGAAATTTATATAAATACGTGTCGATTCTCGTAATAAAACGATCTGTTGCCTGGCCCTTGTCTTCTGTTGTTACAAAAGTACTGCTATCTCTGACCTCAAATAGAATGTCCAAATACATCATATAGTATTCTGTTGCTAATGCAGTATTGAACTGTAGGAATAAGTGAGAATAAAATTCCATTGAAACAAATTGTCTAATATCACACCATCACAACAGTACATTTTGTGTTAGAAGCCTTATTAGAAGTAAAAAGAACTCAAAAACAACCCCCCCCCCCCAAAAAAAAAATACAACTACATAAAACCTATTAAAATCCAGTGGTTCACCATTTTCATGCAACTATGCTACCGTACACTTTGAATAATCTAGTCATACATCTGTGGTGAGAGCTGACTGTTAGTCAAAATTAGTGGATTTACGTCAATGTTTATGTCGCCAATATTGGTCGTGAGAAAAATGAGAACAAAGACTTTGCGTAGGCGGATACATTTAACATATAGATGATCTGACATTCAAGAAACAGCCACAAAGAGGTGCAAGGTTAACTTTCTGTGAGAAACAACCACCAATCAGAAGACTGTGTTTTTGTGCTAACAATAATCTATAATAATGTACATGAAAATCTATAAATATGTGTTGATTTCGTAAATAAACGATCTGTTGACTGGCCCTTGTCTTCTGTCGTTATACATCTCCTTTCCACAATAATTTATAAGTAAATGAAGAAATTCGAGGGAAATTAAAATAAACAAAATAGTAAGTACGGAAGGTGGAAAGACAAATTAACTGACACCTTTTTATGCCTTCCACTTTCAACGACCATGTGTCACAGTCATAAAGGAGAGCAGAGCGGACTGCTGCTGAGCAGTATATACTTCCTCCTCTGGTCGATAGCCAACCGGAGATATCACGTCTACTAAGCCAGAGATAGCTGACAAATACCAAACGAGCCTTCTGTATCCGTGCTGAGATTTTGTCAGCGATCAACTCTCTGGGGGTAATTCAACTCCCAAAATAAGTGAAGTGGTCATCACAGTCTACTATTTTACTCTCCTCATCTTCACGGTACGAGTGAGCCAATGCAGTCTAATCCCTCTAGCGTCATCTTACATATGACAGGAGCAAATCGCATACACAATATTTGAAGACTGTTGCTCAGAAGACTCTGCATTTTATCAGTATCCATCGAGGACAACAGTGTCATCCTTATAGTACTATGATTAGACTTTTCCCTGGTAACAAGTCAATCCCTAAACCACTGAAGTCAGGCCAGGGTCAATTCCATTAATACGTCTATGATGAAACTGAACAGAAATGAGGACAGCAGACATTCCTGACGGACAGTACTGGCTGTCATAACCTCAAGAATTTTGTAACACTCAGTAAAAGCATACACAAAGAAAAATATAATGAAATTACAATTAACAAAGGCTTAATTAGAGAAACTAATTATTCATCTGTGCCACTGCCGAGAACAATTTTCTGTCATGTCACCGAATAGGTCCCAACAATTCATTTTTAGCACCCCGAAGACTACACACAAGTAATTTACACCCTTTCAAAGTAAACCAATAGAGTCAAAGACTGTATTGATTGTTGCCAAGGTTTGATTTGACCACATCTCTCTCTCTCTCTAACTCTTTACTAGCGTCCCCCAAATCAGCTAATATTGCTCACTGAGAAATGCGATGGCTGGACAAGCAGCTATAGCATACACAACCTAGCCATTTCGGCCGATGTACAACATAATAACCCTATCGATTTAAGCTTCCTCCTTAGCTAACACACTGCACTTAACCACATTATTATGTGACCATAGTAAATCACCTAACACGGGAGACAAACATAGGTGTGTATATATGGCCAAAGATAGATAGCTACGTGTCTCAAAGTCGTAAAGTGCTAATAATAATAATAATAGTATTAAACACTTAATAGAACAAAATATTAAAAATAGCCATGTGCATGTCCTCGTAAATCGATTTTTAAGATAAGCATCGTTCAGCAGTATTGTTTACATTGTTCGTATAATCAATACAACAACAAAGTAAAATAATTCACTTAGGTGTGTAGTGCAATTTGCATATGTTTTCAATTGTTTAGTGAACTGGCTATTTTAAAAATAGCTTAATTTTGTACTATATCCATCAATCACATACCTTATGATCAGTAGAAACAATATTATTATAAATATTATATAGTGTAACACTTTAATAACAGCACACATATTAAGTCTAACCTATTCTACTACTCTGGGTAGTAAAATACCGCAATTCACACGACAAAGACACTGATAATTATACTACTGGTGTACTGCTGCATTCATGATTTTAATGTTTTTGGCTGTTAGACGGTGTAATAGGGTGAATACCATTGATGTTAGACGTCGACTACTAGGTGAGGATGGAAAGTTAACCGATGAGGTTATGAAGCTAATGTGATTGTGTTACGTGTGCCTAAGGGAAAATGTTAGCTGGTATAGAATCAGGTTGGAGAAGACAAGTTAGTGGTGGTACCAATCCATGAAATCTTTGACAGTTAGTTTGAGCCAACCATGTAGGAAGGTGGCTGACTGCCTAACTGGTTGGGGTCCTGGGGATGGCTGGGGAGACACAATCGGTGATAAGGCTCAAAATCATTGTCAATGATGGAGATGCATTCACTCTTCGTGATCATCTCCCACTATTCATTAAACCCTAATGTTACTTCATGTTACTATTCTTTCTCCCTCAATTTGATACTTATTATCGTTCTGGACAGCTGTTTCTCCCTAGTTTTGGGCTCTTCAGCAGTACGCACCTACCACCAGGGTTCGAACCCATTGTATTCGTGCTGAGATTTCGTCAGAGATCAGCCCGTTGGGGCTGATAGTACTTCCCAAATAAGTGAAGCGGTCAACGTGCTCTACCACTTCACTTCCTATTTTTAAACTAGGCGTCGATGTAGTCCAGTCCTGTAACATCATCTTGCATTTGGCGGGAGCGAATCTCATGCCAAACATTCGTAGATTGCGGCTCAAGGTGTTTAGAAGACTCTGCATTTCGTCAGCGTCTTCGCCTAGAAGGATGTTGCCTAGTAGGGCAATGAAAGCTTCACAAATTAACTGTCCAGCTCAGAGAACACAACCAAATCGAAATCTTAGGGATACTTCAGAAATATTATGAAAATTTGCAATCTCAAACTGCATAATACTTTGATATAAGAATAAAACTTGTGCACTGTGGTAGAGTGTAATTCCATTATGGGTAAATTTTGTTTTGATAAAGTCTCACAGTGTTATACAGTAATGTTTACTGTATATACAGTAAACATTACTGTATAACACTGTGAGACTTTATCAAAACAAAATTTACCCATAATGGAATTGCATAATACTTTTTCTAAGAACAGGAGTTATTCTTATACTCTAAGAGAGCATTCCAGTAACCCGATAATTCTTTGGTTCACAGCTATTTGTTACTTGAGCTACTAGACTCTATTGAAATAAGGGTTATTTTAAGCATTCAAAGCATTAGCCATATGTTGTTCACTTTCACAGGAGATGGCCATCCAACTTTAATTCTTTTCCTTTTCGAAAATGTCTTCTTGATGTATGCAAAACAGTATATTTGTAAAAATCAGTCAAGTGGTCATTGCTGAACTGATTTGCAGAATAAAGTGTGTTGAACTGTTCATAAATTGAGGTGACCTTTCAAGTTACATCTCAAGCGTAGCCTTTGGTTGTAATCTTAATGGGAAGTGGCCGGTTGTGCCTCCGAGCATGACTTATGAGTTAAAAATAGAGGCTTGTGGGCAGTCATGAAGCCAACTGAAATTGACAATAGACAACCGTGCGGAATGCAAAATGTAACTCTGAAGTCCTGTATTTCACTTGGTGGTTCTGTCCATGAAATCGTAATCTCAAACTGTGTAAAATATACTATAGTTGTTGCGCATAACTAACGCCAGCGTCATAAAGACAATAGAAATGACGATGAATTAAAAGTGTGTGAAAGGTCCAAAACACACTCGCGCTCACCAACAGGTATAATCACGTATATCCACGTACACAGCGTAACCTGACTCTTCTAATGAGCCACAAAATCTGCAGTCCTAACACCACAAAAATGGTGCTTATCTCTCTAAAAATGTATTCGGTGGCAATACAGAACGATTCATCACCAAATTTATTAAGCCTACAAATTCAAAACCAAACGCCTTTTGCCAGTGAAATTCTAAACATGAATCAGAAATTCAATGGATATTCATCGAGAGATATCCTAAGAAACTCTATATCCCATCCACTAAAGAAAAACTCCACAGCTAAAATTTGACCTACTCTTTCTGCAAAACAAATGATACAAAAGAAAGTGAAGGATAAGCTTACACTGATGCCCTCGTCAGTGTGCATCTATCAATTCACCTGCTTCTGTAGAGTAAGGCATATCGGTTATGCTTAGAGTCTGCTATACAAGTGTATGATAGGAACACTTGTCCACATCGATTTAAGAATAAGTAAAAGATTTCTACTCCTCATGACAGTGATCTTTACTTGACTTTCTTTCAGTTCTAAATGAACTCTACTCAATCCTGTTAGTTGTGTTACGTCACTTAATTTATTTAATTCCGCTTCAGTTTTCCCGAATAAGTATTTACTGTATTACGTAATTTGGAATCTCTTAAGCGTTATTGAAAACCTACAACTTCAATGAAACTTCTTTGGAAATATTCCTTTAGCTGCTATAAAAATGTAGTATTTCCAAGTGTCAGTAGGTAGGGATTTGATTTGTTTCAAGTTTAATCGCGAACCGACATCAGTTGGAAAACCACTGGAAGACCACGGAGTTCTGAACTGCTGCTCCCTTCTTCAGCAGAACACAAACCCTTTCGGGGTTCGAACCCATGATCCTCCAGTCACAACGCTAGTTCGTAGACCATTCAGCCACTGAGAATCGATCCAATGGCCATTGAACTCCAACTTCCACCAATTTTTGATATTAATGCGACTACTAGCCAATGTAATCGGTGAGCTTTTATCCTCACGCTCGACATAGTGGACCCCACTGGTTATGATTTCTCACCAGAACACCAGGCGATTTCGTGCTGTAGCCAGTTACTAGTGATCACCAGATTAATTTTCAGAGGTTGGTTTGTAAGGATTTGACTGATTTCAAGTGTGATTGAGCAGTGACATCAGTTGGCGAAACATTAGGTGGGTGTGTTCAGTTGAAGAGCTTAAAAGCAGGATGAAACAGGTGTCCAGTACTCCCCGGTCTTCCAGTAATCCTACAACTGTTGTCAATTCGTGATCAAACTTGAAAATGCATTATATATGTACGTAGTTGTGCAGCTTGAAAATTTTACCGCTGAAAAGATTTACTCTTTACTTAATGCTTGTTCTTTTAAACTTTCTGGGAATCGCTAAGCTAGTATATACTTTTAAGACTACTAATAAAATTAAATTTAAAACAAACAGAATTTCACAAATATTTTGTGCATGTTTGCGTGATTTTGTCGTAAGGTGACATGATATTGAATCTCTTCGTGGCCAAAACCGTTTGTTTCAAGTTATCAGAACACTTCAAAATCAAGTGATATTTTTGTTAAAAAAAAGAGTATGCTAGTCTCTGATATACGACAGAAATACTTCAACTGAGTTTCACAGATTTGAAATGAAATAAGAAACGATTACATATATCATTGTATTTTCTAGTTGCTCATTTCTGCCTCTGATCCAAGATCAAATAGATTATGCACGTGGCAACAGTAATTACTGAATGTGAACGTATTTACTTTATTTTGATATACCGATAAAAGCATTAATTGATCTTTCACTGAACTGCTAGGAAGTTTTATTAGGGGATATTCTTTGTAAAATCTACTTAAAACCTGTAATTATTTAAGTAAACTGGTGGATGGTGACTAGCATAGGAGTCCTGGATACGCAGTTCTTCCTATTTGGGCCTTGTCAACTGGAGGTACCTGCATTCACTAATGACTGACTGATGGTGTTTTCTGCATTGAGGCTCGAACCCAGTACCCATCATTTCAGACGCCAAACTGTTATCCACTAGACCACTTGGGCCACGAAAGCCACCTCTGTAATTATTTAGCGTAAAAATCGTGTTGAAATAAAGTTCCAGGGTAAAATCAAACATTCAGTTTGCGAATGATAAAGATATTTAGCAACAGAGAACTGTAGAAAGCAAATTTAAACTACAGGTATAATGTACAAGATACTTTTGCATTAAAATGCTATTATTCTGTTATTTTTATGCCTTTATTCCTTTTAGCTCTCAGTGGAATATAAGGCTTCAGCTCTAAGGTTTCAATGGAAGTGATACTTATTTTTTAAGAGGTGGTGTTGCTTGCCTCACGATCAAGCTTCTCTCTTTCCCTGGGATCACTGTAAGCGAAACAAGGTTAAGGAGTGCTTTGGCGTCTTGGTCGAACCCCGGACCGTGTGAGGCGTCCTTGGCGAGCATCCTTCCATTAAACCGCTGATGCAAGCTTTATTCTATAGGGCATACCAAATTTATGGTAGCATATTTACGTTCCTAAAACAAGAAAGAAAATACGAATTAAATCAATGATCTGTCAGCACATAAGATTTGCTCATTTTATCTAGTAGTAAGTAAGGTTCTGATAAATTACTTAACCTATTTGTCTTCTATCCATTTAAAATAACAAAATGAATTCATTCAACAGGCAATGAAAGAATCTTTAACTGTACCACGACCTGCATTAGCTGAAGAATTTCTCAGTGAATTACTTTCACACACAACATACAATGAAAAAACTGATGTATATATATTGACCAAAAAGAATTTTAATGATGTTATACAAAATGTAGCCATTTCAGTGATGAGAAATGAACGAGAATCATTTGAACAGTAAGTTCGTATTTCTGTATTGCTTTATTTTGTTTTGTTAGAGAAAATTATTTCCCAATGTATTTTGTTATGCTTGTTTAAGTCTGCCACAAAGTTGTAGACATTGTTATTTTTTTTTAAACGAGGCCTGTTGATAAGGGCAGCAAGTGTGGCACTCTAACTTCTGGCTGACTGTCCTGCTTTTCTGTCTACTTAGCTGTGAAATTCTCTCAATTCTCAGCAACATTCCAACCAGTCAACTGGGTGACCGACATAATGTTGAGAAAACGTATCTCTGACCTACATGATCAATAAGTTAACCATTTGAAGGTTAAAGTAAATTTAAGATGTCATCTGTGGATAACTAATGCTGATATGCTGATCAAACACTAGGCTGTTACTTAAAGTTTCGATGATTTAAACTCTTAAGAGACAGTTCTTTTAAACAGTTTGATTCCTCATCTTCAAGTATGCAAGCCTTGGTACTTTTCCCCCTATCTCTGAAGATCCTATTTAAAACGTTACACTTTAAGTGGTACTTTTGAAGAGCCACACAGTTTAGACTTTTCAGTTACCAAACACCTGATAGACATAGGACGCCAAGTAGAAGCTCTCGCATCATTCAAAATAATTAACAGACAAAATAGTTCAAGTTTTATTCGGTTTGCTGAGGCTATCGCGATTAAATGGCTAAAAACAAACCTATGTAACCAAAAGGAATCTGTTGTTAGACTTTGGTTACCCTCGTCACTTATCGCTAAGTGACTATTTGTTTTCTAGCTTCATTAACTTATCTATCCAACCCTCCTACCTTCCCTTTTCCGTTTGATGTCCATAAGAGATCATTCTTCCTAAATTTATAAGTTCTACTCACTAAATTACATCATGTTTTCATTTGACCACTTGCGCACCGAATTTTAATCTTCTCTTATCTAACTACGTAACTGTTACTAATCTTTCTTACCGCCATAACAACAAATTAGTCCATTAATATCTCAGGAAGTTTCTCTCTAACAATATATATATATATATATATATATATAATCACACTGTAATACCTCAAATACCTTATCACCCTTATGTTTTATCTCACAGTGACGCTCTTACAGTATGCTTGTTGACAGACAAAAGTATGTTGAAATTTTACACTGACTTATTTTATTAAAGATTATAGGTTGTGCGCAGTTGAAGAGAACCAACGAAATAAAATAGATCCACGTAACTAGGCACCAGTGTCTGTCCTTTCTTTGCTCAAATTTATAAAAGGGAATTCTTTTATAAAATTCATAAAAAAGATGATATTGTTTTCTCACTAAGCAATTAGGTTATTACTTCAGTTACTAATGTTAAGTCAACCAGTTCTTCTTTTATGGATCAGAAACTCAGCGCAGGGGTCATGGAAAGCATTTCCAACAAAGTAGTGCAGACTATTATCAAAGGCTGCCCACTTCGCCGGCTGCGAGCTGAAGATCAGACGGCCTATTGGAAAGAATCAGGAACACGAAATTATGAGAATGAACCAACCAAGAACCTGCTGCTTACCAAAATTTCGAAGAAAATGGAGATGAGCTGAACAAACTCTACGGAAACCTTTGGATAACATCACACGCCAGGCAATGCCTCGAGTGGAATCCATTTGGGGAACAACGAGTTGGGCTTCTGAAGGATACAAGTCGGGGATCATATGTGGAGGTGATGTGAAAGCTGGGGGCCAGCTACAAAGGACTGCAGAGAACAGTTTGAAATGAGGACGTTCTTTTGAAGCCATATGTTCCACTATGAACCTAAGAGAACAATAACAATAACCTTCTCACTATTCAATTAAAGTTTGACGAAATTTGGGTATAAATGTTATAACTGTTTTTCTTTTTAAAAATTGGATACACTTGATGAATTCCGATGAAATAAAATGGCGTCATGTTATTCTTCTTAATTTGTTATTTTTGATTTGTTTAAATATGGTCAGTTATTTAAAAACAAATTTTCTGAAAACACATGAATACCGGCTTTCTTAAATAACTGTAATGTCTTCTCTATTCAGAGTTATGAGGTAAGTATGTTCTCAAAGTTAATATTTACTTACCTACCAAATTGTATTTTGTCCTTTTGTATTTCTTCTTCTAGTTATTCAATGTATTATGAAAATTTATTAAAAAATCAACACAGTATAATTTATGCTAATGAACGTGAAATACAAGATCTTAAAGATCAACTGCATCAAAAAGATTTAGAAACTGGTGTCACAGTACAATTTCAAATGTCTGAACAAGCTCATAATTTGTTACTAGGTAAGTAAAACTTTTGCATTATTTTTCTATGGTCAGTAAAAAAATCAATGAAATGACAGATGAATCTTTCAGCCATATGAAATGTCATGCTTTAAGTTAGTAAGTAGTTGAACAGCTGGGTATGGTTTTCATGGCTACCTGTCTCTTCAATAATCTACTCTACTCATATGAAGGTTATAATAATAATAAAAAAGGATTTACTTTATTCCAAAAACAGTACTTGTGATACAGAATGAAATTTTCAGCATTTTACTACAGTATTGCATCCAGTTAGTACATTAACAATAAATAAAATGCCACATAGATTAAGCGTTATCTCAGTTCATTATAACAACAACATATTGGTATGTCGGAAACAAAGCCAAAATTGAACAGAGTGTTTGAAGGTGTTAGAAAAATAGATACTAGCATATTTACTGACGTAAGCGGTAACAAAACTGGTCGAGATATACAGAGTGTGAGAGAACGAAGAAGAATGTTTTAAATAGAGTTTGAACGGAAGAAGGAAACAAAGCAGCACATAACAGAAAAAGGAGAAAGAGAGAAAAGGAAAAGAAAGAAAGAAAACGTTCTACCTATAAATGATATGAGTTGGAAAGACGAGATCCAGTTGTTCTACTGACTATTTAATAAGTTATAGGTATCACACCTAATGCTTTCTTTATCGCACAGAACACGAACTAAGTAGGATATGGTTGAGGTTTTGTACTTACTAGTGAGAGCATATAGTTTCCTATATAAGCTTCTGGTTTTCCCTGATGAGATACAAGGGAAGAGTTGTGGATGAAGAGGGTGGTATGAGTTAGATGAAGTGGATTTAGCCCATTTTCCCATGAGTCCAAGTGCATGTTGACCAGAATATTAACAAGCTGGTTGAGTGGCACGTAGCTTACCCTGCTGACAACCTTTAACATCCTGCGTAATAAGGTATAGTCTTTCTTCAATAGTCCTGGAAAACCTAAGGGGGAACATTAGAGAATAATAGGCAGGATGCAAGAGTTAACGAATCGCAGGAGTAAGGGTTGGGTTATACCAGAATGTGTTAACTTCTTGTTGTAGAAGGTAGGACGGAATATTTTCTTAGAAATCATCCAGATATGATGAAACGACCATGAAAGATCAGCAGATAGAATGACGCCTAGGTATTTAATTTCCGACTTGGTCTCTGTTTCAGTTGCATCTATTTTGCACACCTCGTGATGAGTGCTAAACAGTTTGTTCAGGTAAGATTTGTACCTAAAGGTGAAATTGACTGTTTGGCATTTGGAGGGGTTTAAGGCGAGACCGTTTTCCTTAGACCATTGGCTGATTTCTGATAAGAAGCCATTCAGTTTAGAGCAGTCACTTTGACATTTGACAGATAAAGATACAGTAAGGTCATCAGCATATTTGACAAAGTTAATGTCATTTGAAGATGGTAGGTCATGTAGGAAGAATGAAAAGAGAAGTGGGGAGAGTACAGCTTCTTGGGGGACACCACTTACCCTACTGACAGTCTTCAGTATTCTACGAATTGTGACATAGCCTTTTTTAAGCAAACCAGGAAAGAATAAGGGTGAACAATAAAGAAGAATAGGTAGGATGCAAGAGTTTATGAACTGTAAGAGGAGGGGTTGAGTTATACCCGAGTGTCTTAACTTCTTAATGTAAAATGTCAGGCGGAATATTTTACTGGAGATTGCTAAGACATGGGAAGACCAGGAGAGATCAGAAGAGAGAATGAGTCCAAGATACTTAATTTCTGATTTGATTCCTATATCATTGTCGTCAATTTTACAACTGTCATGAGAATCGATGACTTCTTTTAACTGTCGTTTACATCTTAAGCTGAAATCAACAGTTTGACACTTAGAAGGATTCAGTTTAAGACCGTTAGACTCAGACCATTTGCTGACTTCCGATAGAAAGCTATTTATTTTAGTACAATCTAGCTGGGAGTTAACAGCCATTGAAACCGTTAAATCATCAGCGTACTTCACAAAGTTTATTTCATCAGAGTGAGGCAAGTCATGCAAGAAGAAAGAAAAAAGAAAAGGAGAAAGAACAGCACCTTGAGGGACACCAGCTTCAGTAGGCAATGAAGTGGAAGACTTCCCTTTATATACGGTGTACTGCTTTCTATCTGAGAAATAGGAATGTAACCAGTTAACAGCCCAACATTCTGTTTGACTAGCAGCAAGTTTATTTAATAAGATGTCCCTAGGGACCGAGTCGAAAGCAGATGTATAGTCTAGGAAGGCGCAACGAACAAATTTAGCCCCCTTGTCTAGACTGGAAGCAATGTTATGATATAAGACGGCAGCTGCATCTAAAGTGCTTCTACTGTGCTTATAGGCAAATTGTTTAGGGTCATTAAAGGATTTAAGCGAAGGTACAAGACTAAGTAAAAGTAATTTCTCCATAGTTTTCAAAAAAGGAGAGGTAATAGCAATGGGTCTAAATTTGACACATGCTCCAGTAGATGATTTAGGTATGGGTACAACTTTAATGTCCTTCCAAACGGCAGGCACAATATTATCGGAAAAAGATTTGTTAAATAGATCAGTAAGAGGGTGACACAGAATATCAGAACATTTTAAAAAATAATACTAGGTACATAATCGGGACCTAAGCTCTGGGAAGGGTTTAGAGACTTGAGGCACTTTTGAACATCATTTGTGTTAAAACCTGGAAAGGGGCTATTATTAACACAAGTGATGCTGGGAAGCATGGCATTTGAGGGAGAGTAAATAAAAGATTTGTTAAGAGTACATACATCAAAAGAATATGGAATATTGTTTATCTGCTTACCACCAGTGATTTCCTTAAATAGTTTCCACATATTAGAAGGATTTTTGCAGGATATGAATTTCTGGTTATATATTACATTCAACCTCTGCATTTCAGACTTAATTAAGAAGTTAGTTCTTTTTACACCACTTTTATCTTTCATCTTATACAGTTTTTCCTTCTCTCTACGAAGCTTTTTAAGTTGAGGCGAGGAGAAACGGTCAAATTTGACGAATAGTGTTTCTTTTGGACAACAGATTTCAAAACAGAATTTCAGATAGGATGTAATATTAGAGATATTGTCATCAAGTGAATCATCATTAAACAAATCCCATCTTGTGTCACTGAGCATGTTTCTAAGATGATGTACGTTCTCATTTGAGTAGCATCTGTGAACAACTTTCTTAGACAAGTTTGAGAGGGCTTTACTGTGTAACTTTCCGTAAATTTTGGGTAAGACTCGTACAATACAATGATCAGAATTGAAGAGCGGGGCTCTTTTACGAGCTTCGTATATTCCAGAATCATTTATAAATACTAAATCAAGTGAAGTATTTTGTCGAGTTGGGAAATTAACAACATTTTCATGGCCCAGCAATGTAATAAAACTGCAGTCGCTGGAGTTGAAGTCGCCAGTCACTATAGATAAGGAGTTACCAAACGAAGCAGCAGCAAAAATAGTGAATTCATCAGCGAAGATAGATAGTTCTGAGGGACTGCAACAAGGTGTGATATAGATATTTGTGACAAAAATGAAGCTATACTTAGGTAAGTGTTTAGGTCGACATTTTACAGTTATACAGTCAATATTGTCATTTGAGAATTTGAAGCAGACGTTGTTGGCAGTAGACCACTGAGAATTAATAAAAGTGGCAACACCACCACCTCTCTTCTTCTTTGAGCTGCATCGGTCTTGTCTGTAGATTGTGAACCCACTTAAGGAGACTAAATTATCGTCATATGAATCATGGAGCCAAGTCTCTTGAAGAGTGATTACACCAGTATTACAATATACATTTGAGTATAATAGAGAATGCAAGTAGTTAATCTTGTTCGATAATGACCTGCAATTTGTGCTCATAATCACAGGAACAGTCATCTGATGCATTGGAGTACACTTTAATGATCTCTGCCAACCTCCATGATGCTTTTTCTTAACGTTATTATATACTCGTAAATCAACGGGTTGAAGACATTTTAAATAATCGCGAGAGTAAGTAATGCGACTTGGATACATAATTGAATGATTAAAACAAAATAAATCCGAGGAAATAGATGCAATATGTAGGATGGAAATTTTGGTAGCCCAAGATTTAAGCAGGCCGCCTTAGCGTTATAAGACACTACGGTCGAAAACACATAATTGTGAAGTTAAAAAGTTAATTTTATTGTTAGTATTATTGCTGCCTTTGATTCCGAGGGGAACATTGGGATTCAGCAGAATATTTCCATTTCACCCTGATCTCTGCGGTCTTATTTAGCTAGTCTTACGATTGCTCATAAGCCTTCACCTCCTCCTCCATGTCACTCTCAGAAGCCTAAATCGTATTTACCTATTCGAGTTCCAATAGAAGTATTGCTTAGCACGTGATGTCACTCAACAGCTTCCGCAACATTTGTCCGAACCATCTCCATTTTCGTAAGCATATTTATTGAGCAATATGTTCTTGATTGATTCATTCTCAGTTTATTTTTGTTGATTCTTTCTGACCGGTCAACCAATCTTCACTATGGAGCCAGTGAAGTGGGTAGCTGATGATGAAAGTCTTTTTAACTTCGTGACACCCTCATCAAGTTTCTGACCCATTTAGGAGAACTGACTGACCTAACACTGACGTTGAAAATTCGAATTTCGTTCTTTATCCTGAGTGGAGCAGATTTCCTCACTGAATGCAGATTGTTGAAGGTCTATTTTGCCTTCCCGATTCTGATTTCGACATCACCAAGTATGCCTCTTGGCCCTTCCAGTTCTTTTGTATTTCTCGTCGGTCATATATATACCCTACGATGTTCATTTATCGTACCTTTGATTTCTAGAGAAGTTTACCTATATTGCATTCATAACATCTATAACACAGGTTTCGATCTAAAACTCCTACCACAACTTGATTATTACCTATTCAGTATCTTTTTAGACAAAAATAACTGATATAGGGCATTTAACTTCACCATCTGTAAAACTAAAAGAACGCATGTAATTATGTAAAATTGTTTTCCATTATTTCTTTCTAACGGTTTGGTTTCGGTTTAATAATACTTTGACAAAGCTATTAGCAGCATTAAATAGCGAAACGTCAGTGAAAACAATATCGTTTTGTTTTTCATTCATTGGGAAATACAAAAATCTTTATTATAATGAATTCATATCTCTAGACTAATACCGGCGATTATGATTTCTCAGTTAGTGATAAGTGTTGGAGGTTACATAGATGATGAAAACAATAGAAGTTAGCAATATAAAGATACTAAATAAGAGCGACAAATGTACCAGGATAATATGACCTCATTTCTTGTCATTTCGAAGATTCCTCTCAGCTGGCTACAACCTGAACAATACATTAACATAAACTACACTACACAAAGACAAAGAGTAACTGGTAGGAAATAAAAGTAAAATAAGTCCTAAATGATAAAAGCTGTTAAATCACAAAGAGTTAAAAAGATTACGTATTTAGAGAATAATTAAGTCAATATGCTTGAGAATAGCATCCAAGATTTTCGGAGAGAAACAAAGTTTGCTTACATAGAGTGTAATAATGTAATAATTTACGTAACTCCAGAAACATGTTTTATAAAACAGCAAAATTTACGGCTAGGGAGTGTCATGTTTAGACAAAGCAACGAAATTTTCCTAACCAGGATAGAAGGTATATGAAAACGCATTACGCAACGAAATCGTGTACTTTGTTGCATAAATTTAATCACCAAGGTAGTACAAAATTTGTCACTGTCTTATTCTGCGTACATAGATTTAATTTTAGTCATTTGATGGCGATCACCTCAGCGAAAAGTAGCAATCTAGGTTTCTTTTGCCTGTTAAATATTTCTGAACGCCATCAAAATGTCCACAATATGACCAGTGTCGAATAAATGGAACACAATCTCATTGTTTAATGCCTTTTAGTCTCAGGTTCTTCGTATTGTTCAGGTTGTAGTCAGTTGAGAACAATCCCTGAAGTAATCAAACACGAAGTCGTGTCATCCTGGCAAATTTGTCGTTCTTTCTTTGTTCAAGTTTATTAATCGGAACAAATGTATGTACATAAAGGAACAGTGGAACAGTATGATAGTGGAGACGTTTTGATAATCAAATCAGGTCAACAGTGTACAAAATTAGGAGATGAGAATTACTGAAAATAGGAAACAGACAAATGAAATCTAAACAGTTATAATAGGGATATGAATGTAGTAAAAGGTTCTCATATGACGTGTGCTGCTGAAGACAGTTTCTAAATAGTGTATTGTTGACGTCTTCTGAAAGCATCTTCAATGATGAGCCGCTGGATTATGTTAAAAAGGAAGAGATGAAATTCATAATAATGAGACAGTAGCGAAGGTATTAAATGAAGACAAAAGAAACAGAATACGAATACTCTTTGCATACTAAAGTTTCAATGTAAAGCCTTTATATTCCGTCATCACTGTATGTCACTTTGCCAAGTGAACAAATACCACCATGTTCTACTATTACAGCAACTGCTCATTCCTTTATTAACTTTACCCTAGATAATGAAAACATATAGATACTGTAAACTTCTTTTAAAAGCAGATCTTGAGATTATTTCCTTAGATTGAAACAGATTAAATGAAAAATAAGACGAAAATTTGAAATCCTTCTGAACGATTAACCGGAATATGATAAGTAACTTTGAAAACTCTTGTTCTGTCTAATACTTTATGCCTATTGAACAAATAAAATTAATTTAACCTCCGTATTATTTATTATATTGAATCTCTCTTCTTCCCAACCAACAAGGTAGGTGCTCAGTCATCCATCTGATAAATCCATTAATGCCTATGCATATAGATAAAGTCTATCATGCATTTGTGTTAAAAAACGTTTCAAAATTATCCTTGAATACATAGTATTCGAGTGAAATAAAAATTAGCACATACACTAACTTCTTTATCCTGAACACAAACAAATGCAGTTCATTTTATTACTTCTAAACTGTGACAGTATTACGTGAAATTAGTCACCATATTCAAAAAAAACTGCTTAAATCCAATTTTCAATTTTTTCTCTCTCTTTATATATTTTTTTGTAGAGGTTACTGCACTAAGAGCTAGAATTCATGAATTAGAAGAAATAAATAGTAGGAATGAAGCTAAAGCACGTAAACATGTTAGAAATGAATTCAATAATTCAATTCGTAAACTATTCGGTCTTAGCTTTGAACAAAAATCACGTATCGATGAGTATCGTAATCAACTGCATGCAATCACATTACAACGTATTGCTGAAGTAAGAGATGAAGCGTCAACAGAAATGTCACGTATAAAAGAACGAGGTGGTGTTAGAGCATCAGCAGGTAATCTTTTTTTCTGCTTTTAAATTTTAATATGGTGTATTTGTGAGATGATTGAAATTCGTCGTGTGTCATACTATCATTATTATTCTACCTTTCGCCTTCAGTGATAACATCTCTTTTTATAAATAGCGTAGGGGAAATATGAAACATTGGGAGTTTGTGAAAGATTTTACGGAGACGTAAATATTCTGATTATAGCAATAATAAACCGGTCTTTTTTCTGGTTTTTCTCGGCCATCACTGCTAGTTACATCCTAATCTGGTTAATCCAAAGCGAACACCTTTTTGTCGGACATCAGCCAGTGGTCTAAGCTAAGTAATCGTACGTTAAATCTTTATCACTGTCAGACAGTCAACTTCATGTTCAAGCATAAACATGATTTACAAGAACTGGTTCGTTCATATGATGCTTATAACATAGGAGACACTGATGATATTAAACACCTTGGAATAGTCCTTTCCGCTAACCTTTCTTTGTCACTCCATATCTTGTTGATCTCTAAGGAAATGCTCGTCATTACCTTCTGCATTGAGAAGTCAAGACAATCAGATATTACTCAACCTTTAAACTTACACTTTGTTATCTCATACTTGCTGTACTTTACTACTCCCCCTTAGTCTTTCCTGAATTACTCAAAAAGGAGCATGTCATATTGCTTAAAGTATTTAAGGTTGTCAGTAGAGCAGGTGGGGGCCACTTAGCTAGCTCGTTACTACTGTATTCGATAGGCATCTGAACTCTTGTCAGAAATAGTCTAAATCTATATTGTCTGACTTTCAAAACCCTCTCCACTCTCAACTCTCCGCTTCCATCTCATCAGACAGGAGTAGAAGTCATCATAAAAGATTATATCCTTGCACAATTAAGTATAGAAAATCAACGATATCATATTTTACCCGCGTTCTTTATGGTAGAGATTATGTTAATCGGGAATCTTATGACTTACTATGTTACAAGCAAAATAGCTGGCTTTTGTATTCTGTCCTATTTGTAATCTATGGTGACACTATTTCAGTTAACTTATAATTTTAGTTATTAACATTATTGTCATCATTTTACACTTTCTTTGTGCATTTCTGACTTTAGCGTCACTGCAAATACCAAAACGTCGATATTATCAATTGTACTTTTGTTTATGCTGTTGTCGAGTAAATTAGATGCTGTTTTGATGTGGTTTTGTTCTCTGAGCTGGATGGTTAGTTTGCGAAGCTTTCATCACCTTACTGGGTGACATCTTCAGCGCATACTTCAAATTGAAGTATGAAGGACCATCCAGCTCAGAGAACAAAACCACATCAAAATCATCCACCTGAGCTACAAATCTTCTCTATCATATCTAAATTAGATGCTGAGAATTCCACATTGTGTCATAAGTACTATTTTGGAATAGAGCAAATTATAATTAAACAGGTTAACTAATAAAATATTATGTGCCGGATAGTGACCCATATATAGAAATCAAAACTTTGGACCGATCTTCACCTAGAGACTTCAAATTAAAACGTCCGCCGTTGACCATGCCAATGTTGTGTATGTATGACATCGTTTTCGTTTTCGTTCAAAACCAGCTTCATACAATGGTAATATGTGTTGATAAGCGACCTGTGATCACTTAACTGTTGATGTAATGTCTACACAGTCTCATTAAATGTTCTGTTACTATTTTTCTGTGGTAAAATCAAATTACAGCATTTATTTAGTCCACTGACTGCCAAACTTCTAAGCAAAAGTCTTACCTTTTTAGCATCATCTTTGTTATCTCAGTCTTCTCTGAATAAGTCTTCATACCTGTGCTATGTTTCAAACGTTACATTTGAATCTGCGTCATAATTAAATTCTGATATACAACTACCAGTGTTATCGTTGGCTGTAGATAAATCTTCTGGAGAAGATATACACGTAAGTCAGCTAGCAAATCCATCATTTAAAGTTGCTCCTGCTGGTTCATTAATTTCTCCAGATTTAATGTATCCATGCAGTATTTTAATGCAAGCATTCCAGCACCAGCTGTCATGACTGATAATATGACTTAGCAGACTATTCACAATTATACCCTCAACCACCAAAACAACTGCAATGTTCCCTCACGCGAAATGGGACAGGAGACACACTGCTGGTGAGAGCTTTTACTGTTTCAAGTAACAGTTCAAACTAGTGCATAATAATAACGAGCTTTCTAACTCGTATATTTGCAAGCCTACGTTCCAGTCATGATTCGCAGCAACAACCATCACAACATGATACCACTGACACGCGATGCAAGACCGTTGAGTAGACAGCTTCTACTTTCTCGGAACAACAGTTCAACTAGCCATCATAATAATATCGCAAAATATGTATGTGCATGAAGATTTAGAAAGATAGTATCAGTCAACAGACTAAATGCTGACCTGATATCACTTAGCAGGCATTATATGAGAAAGATAAGATCAACTGATATGCCAATCGTATTTCTCCATATCAACATGGAATTAAGGACATATAACAACAATGCTACTGACAAGATTTGTCATTAGTGGCAAAGTTAAACTTTGAGCACCACCAACTGCCAATCAGCGAATGATCTCGAACGCACCAATCAAGTGAAGGAGATATTTTTGTGTATGCCATACATATACTTATGAAAAAGATGTATAAAAACTATAAAAGTGTTACATAGGAAACCTACCTCTCAGTTCTAGGTTGGAGTATCAACAGAGTATAATTCCATTGTGGGTAAAATTTATTTTGATAAAGTTTCATAGTGTTTGTTATACAGTAATATTTTCCGAGCAATAAACTGTGCTCGAAACGTCATCAATAAATGTTACTGTATAACACTGTGAGACTATCAAACTAAATTTTACTCACAATGGAATTATACTCTACCACAGTGCACAAGTTCTATTCTTATATCAACAGCGTAATTTAACCACATTCTATACATGTAATTATTTAGGTCTTTTAACCCTAACAATTACCCTAATCTTTCCTAAACCTAGTCCTAACGTGAAAATATCTCTAAACTAACTGTAAACCAACTCAAACCAACCCTAATGTCGCCTTAATTAGGCTAACCTAATCCTAACTTGTCATTTGCCTAAACCTTGAATTAATCTTTCCCAAACATAAGCTGAAACTTGCCAGATATCTGACTTAATAACATAACACTTCTATGAGTATATTTTATTGATGATCACAAGATTATTTGCCGAATTTCATTAACTTGTTCAGTGAGCTCTTCAAGGTCATTGGTGAGGTCGCACTTCATTGGTATTTAGTGGTGCTTAAAGTTTAACTTGGCCTCATTAGTATATGAAGACAAGTTTATCAACACAAAAATATGAAATACGGGAGAGATAGATTTGACATCAAAGAAAGGAGATGAACCAGTATTTCGGAAAAACGCGAAACAAAGACAAAGAAACACAAGACAAGGGGGTGAGGGCATAAGTACCACAAAACAGAATATCTGTGCAAATGATGATTTTCCCTATGCAGGAATATCAAATTCCTGACAAACATTCCGTTACCAGGTCTCTCATCTTCTGCCACTGCAAATGTATACAATACATGTGAACTCTTACGCGATAGTATCTGCAGTGACTCTATCACCTTTCAGCACAAAAAGATTATTTAAGAAATTATTTAAAAGGACACGAAATCACTTGTTTAATCGTAAAATAAAAGACAAATTAAAGCATTTAAAAGCTTCCCTAATCATAAAAAAATATCAAGAAAGCTTCATGCAACAAACCTAGGAGAACAACGTTCCTCAGCTCTATTTCTTTTTATTCCTTTATGTTCCCAGTGGAACATAGGGTTTCAAGCTAGAGGCTGGAAGTTTCGGTAGCAATGGTGATTATTTTTACAGGACGTGGTTTCTAGCCTCATGCCCACCCTTCCCTCTTTACTAGTTTTATTACTGACTTAGTGAGGTAAGAGAGTATGTTGGTGGCCGAGGATCGAACCTCGAACTACCGGCGTGGTCGGCTGATCTCTACCATGAGATTTATCCAACAGCTTAGGGAAGTAAAAACAGCAATCATAGACACCAGAAACCGCATTTGCTTATACAACAAATGCAGGCATCATTACATGTATAGCAATAAGTTGTTAAGTCTGAACTACCATAGTGCATTTAGTAAACAATGTGTTTATGAAATAATTGACTGCTTGTTTATAGTGTGAAATTCTGTTAAAATGCAAAATATTTTGAATAATACACTGCAAGCTTAGCTTAATTTTCTATGATGTCATTTTGAAGTATGTTAGAATTTATTTCAAATTACAATGTGATTAGTACAGTCGACAAAATGTATCGGTTAAAAAAGTGAAGTAATTAAATTACTACTACTACTAATACTACAGTACTAGAAGTGTATGCATTTTTCTAACTGCTGAAATACCCATGAATCTTAAATCTCTGTACAAAACTCTGTTAATACACCTAGAAGAGTTATACTCAATATTCAATTTTGTTTAAATTGTGAATAGTCAATATTTCCATTCTTCAAGATCTACATAAGTGATATCAAGTAAATGAAGCTTAATGATACTTTCATATGGTGTGGTAAATTCAATATTTTCATGTGTGTGTGTGTGTGTGTGTGTGTGTGTGTGTGTCATTCAATGGTCTAAGTAGGTCTGAGAAGGATGCATGATTTCCGTGGTCACATGAATATGTCATCAACATATCGATAGTGAAAAATTGTTTCTTCAATAACACGCTTCAGCTTTTCTTCCCAAGATTACACACAAAGATATCTGTCAATACAGAGTCTAGTCGACTCTCCACTAAAAAAGCATCCCCTTGAGATTAAGAATGTTACAGAATTGGGCAAAGTTAAACTTTAAGCACTAGTAAATACCAGTAGAGTGCTACCGCACCAATGATCCTGAAATGTTCAGTGAGCAAGTTAGTGAAACCTGGTAAATAATATTGTAATCACAGATAAAATATGCTTAACCGAGCGTTATGGTGCTAAATGGGATACCTGGCAAGTTTCAGGTTAGTTTTGGAGGAGATTAAGACTAAGGACAGGTTAATGATAGGTTAACCTAATGGGGGTAACACATTAGAGGTTGTTTCGAGTTAGATTAGGGTGAGTTTAGGGATATTTTCAAATTAGGGTTAAGTTAACGAAAGATTAGGGTCATTGTCAGAGCTAGAAGATCTAGATAATTACAGGCATATAATGTGGTAAAATTATTCTGTTGTTGCTCAAAACCAAAACTGAGAGTTATTTGTGTCACATGCCAAAGGAGGATATCGTGTATAACAGTTTTATGCCTTTTAATTCATTATTTTCATGAATGAAAATGCATTTTGTACGCAAAAGTAGGCTTTATCATGTGGGTGGTGCCTTCAAAGTCATTTGTCCGCTGGTACTTACGGGTGCTTAAAGTTTAACTTTGCTGCCTTCATTACGTTAATCTAGCACTAACCTGTTCTTAGCCTAAATCTTAACTTAATCTCTGCCAAAACTATCCTGAAAATTGCCAGATATCCAATTTAATAGCATAACGCTATGTTAAGCATATTTTATCCATGATTACAATATTATTTTACGGGGTGTGACTAACTTGCTCACTGAACGTTTCAAGGTGATTGATGTGGGGTCTCACTCCACTGGTGCTTAAAGTTTAACTTGGCCCAGAATTGAAATTATACTTTCGTGTTACACATTACTAATAGACGTTTGAATTTAGGCACCGTGGGAAAGAGGAGTTCAGAATGTTGATGGATGTCATCGATAGTTCCATGAATCAGAATCCTAGTGAACAAACACCATGAAGTTATTTGGAACCTTAGTGCTGTTTAGGATTTCAACTAACTGGAGTATATTCTTCACGGTTTTATTGCAGCTAGTCGTTTAGGAATAGGTTCTAGCATCTTCGTAACTCTGTGCTATAGTAAGTTGATCATAGAAAGTCGAAGTTTCACGGGAACAAACTGTTTGTGTGGGTGTGTTTTGATAACACTATACACATGATACATGCAAGACACTCTGTCTGTTTCTCAAGAATACTAATGATATTTGTAATTCAATTTTCAATTGAATCGACTCTATCTTTGCAAATATATTTTATAGAAGATGAATTAGCTGAGCGTAATAATCGCCTGTTTAAAGAAGTGACAGCTTTACACGAACGTAATATCAGTCTTCAACAAATGATTGGACGTTTAAGAGTTATGGCACATTGGCAACAGACTACATTAAGATGTATTTTTGAAAAACAGGTTTGTCGACTTTACTACGTATTTATTGTTTCTTTTTCACCGATCTAATTGGTAATTGTTATGATACATGCCTTTATGACTAATGGGGTGGCTATTTCGTAATAGACTTCATACAATTCTTCCCATTCATAAACAATAAATGTACCAGGATAATATGAACGAGCTCATTTTCTTTTATTCTGAGGATTCTTCTCAACTTACCGCCTACAACCTGAACAATACAAAAATATAAATTACATTAAAGTTTTCAACATACTTTTTCCATGATGACAAGGAGTAACTGTTAGGAACTTAGAGTGTCAGGAATGATTTAGGTTGTTAAATTATTAAGAGTTGGAAGGACTGGCTATTTAAAAGACAATTAGACGAATATGATTGGGAACAAAAGAAAAGCGTTTTTCAATGGTTCTTTAACTAATGTCAGCTCATTATGAAAATCCTGTAACCAATCAAATCCATACAAACCAACACTTGAATACCAATCAGATGCTCACTAGCGACTTGCCCTATTCAGGTAGGTAGTTACCTGGGGTTCTAGTGAGAAGTCGTGACCAGTAGGGTGCAGCAGGTCGGGTGTGAGGACAAATACTCGCCGAAGACATTGGCTGGGGTCGCACTATGTTGTGAATTGGCAGAAGTTAGAATTCGTAGGCCATTGGATTGGGTCCCAGCGGTTGATGAATGGTCTACGAGCTAGCTCGTCTTGTAACCAGAAGGTCCTGGGTTCGAATTCCAGTGGGTGTTTATTGATGAAGAGTACCAAACTAGGACGAAACAACTGTTCAGTACTTCCAGGTTTTCCAATGGTTCTCTAACTAATGTCAGCTCATGATGAAAATCCCGTAACAAAAGAAAAGATTTCAACAAAATGGGGTAGGTTGAGTCATGTTTAGATAAAGGAGTAAAATTTCCTAAACGTCGCAGAGGAAGACGTATACTTTATTATCAGCATGACAGTGTAAGATTCACCCCTGTCTCTTTCTGCGTAAATAGGTTTGGTTTTATTCTTTTGGTAGCGATTGCCTCAGTAAAACGTAGCAAGCTAAGTTATTTTCTGCCTGATTGTTATTTTGAACGTCTTCAGACCGTCTGCAATACAGTGTCCAACAGAGAGCATGCAATCACACTGTTTAACGCCTACGAACTTTCAGTCGCAGGTATGTGTTCAGAGATGCGGACAATAAGCTTTTTCTCTGTTCTTCCAATGTATTTATTTTGGCACTTTTATGTAAATTGGTAGATGCAGTTGGAGGTAACATGAAGTGGGAGTCTGTCCAATTTTGATTCTCTTAAATAATTGGCCTTTTGATAAACATATTCAAGCTCGGAAAATTAAAAATTCCTATAATGTAATCAGAATTAGATAATTTTGAGCAGACAATTGTTTTCGACACCTACTTCCTCAGACTCTAAATTTATAAGTCCATCAATATCAGAAAGCCACGTTTAAATTATATCAGAAACAGTAATAGGGTGCATGTATAAGGTGGAATGATAGTCTGTTAGTTAATATTGTCAACTTACTGCATATAAGATGTACAGTCATTCGGAACATAAGATAAACTGTGAATAGGCAACTGATTAACATGCTAATGTATTTATAGTCATCAGAATACAAGACTGATTGAGGATGGCGGGGGATGAGTTATATTCATTAGTGTGAGAGAAATATGATTACCAAAAAATACTTACACACAACTACCAAAAATTGGGGAACACTGAATGTAAGTTCAAGCAAGGGCTCACAGATATCAAGTGTATTGATAAAATAAGGAGGGTGAATTATGAACTGTGATAAAATATTGGTGGATGGTGACTAGCAGTGGAATCCAAGATGCGCACTTCGTCCTATTCCGGACTCGCCAACTGGATGTGCCTGTTCTCTGCAGTGAGTGATGATGTTCACACTGAGGCTGGAACCAGTGCCCGTAGTCAACCTGAGACCTAGCACTTCCGTCCAATCAAGTGACGGGAATATCTAAAATTGAATTAAATATAATAAAATACTTGAGACTTCACTAGCTTAGTGTAAATTCCAAGGGTTAACAAATAATAAGAATACTAATGCAGCGAAGTAAACTAACTGAAAAGGAATAATAAAGGGATAATATTACATGAATACATGGATGATTATATCTCCGCTGTCCTTATAGTAGGCCAGTGTAAGCAAAGAGGAGTGTGCTTCTTTTGCACACGAAGGTCAGGTTTCTTCTTAATAATCTCTATATATAGCTTCCGCTGTAGCTAGGAGGCGTAATCATATGCCTTTAGGTATATCGTTTGGTACTCGATACACAACCATAAATGACTCATCTATTTTGGTATGGTGTTCCCTATCCACAAGATGAAACAAAATGGCACTGTTGATTGATGTGGTTCCTCTTTTTCCAAGCCAAGCAGGAACATGTTCACGAGTATGTAAAGATATATTCCTCCATGTTCGACCGATATAAATAGCTCCATATGAGCAGTTGAATTTGTATATACACACACAGATGATGTAACCGTAAGTTTCTTAACCAGACCGATAGTGATACACCGCACCAAACGTGGCCACATCATTTTGTGTAGTTTTCATTTGCTTTTACTAGCTATTTGAATTCTAATATTCCTGGATTTATAACTGTAGAGCCTGAGAAAAACGTTATCGAGAACAACTGTTCACTCCAAACCATCGTGTTTCGATTACAATATGTGGACTTATAATTTACTTGAATGGTATCTGGCAGTTCCTGCAGTCATGTTCCTATTTTTTAAATTTCTGAGAGCTAAATGATTCAACTGTCTACTTTCTTTTCGAAATTGTTTTAAAAAAAACAGATTGACGCTATTGAAGATCAACGGAATCAAAGTAAAACTCGTGTTACACGCTTAGGTATACTATCTGAACAACGTGTACGTTTATTAAATGAAGAAATGGCTAAAGTTCGTGAACATTTAGCTAATACAGAAAAACATTTAAACAATTTACGTAATGCACTAGATAAAGAAGTAAGTTCATGTAGTTAGGCTTTTAAAATTTTGTATACATGTAACACCATAACTGCTCGTCTATATAGAAGATTCCTTTTTTAAATGTTTATAAAACAACATAGGTTATATATATATATATATATATATATATATATATATGCTATGAATAAAAAGTAATCAAAACCCTTAACATTTAATTGGTGGGTGGTGACTAGCAGTGGAATCCAGGATACGTATTTCGTCCTATTTGGAACTCGACAACTGAATGTACCTGCATCCCACAGCAAGTGATGATGTTCCCACCGAAACTCGAACCCAGTGCTCATAGTTTCAAACACCGAAGCGTTATCCACTAGACCACTTGGGCCACGAAAGCTACTGCCTCTTGTCTAACGGGTCATATTAATTATTTAATTGAATTTTAGATTCTCCCGTCGATTGACTGGACCGAAGTCTTCGGTCTCAGGTGAACATGTCGACTTCTTCTGCAGATGCTTCGACAATGTCTGGGCATTTAATTAGAATTTAATTGTTTAAAAGTTCAAAAAAAGTTATTAAGGTAGCTGTTTACATTCCAAACCAATCACCTCAGTGTATCCGAATAAATCAAGAAGAATAGTTTATGTACAATAAGACGGTACCATCATTTATTTCGTCAGAGTCTCATCATCTGCGTAGAGCCTAAAGAAACTATGAAGTTTATGTACACAACAGTTTTCGTACCCAAAGAGTTCAAGTTTAAACAAAATACAAATGCCTGTACTTAGTGGGAAAGAAGTTATGTGGTAAAGACAATAGGTGAATAAGATGATGAATAACTAATAAGTTGAGCAACACTGTGATGAGTTCAACTCGAACTGCCGAAGCAGAAGACTAGCAAAGTTACACTACAGAGAAGGAAGGAGAGGTTAAAGACAAAAATTATGCAATCAAATGGAACAACAAAGATATCCAGTTACTAAGGCAAGAAAAAACCGATAAAGGCTTCTTTCTGAACATATAAATTAGGCTTCAGGTGTTTTGTAGCTATTGCTCCAGCAGAACTGAGGAGAGTTGAGCTGTTTCGTCTATTGTTAACTTCCACCTCATTAGCAGCATTGATGAGATGTCTGAAAATGTCACTATTGTAAGCGTTTTTTTACCTTGGGTGGTAGGGTTTTTGGTACGTGTTCATAAAATTGAAGATATGTCTTTCTTTCTATCCTACCAATGTAACTGCTGACATAGATAAATGTAAATTTGTATACAGAATTACATTAAACATGAGAGGGGTATCGGTTGACCTTTTACTACATCAAAGGACATGTTGTCCGATAAACAGGAACCAACTTAGCTGCAGGATAGGTTCACTATTCTTGTAGTATTATCATCTTTAAAATCGAGCTGAATGAAGATAAGCTTCTTTTACACTGTGATTTGTTTTGCATTTGAGCCGGTACATCTTCCGTACGTGTTAATAAAATTCGCAGTGTAACTGTTGTTTCTCAACATGTTTCCAAGGATCAGAAATTCTTTCTCTAATTTTTCTTTAGGGCATATTGCGTACATCGGTGGCACAGCGGTTAGGACGCTCGCCAACCATTCACATGGTTCGGGATTCGATCCCTTGCCAATACGCATCTGATATCAATGGTCGACCTGCAAAATTTGGGCTACCGATATCACATGCTGAAAATTCCATACTTGTACCGAAAATACTGTGTGGTACCGAGCTATAATAAAAATAAAATTAAAAAAATAAAATAAATTCTCCTGACTATAAAACATAGTTTCAAACAATGCTCGTTTATAGCTATATGGACATAACTTATATATTATCCACTCCGTCTAGGTTGACTAGCACAGTGACACAACCGAACTTGATTATCACTAAAAGTAAAAATATTTCTCTTGTGTACAGGTGTGATAAGAGAAAGCAACAAAAGCGATACTGAGTTCAGATTTTGGTAGAACTCCTTAGCGTAATATGTTAGTTGTCTACTGAGAAACTACTATAAGAATTGTGCTTAAACATCAACTGATTGGTGCTGAGAGTTGTAAATCGCTAACTGATTATCCAATTAACTAAAAGGTGGACCGATTAAGCTTTAACGTATCCAACCAGAATTGAATTGGTGGCCTGAGAAAACATGTCACCAGGCTATTCAGATATATTAGAATATATGTGATTGAGTGCTAGTTCACTCACAATAAATAACTTGGTATAGTGTGCTTCATACAGACAGCATATATATCATCATTAACGAAGCAGGTAGTGTATTTAAGTGTTGATGTGGTTGGAAATGTAGGGGGAATTTATGTTTGCGTTAAAAAAGCTAAATCTTTCAGCAATGAAAATTAAAACGAACTTAATAGTTTAGCTGAAACGTAACTCTAACATAGAATATCAAAAACTTAAGATTCTCTGAGTTAATGTTTCACTTAGCTACCATAGTGTACAATTTTTCTATACTGAAAAGAGTTGTCTCAAACTGAAAAGTACAGATTAACATATATGTAAAACATGGGCACTGTGGTAGTAATTTCATATTAGTTCGTTTATTAGATGTATCACACAATGAAACAGTATTAGTATTTACTGGATGACAAAGTTTCGAACAAAATTCATTATTGTTCATAATGATTTCATCAATTATCACACGACTTCGAAATTTGAGTTTTATAGTTGTCGTCGTTGGGGTAGTAGAATTTTCCAGATATCTTCCTGGTCAGGTGTTGAATCATTCCTACTAAACGTATTTGCAGTTGATTCGATAGACAAAGCTTCTGTTATCAGTCTCTCCCTGGCTCCACCCTGTGACATTAGATTTTAAAACTGTCATCCCAGCTGAGCATAAAAACCTAGCCTAAATCTAGATTAGTTGACCCGAGTGAGATAAGAAATCTAGAGAATAATTCAGCTATACCACTATACCACATGTAGTTACACACAACCATACAGTAGATTGGATGGGATAGGATGACAGTTTTTAAATCTAATGTCACGGGGTGGAGCGAGGGGGAGATTGATAACGGCGGAAGCCTTGTTTATCTAATCAACTGCAAATACGTGTAGTAGGAATGATTCAACACCTGTCCAGGAGGATATCTGGAAAATTCTATTACCCCAACGACGACAAATAGGAGAGAACAAAGAAAACTATAAAACTCAAGTTTCAAAGTCGTGTGATTATAATTGGTGAGATGATTATGAACCGCAATAAATTTTGTTCGAAACCTTGTCATCCAGTAAATACTAATACTGTTTCATTGTGTGATACATCTAATAAACAAACCAATATGAAAAGTGCATAATCATATTCAAACCAACTTAATGAGCATTTGACATTTTTTCGTTATCTTCATTTCACTCAAAAACAAATTTGAATATCGAAGCGTTTAATGTGAGTCAACGAATAGATTCATACACGAATCAGATATTCTAATCAGTTATGTCATATTGTACTGTCATAAAGTTACCTAATGACATAACGTCTAATATAATTCTGACCGCTGATAACTGACAATAACTAATGAATTTTATTTCAAGTTTGATCACGATCTGATATTAGTTGACAAGTCATTGAAAACCAGATGAGTACTGAATAACCATTTCGTCCTAAGAGTTTCGCACTTATCGGCATTACCCATCCATCATGGTAAGAAATCACTATCCTCTGGTTACAAGGCAAACGCGTGAACTATTCATTTAGTGGGATCCGATCCTATGGTCCATGAATTCCTACTTTTACAAATTCGTGATTTTAGCGTGACTACCAACCAATGCCATCGCTGGCGAGTATTTATCCTCACATCCAATATGGTGGATCCCACTGTTCACGACTTCTCACTAGAACTGGAGGCAACTTCATTCTGTAGCCAGTCAGTAACAAACGTTTAAGTTTTATTCAGAATTTTAAATTTCTGTATGTTCTTTTTAGTTTCAGTCAACATTAAAATAAAAATATTACTAATCATCAATAATGATGATAATAATATAATTCTTATTTATCCATTTTTTACTACTCATTTTAAATAGATGAAAGATAAAGTTGAGAAGAAACATGCAGCTGAAAGGAAAGCAGCGACAGATAAACAAATGACTATAGTAAAACAAATGCATATCGATCAGTTGGTAAGTAGTACAGTTCTGCACCATATATTATCGACTATTTTCCTCTTCTTAATGAAATATCTTGTACGGAGACCTTAACGAATCTGATCTTCCCCCTCCTCCAAAAAATAGTTGGAATTAACTGACCAGAAATGTTGTTAAGTTTCAGGAAGATAAATTACATGTTAGTTATTTTTCAAAGAATTGAGACTTAAGTCACTGCAAGAATTGGCGTCGCATTATGCTCTTGTCCATCCCTAGCAAAATATCGATCAAATCGCGACACTACGTATCATTACTGAAGAGAGCTTCGAATGGCAATCAGTCAGCTCTCTATGTCAACTTCATTGACTGAAAAGACCTTCAGCAGACAGTGTCGATCGAGAGGTTATTTGGCAACTAATTTGCTACTCATCCAACAGTTGTACGACAATGCTGCATGCCAAGTAATCCACAACATGAAACTTCCGGAAGCCTTCGAAGTGAGGACGGGAGTGAGGCAAGGCTGTTTACTATCGCCAATGATCTTTCTGATTGCAGTAGATTGGATAATGTGATAGACAGCGGGCAGCGAGGAAACAGGCATAAAATGGACCCACACAGAAAACTTGTGGGATCAGGACTTCGCCGATGATATATGTCTGATTTCCCACAAACTGGAAGATATGCAAGTGAAAAGCAACAAGTTGGCAGAAGATGCATCTAAAGAAGTGAACATAGAGAAGACAGAGGTGATGAAGAATCCTGGCCAACACCAACAGCAACAACAACAACAGACAACAATCAGCCAGCATGAATGGGAGGAACCTGAAAGAAACAACCTCCTTTACCCACCTACCTACCTACCTGGGAAGCATTGTTTCAACTACAGGCGGACGGAACTGACGAGGATATCAAAGCCAGAATCGGAAAAGCAAGACAAGCTTTCATCACTCTCAAATATGTGTAGAGGTCAATAGAGCTCAGAATCAAAAATAAGATCCGGATTTTCAACTCCAATGTGAAGTCAATGCTAATATACGGATCAGAGACTTGGCCAGCGCGTCACAAAGAGCATCTCAAACAAACTACAGACCTTTATTAACAGCTCTCTTCGCTCAATACTCAAGATCAGATGTCCAGCCAGAAAAGATCAGCAATAGTGAGGTATCTCTGAGAACGAATCAATCCAACAGGAACCAATTGTGCAACAAATCTGGAGGAAGAAATGCAGGTGGATCGACCATACTCTGAAAAAATCATCAGGTGACATCACACGCCTGGCCGTCGCTCGAGTGAAACCCGAAAAGGAAGCGGTGCGAGGGTGACATGGAGAAGGTGATGCGAAGAGGAGACGAAAGCATGTGAGCAAACGTGGAGTCAGATGAAAAAGTTGGTGAAGAACCGAACGCAGTGGAGACGTCCGACTGAAGCCCTATGTTCCTCTAGGAACAAAAGGAAACAATAATAATATTTTTCAAAGAGAGTAATTATTTATCTAGTTTGAAAAGTAGAATGATTCAGCAGGGAATGTAAAATCATGTAAACTGCAAATCATTCAGCTGGCACACTGTTTACAATTGTGGCTCATATCTTTAAAGTAGTTTGGGTAAGTTGAAATGATTGCTAAAAAAATGACAGAATGCAGCAGAAATACAGAATATAGAATATAGTGAAATATTGTAATGCATTTGGACTGATAAGAATATTTCAGAAGATTTAGATTCATGTCGAAATGTCAAATTTACACAAAGACTCTCTGGCAAAAACCAAAAGGTTGTCAGAAGGTGGTAGCGAAAATTGGACTTGAAGTGAACATTGAGAAGACAGAAGTGAGGAAGATACACGATAATTAACAATAACAAGTAACAGCCACTGTTTATGGGAAACATTTGCATGAGGTCAATTCCTTCATTCGTCTAGGAAGTACCATCAGCCCCAATGGGTTGATCTCTGACAAAATCTCAGCACGGATACAGAGGGTAAGTTTCGCATATGCCAGTTTACGCCGTCTCCGGCTTAGACGTGGTATCCGGCTATCAAACAAAGGGCTTATGTGCAGCAGTCCGCTCCGTCCTCCTTTATGGTTGGCTTTGAGACCTGGCCATTGAGAGTGGAAGACATGAAATGCCTAACTAGCTGTCTTTGATCATAGGTGCCTGCGTTCTATCTCCCGTGTGAAGTTGTATAATAAGGTGAGCAATATTGAGGTTAGGTCTCCTTCGAGTTGTAGGTAAGGAGGGGAAATCAATCGACGAGACTGTGAAATTACATCGACTGAAATGGTTAGGACGTGTGTTACGTATGCCTAGTCATCACCCTCCTCGACGGGCAATGTTAGCTGATATAGGGCCAGGCTGGAAAAGAGCTAGCGGCGGTCAAACCAAAACATGCCACCAGTCAATGAAATCTACAACAGTTAGTTAAAGCCTGCCACGTAGAAAGGTGTAGACATCCTGACTGGTTGGGGTCATCGGGACGGTAGAAACCAATGAAGGCTGGAAACAATGGTGACATGGCTCAAAATCGTTGTCAATGGCTGGCTGGTGCAGATGTATCCACTCCTTGTGACTTGTGATTTCCAATGAAACTATATTGTTCTTCGTTATTACTATTCCTTTGTGTCATATCCCTGTCTACTATCTCTATTATGCATTTCTTCTACTTCCTTCTCTTGTTTTGTGTGCTACATGGAGTGTGGTGACTTGAACTGCCGCACATCGGTTCAAAGTTCTATGTCGAAAACAGACAGACAGACAGACAGACTCGTCTAGGCACCATCATTTCAACTACAGGCTGAAACTTAAATAGTCTATAGGTGAGGTCCCACTGACACCTAGTTAACAAATAGCTTTCTTTAGCTGATTCATTCAGTAAACCGCCAGTTGGATAATACTCAGATTATTATTACTTGGAATTGTGCTCAGTGCCAGATTTCCTACTAGTGGATATCGTCATCTCCAAAAACCTGAACATAATTCAGAAAACAAAGAATATTTTCAGATAACTTCTTTAACAATAAATAATATTTATATACCTCAATAATTCCATACCTACTTATATTTTATATTAGATGGCAGAAATCACCGAGAAAGATGCTGTACTAAATGAGATGAGTGGAATTTTAGACGCAAGTGCTAAATCAAAAAAACAAGAAGCTGATAAATCAGGACGTGAAGTTGAAGTATTACGTAAACAACTGAAAGAAGAAAAACAGTTGAAAAAGTCTGCTATACAAAAAATTGACGATTTAATGTCACAAGTAAGTCTGCAAGTGGTTTTTAGCACAAATTTTGCCATCTTGCGTAACCTCATGTGTATTTTCAGGACATGATTTTCAATAGACAACTGAGGAAAGAACTAAGTGTTCGACGCGTCACTTTGAGCTGATTGACATAGATGTAATTACTGTCCCCTGATTGCTGCTGTATTCATTGAAGAAAGAATCGGTTAATTACTAGGCCTCTTCTTCAGAAGACGTACGATCGATCATATTGCATCCTATACCAGGCATTAAACTGAAATAGCCATATCAAGAAGAGTTCAGTAAAAATATTCACTCTACTTACCTAATCCATTATTATTATTATCAATAGCATATTTCTGAAAGTAAAGCCTCTCTCCTAATATTTTTAACAGAGTCGATTTCTTAGCTAGAGTTCCCATATTAGGTAGATAACGTTATGATGTTAGACAGAGTCGCCAATGAAATATAGCTTTTTTTCAAATATAACTGACAATATAACCTTATTTAGGATATAATTTTTACTTCGTCAGGATGAAAGTTTCCTTATAACTGTTCTGTATCAGTTAGAATTGTACCAAATACCTCACTTGCTTGGGATTACTTCAATCTTAACTGACTAACAAAACTCTACCACTGACGAAAACAATAGTAAGATTTCACTACCTTATGCTATGGAAAAACATATCAGATTCAAATGAACAACAGAATAAAAGGACACAGTAATATTATCTAATCTGCTGAACAACTATCGAAATCAGTCATTGTGGATAAAAATATGTTCGATCATACCACAAAGATTCTAATTATGAAATAGATTATTTTTTAAAACGATACTTCAATCAAACGGACTTACAGTTCACTACCATCCCGTCTATAATGGATATCTGAATGTAGTTAACGGAATCCCTTACGAAATTACTGATGTCCTTAGAGGATGCTTTCCCCTGCTTTACAAGTCTGAGACATAGTCGCTAGTAGTATAAGATAAAAAAAGACTAGCGATTTTTAAAAATAAGTCTCTTCATACAGTTACTAGTATAAAACTCTGTAGTACATTGAATAATAGAGTCTGAAAGTTGGAAAAAGCAAGGAAATAAAGTCACTCAACGAGGCTGCAGAATTCGACCTATTGAGGTGGATCAAATATATGTTGGGCCATGTCCAGTCATTGCCTCCTGCCACAACAGCTATGATTACTGAAATAGAATTAGATTGAAATATTTAAGTGTTGGTTCTCAGGGATCTGATTGGTTACGGGATTTTTTTTAATGAGCTGACATCGGTTACAGAACCGTTGGAAAACTGTTTCGCTCTAGTTTGGGACTCTTCATCAGTACGCAACCACCGAGGTTCGAACTCAAGATCTCCCAGCTACAAGGCAAGTCAGTAGACCATTAAGATACTAGCACCCATGAATTCCAACTTATGCCAATTCACGATATAGCGCGACCACTAGCTGGTGTAATTGGTGAGTATTTGTTCTCACATCAGACCAGCTGTACCCCACTGGTCCTAATGTTGTTGCGACTTATCTGACTAAGATGTGGGATCGATCTATGAAGTCAGTAAATGTTGGTCTGCGCCAAAATGGAGGTAGAGTTCACCACGGAGTGCTATGAATTAACGGTTTGATACATTTGGTGATACAGCTCATAACAGCTCACAACACCTTAGATGTATTCAAGTTTTATCAGCTTTGGAATTCCGAACATCTTCACTGGAGTGCTGTCTCTACCATGACTATGTTTGTCAGTTATGGTGTCTTGACGTTTCTCTTATTTTATGTATGTTTTTCTAAGGTATGTCTAATTGAACTAATAGACTTCTGTGCAAGATCTATATTGTTAAGTCTGTCTGCCAGTCTGTAACATAATTAAATATTAGAGTATTTTTTGTTTTTCCAAAAAATTTGATTGAAGATACCCATTAAAAATTTAAAAGACTGGTTAGTGAACACAGATTATTCTTTTCGATAAATCCATCTTCATTATGTTCATCTACATTTATATGACAGTAATAATTATAGTAATACTGTTATTAACAACACTAATGCCGGTTTTAAATTACATTTAATTAATAGCATCGACAAATTACATTTGAAAAGGATAAGTAAGCGTGAGAGAGATAATATTCATCAATATGATGCTGAACTGACTGAATATCAGAAGAACTAATGGAAGAAACTATGAATTTATAGGTTCGATAACAGGTCAGGATAGTAATAGTGACTGGGTCTGCCTTTCTTTTGCATGCCCAACTCTGGTTGATTTAGGCGAATTACAATGGCCTCTGTTGTTTGGAGTTAACGGTATCTAGAGGCCTTTGTGAATTTATTCGATACAATATCCGATAGGTGATAAAGAAAGACTCATCAATGCTAACTAGCTTTGTGACCTGTTTCGAAGAGGAGACCTGATATAGAAGAACTGTTGACGGCTTTAACAACACCTGTATTTAATCAGAATAGTAGTTGATCCCAAGCACGGAAAACTAAATTCCTAGAGCAATGGCCAATATAACTGGCTCCACAAGAGCAGTTGAACTGATAAATACATTTAGAAGTGGCTATCCTAGGTACCTTATCTTTCAGCTTCAGAATCACAACGGGTTGTGTGGGAAATATAAGCTGCAGCTTACAAGTATTAAACATGTTCTTTGAATCGACTTTCTGAACACGTTGGTTACTATTTCACTTAGTATTATTATTATATTATTATTGTATCCTTTAGTTCCTAGAGGAACATAGGGCTTCAGCTGCGCACCTCCATTGCCTTCGGTTTCCTGACAACTTTTTCACCCTGCTCCAGGTCTGTCCACATGCTTTCATCTCCTCCTCGCATGACCTCCTCCAAGTCACCCTTGGACGACCAACTCGCCGCCTCCCTTTCGCCATTTATATAGCGGATAACTGTTTTCTTGAAAGGACTAACTATTTTTAATCAGAATTGATAAAAAAATCACTATAAATCCACAAGAATTTTGAACCTGATTTATTGTTATTATATGCAAAGTAATCCTGACATATCCTGACCCTTGAGACAACCAGCTTGGGAATATTTCTAATTATCCAGCCTATATATGTTTCGCTTTATCCGTTTTTATTATTCCTTCACGTTCCCAGTGGAACATAGGGCTTCAAGCTAAAGGCTTGAAGTTTCTGTAGTAGTGGTAATTATTTTTACAGGATGGGGTTGCTGGCCTCATGCTCAACCTTCCCTCTTTACCAGTCGTACTACTGGCTTAGGGAGGTAAAGGAGTGAGTCGGTGTCCGCGGATCAAACCCCCGGACAATGTGCATAGTCGGCTGGCGTCCTAACCGCTGTGCCACCGACGCGTTGTCCATGGGTAACCATTTTCAAAATAACAACTTTTTGTAGATTATGAATTACAGTAAAGTAGATTAATTCATTCTTTGTCTTTATAACAAACTTTTCATTGGTAGAATATATAATAAGCGATTTGTAGTGAATCTGTATTTTTGAATATCAATTAGTCTATGATTATCTGATACCTTTAATGGGTAGTTTTCTGTTCTGTTTTCCTCTTAATACAGCTATACGAATTTGAGGCAAATCAAGCAATATCATCAGGTAGTTCTTATATTCTATTATTACTTATGCTAATTACATTTTGAGATAATTAATTAATTAATTATTCCCAATTTACTTTTAGTAAAGTTAGGTACATATTACTAATAAATAGCAGTATGTCACAATTGGGCCAAACTGGTAAAGGCTGGTATCATGGATGATATGGCACTTTTGTATTTCTACTGCTCGGCTTCTAGTCGACATTCTTAATGTAATAATAATAATAATAACAGCTTTATTCCAAACGGTATTTGTGGTACAGGTATGGAATTTTCAGCGTGCATTACAGTATATTGCATCTAATTACCTCATAAATTATATAAGATTTTTAAAAATCAAAGATAAATAAATAAAAATAAAATAAATAAGTTATAAATAAATAAATAAAAGTTAAAAATTAAGAAAAAACAGCGTAGAGTATTTCATTTCAAACAATGCACCACAGGATTTGAAATATAAAGTTGATGTGTGGTAGAAGATGAGAACAACAGTGTAGTAGTAACGAGGAAAGGAAAACAAAAACTAATGAGACTATTTGTTAGAGTGCTGCAGTAAGTTTATCGTACTTCTAATCTACTGAATAATCAGTTAGCACCACAAAGCCTGACTCATATAATACGAGGCATATAATGCCACATGTCAAATGATCCACGAAGGGAAACTCAGAGAGGCCTTTGAAGTGAAGACAGGAATAATCAGGCAGGGTTGCCTCCTATTATTACCGATAATATTTCTAATTGTGATTGACCGGGTTATGCGGTACACTATAAATGGGGAGCAAGAAGACAGGAGTACACTTGAATGATAAGGAGATTCTAGGAAACCTGGACGTCGCAGATGGGTTGTGTACAGTCGCACACAAACCAGATATCTTCCTACATATATCATTTCAACAACCGCTTGTTAGTACGAATCTCCAAGTTCAGTGTTCAAGTTCATTTCATTTGCTTCTTCTGCAACACTTATTCGTGTCACCCTAACAAAAGGAGTGAACGGTTACATGATTTCATCATGAGTTGACATTAGTTAGAGAACCATTAGAAAACCTGGGAGTACTGGACAGCTGTTTCCAATGGTCTCTAACTAATGTCACCTCATGATGAAATCCTGTAACCAATCAACTAAATCCCTACAAACCAATACTTGAAAAGGAGTGAACGATAACAGGAATTACAGTTTCAAGAGGCTTAATCTTAAAAAAATGATCAGTTTCACAGTAACCAAAGTATGTGTCTAACAGACCTACTGGTTTCAAAGTAGAACTTTGCACAGATGTGCAGCAGTTAGACCTGCCACACTCCTTCCATGTGTAGCACAACAAGCAAGAGAAGAGAGTAAAGAGAGATTCCGGACACAGAGAGAGAGATAATAAACAGAAATATGAGGCAAAAAGAATAGTAATATGGGAGAACAATAGAATTTTATTAGGTATTGTAAATCACAAGGAGTGAGTGCACCACTGACAATTAAGATTTTTAGCCATATCAACAATTAGAACAAAACATATAAGGCGAACAATATTGTTTTCAATTAGACCTTTTTCAGGATTTACTCCAATTAACATTGTGTTATGTACTCATCGAGTAGTTAATAGTCCTGACGCGGAAAGAGGGAAATCAGAAGACCACCAGGTTTACAATGATACTTGTATTTTCCAGACAAGGAAAATAAATGTCACACTAGTGTGTGTGTGAAATGGTACGAGTGTACGAAATGTATGCGAACCAGAATACAATACAAAAGTATATATGAAAATGGTTAATACACATGAACCAATAAGACAGTCATCTTCCCACGATTGGTTGTAATGTCACATGATAACAAGGTCATACATGTTTATTTAGTTAGTGGACAGACAAAAGCATATTGTCAGTTATAATGAAATATCGATCCATATACACAGCAAAATATAATAGACTGTCAAAACAAAACACACATCATGTGGATACATATCACATAGATTTATATATAATAATTTCAACAAATGATGGTGGTTTTGTGGATCAAATAATAATAATTTACTTTATTCCAAAAACACTACTTATAGTACAGAATGGAATTCTCAGCAATAATAATAATAATGTGGTAAATGTTTTGAACGTCATTAATAACGATTATTATAATGAAAACATTTACCACAATATTATTATTATTATTTGATCAACAAATCACCGCCATTGGTTAAACTTTTGATACACAAATCTATGTAAATTAGGGTAAATTCTGAAGAAGATCTAATCGAAAACAAAATTGTTCGCTTATATATCTTTTCCTAATAATAACAATGGGAATATTTAAAGATTTGATATCACCAATTGTCTACAGCCTTCATCGTTTTTTACCAACCCGAGGACCCCAACCAGTCAAGAGATTCACACCTCCCTACATAGCAGCTGGCTTAAGCTAAGTGTTGTGGATTTCATTGACTGATGAAGCCATGTTTTGGTTTCACCACCACTCGCTCTTATATATATTTATATATAAATATATATTCTATGTCACTTAACATTGCCCATCGGTTGAGAAAGGCGATGGCTAGGGATGCATGCGTAACACATGTCCTAACCATCTCAATCGATGCATCACGGCCTCATCGATCTACTTCCCCTCCTTACCTAGCACTTGACGCCTAACCTCATCATTGCTCACTCTATTATACCATTTCACACGGGAGATAGAACTCATGCACCTATGATCAAAGACAGCTAGACTTTTCATGTCTTCCACTTTCAACGGCCAGGTCTGACAGCTAGTCATAAAGGAGGACGGAGCGAACTGCTGAGCAGTACACACGCCATTTGATCGGTAGCCGGATATCATATCTAGTGCCTAGTCATTATTGTCGGCCAAAATCTCTTGAACAGATGTCCCGTACCGTTGAAAAGCTAGGCAAAACAACGCTGATGGTATTAAACATTTAGCATTTGATTGGTAAATTCTCCAGTAACTAGGTTCTGTATTTGTCGACATACATCAGTAAGTCATATTTGCAGCCCTAAGGTAACTCATTTTGAAAATGGAATTTAAACCTATTTTACTCAATGCATAAGTCATAGGCTTTATCAAAATACTACTTAATTTCTACAACACCTCAATGGAAAACAAGACAGTTTTACTAAAAAAAATTGCACAACAGGACTACGACCTGGAAATTTAAGCACTCAACTTCCAAAAGATAAGTCACTGGTCCGGACTTTACTTCGTCTACCAAAATCGAATTAGCAAGGCATCATCACTTGTCACGTGATACGTGTAGTCAAACCAGCTGGGAGCACTAGATAGCTAGTTCTTCTTCATCTGGAACTACGACCCTGCCAGGGAACGAACCCAGGAGCTTCAGGTTCCAAGGCCAAGCTTCTTGGATGGAATTCTTGAAGTTACTGTGGGAAGTGATGACCAGTGGGGTCCAGCATGTTAGGATGCTCATGGAAGGAACTGGTAAGGGAATTGTCATATCACGAGTTGACAGTGTTAAAATTCACAGGTCATTGGATTCTCAGTCTAAGTGGACGGATGGTCAATGAACATAGTCTCGCTTCCGGGTTCGATCCCTAGCGGGGTCGTAGGTGTACACTGCTCAGTAGTCCCAAACTAGGGAGAATCAGCTGTCTACGGCTTTCAGCTGGTTTTCAGTGACGTCTCTAAGTGATGTTGGTTCGTCACGACTGTCTAATAGTTGAAATTAACCCATAAATTCCCACAAAACTTATAATCTGAATTGATTGATGATTGTGCCCTTGTAACCGACTATATACCTCGTTAGCTTATGTCCTTCATCATCAATTGAGTTTATTATACCACTCACATCAGACGGAGATTTCTTTTCTTTACAGCTTTTACGCTTGGTCATTGAATTCTTGAGTTTATTTCACATGTTGACTACCACCGATAATTCACCTTCTTTTTCACCTTCTTACTACTCTGACTGGCATTCGGTTAGAAGGTAAACAGTTTTTGAATGTATGTAGAAGACGAGCAGTACATGATGTTATAGACTACCTTGACTTAGGCGTTTCTTCAGCTTGGATGACAACATTTTCTATCATAGTTATCAGCAACCCGGAAGGATTTATAGGGATAAAATAACTCAGAGGAAAATGATACACAATATCCCGATTCTACTTTTTCTACGGATATTGTTACGGTGGTTATTTGCACAAGACATACGTAGAGTTTAACTTTACATTTGTCGAAATAAATAAATACAGAATTACGTAAGAGTTTTAAGTAGTTAGAAAAAAACAAGCAAAAGTTAAGTCAAAGCAACAGAGTTGTTAACATGACATGGCTGAATAATTTTCTTTTGTACGCATAGTTCTAGTTCGTCTCACTGAATAGCTAGGGCTTCTGCAATGCAAAGAAGTCGGAGACCTACTGTCTTTGTCGAGTTGTTCCTCACTTTGTGGATTATTTTGATGGAGACATTTGTTGAGATGGAATGCCCACTGATGACGAGATGTTCGATTATTGCATTCCCTTTACGGCCACTACTCTCTTGCTGCAGCCACGCTGCATACTGTTCTTTGACCATCTTTGACAGGATCCGTGTCTAAAGACCGATATGCCTGGCTCCACAGCAACAGATGAACTAATAAATACACATAGAAGTGGTCAGGTGCGACATCTTGCTCTTTTGGGTTTCTGTAGATCAGCGGGCCACTGAAATTCATTGGAGTTTATAATATATGCTGCGTTAATTTTTTCTTTACAGGTACAAAACAAAAACCAATGTCAGCTAGCCCTTCAAGTAGGCTGGATATTGGACAGACAACTGGAAATTTGAGAAAAATGCACGGAGATAAATCTCGACTTGGTAGACCAGTTACAGTAAGTGACTAGTGAAATTTTTTGTCTGTGTGTGTGTGTTTTTTCAATTTATAAGCCATTTGTTTTGTCATTAAATGAAAACTAAGCAGTTAAGATAAACAAGGTATTATGTAACATGTAGGTAAATGTTGATATTTATAGGGAATTCTACATCTTAAGTAAATCATGGAAGCAATTTCGACCATATGTCAGTATCATAATTTATATAACTCGAACTGACTGAGTTTCATCATTGTACTTTTCACAGAAGTGTAGAAGTTCAAGTCTTCACATTTCATGTAGAACATAAAGGCAGAGAAAAAGAGATTCAAAAGAACCCTAGTGAACAGAAATATACGGCAGAAAGAATGGTAACCTTGGAAAACAATAGGGTATTAGTGCATATGGAGATTACAGAGGATGAACACATCTGCACAACAGAACAATTTCGAGTTTAAACTACCAGTTGTCTCCAGCCATTTGTTCTTAGCATGCTGAGGATCTCAACTAGGTAGTCTGTAACTTCCTACATGGCTCATACTAGTTGTCAAACACTTCATGAATTCATACCAAGTTTTAATTTTGACCATGGAAAAAACTATATTTTCTGTAGAGAATAAATACTCTAAATACATTTATTTCAAATAAAACAGCTAATATGTAAAATATTAATCATTTCATAATACATCTTTCATTCATTCAGTGCATTGCATTGCATAATACACTCAATCACCACCAAAAAAATCTATACTGTCTGACAATTATGACCAACTGCTTTAAAATTCAAGTTATTATTATTATTATTATTGTATCCTTTAGTTCCTAGAGGAACATAGAGCTTCAGCTGAGCACCTCCATTGCCTTCGGTTTTCTGACAACTTTTTCACCCTGCTCCAGGTCTGTCCACATGCTTTCATCCCCTCCTCGCATGACCTCCTCCAAGTCACCCTTGGACGACCAACTCGCCGCCTCCCTTTCGGGTTCCACTCGAGCAATGGCTTGTCTAGTGATGTCACTTGATGGTTTCCTCAGCGTATGACCAATCCATCTCCATTTCTTTCTGCCTATTTGTTTCACAATCGGTTCCTGATTGGTTCGCTCACTGCCAGAGATCCCTGTTGGTGATCTTTTCTGGCCATCTGATCTTGAGTGGTATTAAGCGAAGACAGCTGTTAATGAAGGTCTGTAGTTTGTTTGAGATGCTCTTTATGACTCGCCAAGTCTCTGATCCGTATAGTAGCACTGACTTTACATTGGAGTTGAAAATCCGGATCTTATTTTTGATGCTGAGTTAACACAATCTTAATATGCTCAACTTCTTGTTTAAAAGTCAATATTTTTTTCTCCTAAAACTCCATTAGAATTCATTTATATTAATTGCTGAGGAATTGAAATTAAAATCTCTAAGTTGAAAAGTATGATTAACTGGTGACTTAATGACCCGATCCACTTTATTTAAAACACGTTTCTCTGAATAAACAAAATAATTTGAAAACTAAAATAAACTTCAAAACTAAAAATATTTAAGTATATGTAAGTGCAATAATATAACAATAGTTGACAATAAACTTCATGACGACATGGTTGTCAGAATTTATTGATATCACGAGTGGGATAAAGTAAGCGATCATAGGTCACTGAATTCCATCCCAAATGGCTGAACAGTCAATAAGCTTGATTTAGTAACCTGGAGTCATGGGTACGCGCACCGTTGAAAAGCCCAAAACTAGGACGAAACAGTCGTTCAGTATTACTAGTGCTGGTTTTCAATGGTCTGTCTATTAGGTGTTGGTTCGTGACGAATATCTATCAAGTGGAATAAATCGAAAATCCTCACGAGTTCTATAATCAAATTACCGATTTGTCATATAAAGTTAAATCCCTTTTGCTATCTGACTTTTTCTTAAGTATATCTGATTAACATGTGGAGATAATTACAGTCGAAGATTACAGTGACCACATAAAGTCGGATAGCAACATTATGGAGTAACATAAACCTCTGTCAGCAGCTTTATATGACAATGGCACATGTCAAGTGGTCCACAAAGGAAAACGCAGAGAAGTCTCTGAAGTGAAAACAGGAGTAAGACAAGACTGTCCACTATCACCGATGATATATCTAATTATGCTGGACTGGATTATACGATACACCGCGTATGGAGAGTGAAAAGACAGGAAATACACTGAACTAATAAGAAGACTCTTGTAAATGTGGATTCAGAAAATAATTTATGTCCAATGTCACGAATTCAAAGACCTACAGGAGAAAACCAATAAGTTGACAGCAAAAGAAACTGGAAGTGAAGACAGGACTTCGCATGAATATAGAGAAGGTAATGGTGATGAAGATAACCAACCGGAAACAACAATAATTACCAATCACTATAAATGGGAGAAATTTGAATGAGGTCGTTTCCTTCACTTATTATAGGCACCATCATCTCAACTACAGGCAGCAGAGGATGAGGATATCAAAGCTAGAATCAGCAATCTAAGACAAACATTCATCACTGTGAAATCAGTTTTGGGATCTGTTTCACTCAATCGGCGCAAAGGATAAACTTCGGATTTTCAACACCAATGTTCATTGAGTCAGTTCCTCTATATGGACCAGGAACTTGCTACACGCGTCACGAGCAGCATTTAAAACAAGTTACCGCAGACTTTTATAAACAGCTGTCCTCTTCGCTGTCTCTAAACTGAACACCAGATGACTGGCTGGCCAGAAAGAATTAGCAATAAGAATCTCTGAGAACAAATCAATCAAGGACAAACTGCCCAACAAATATTTTGAGAGAAATGCGCATGGATCGGACACACGCTGAGAAGACTGTTGAGTGATATTACACGTCAGGCACAGGCTCAAATGGAACCCAAACGAGAAACGACCAGTCAGGTGTGGGTCCAAGAGTGATGTGGAGGAGATCGTGTAACGAGGTGGTAAAAGCTAGTGAGCAATCGCACGGCCAGCCGTTAGAAGACTGCAGAGAACATGAAAAAACGGAGATATGCTGTTGAATCCCTATGTTCCGCTTGGAACCCAAGGGAATAATAATAACATGCCACTTTGAGCTAGAAGCTGAGTAGACCAACGCTACAGAAGACCTAGAAGATGGTTAGCTGTATCGCGACGCCTACGAGGTATAAGAAACCTTTAAAAACTTTGGACATCAGTTGACAAATAATCATAGAGATTCTTAAATTAGTAGCTAAATTCTTCGAGGTTTTATTGTATTGAGCTAGATAATACCTACTTTGGTTAACTACATTTCAAATTGATCGGTGACATACAGTGTCCAAGTGATTTGACTTATCGTTATGCATATATCAACAATGAAATACTTACAGACAAGGGTTAATGTGTCAACACACTTCAACCTATGCCAACAAAATTTAGTTAGACAAAATATTTTATTCAATTGACTACTATACATGTTCCCATTATAATTTTATGTTTTAGTTCGAATTGTGTTATTTGAGAGTAGTATATGCTAACACAGATATTGTTCTATCAATTCAATTTTTATATAAACTGTTAAATTTTAGCACGACGGTTTTATAAAGCGTAATGCTATACCATACACATATGAGCACTATACACAATTTAGGAATAAAATGGTAAGAGCATGTTTACCCAAACAGTTCTGAATGTTACTTGTTCAGTTGTTTGTTTATTCAATATCTCACAAAGATTGAATGGAAATAACAGAAGGTACAAGAAGCACAATGTGAAACTCAATTGCCTACTGACATGTACCGCATGCCACCGATGCACACACTACTGTGTGGTACACTGTAATTTATAACGGGAGGTAAACTCATTTCCCGGAAAAGGTCTTCAGCGTTTTAGGCTATGAACCACTCATTTATTGTGTGAGGGCTCAATTGCTCCGACTGAGATAGGTGGGGCAGCATTTGAAACCGCGACGCACTGACTGAAAGTCGAGTGCTTAAGCTAGCGCAACACATTTCTAACAGACAGGTTTATTATTTCAAGTATCACACCGTGATACAGTCTATCATTAAGTGCATGTTTCGAGCATAAATTATTGTCACTCATAATCATATCAGTTAGTCACACGGCTTCACTATGTGTCTTTTTTTCTCTCTCTCTTGTGGCCATTTTCCATATCTCCGGTATGGGTGTTGATTCATTTCGATTGCACTTGTGAGGTGCTGAATCGATGATCAAAGATTCACTGATTAACCTCTCTCTGTCCCCACTTAACTATATTACTTCTTAACGCTCTCAACCTGTCCTACCCACCCTATTTCGTGATTAAATGCAAGTGAATACAGTGCAATGACTGAGCTTTTTTCCAGGTTATTCAACTTAGCAGGGTCAATGAATCTAGGCCTAGCTAGAGTTTTTTTAATATTCTAATAATCTAATTGACACGGATGTACTAGTTTTACGTACATAATTGACTTCATTAACAGTCATTACATTATATTTGGTAAATTATATTACTTTTCTTAATTGGATCTATTGGGTGCTTAAGCCGACAAAGTTTATCTCCGAGAGAGTTGGTTGTTCGGTTTAAATACCATCCTAATTTCAGCCTCGTTGAAAATCCTATAGAAAGCCTCTGACTTTCCTTCTTTATACGGCAGTAATCACTGAATCTTTGTTTATCGATTCAACACCGCACACCTGCAATCAAGTTGACGCAACGCCTGCACCTGTACTGGCACCAAAAAACAAAGGGGAAGATTGACAAAAACAAAAAACACATATAGGAAAAATCGTGAAAACTTTGGACTAAAAACTGATACGATTCTGAGTAATCATTTATGCTCGACACGTCATTCAGCTCATAATACTGTGTCACTGTGTGTGTTGTATCAGGCCGAGTTAAACTTTAAGCACCACTAACTACCAATGGAGTGCGACCTCACCAATGACCTTGAAGCGCTCACTGAGCAAGTTAGAGAAACCTGGTGAATAATGTTTTGATCATCAATAAAATATGTTCATCGAAGTGTCATCCTATTTAAATGGCATATCTGGCAAGTTTCAGATTAGGTTTGCAAAAGATTAAATTACTCTTTAAGGCAAGGACAAGTTAGGGTTAAGTTAACCTAACAAAGGTGACACTAGAGTTGGTTCGAGTTAGATTACAGTTAGTTTAGGGATACTTTCACGTTAGGGTTAGGCTCAGGAAAGATTAGGGTTACTGTTAGGTTTAGAAGACCTAAATAATTACATACATAGAATGTGGTTAAATTACGCTAGTGATATAAGAATAGAACTTGTGCACCGTTGTAGAGTATAATTCCATTGTGAGTAAAATCTATTTTGATAAAGTCTCATAGTTTCCAGCACAATTTAGTGCTCAGAAAATATTACTGTATAACAAACACTATGAGACTTTATCAAAATAAATTTTACCCACAAGGGAATTATATTCTGTTGATACTCCAACGTAAAACTGAAAGCTATTTTTATCACATGTGAGAGAAACGTATCCTCTGTAATACTTTTCTACAGTTTTTAGGCATTTTTCTCATAAATACATGTATTCCATATACAAAAGTGCCTCCTCCACGTGATTGGTCCGTTCGAGGTCAATTCGCTGATTGGCAGTTGTTGGTGCTTAAAGTTTAACTTTGCCCTTGTATCAGATAAACTTATCTAATATGGAATTACACTCTACCACAGTAGCCAAGTTCTACCCTCACGTTAATTACTTCAAAAGAATCTCTATTACAATATGTTTATTCTTACTTCTCCGGTTGAGCTAAGATACAACCAGCTGAAGATGTTTAGACTGCTTTCAAAAAAATATCCAGGTGAATAAAATATGACCTATGCAAATAAATTTTCAGTTTTTGTTTTCATTTTTTAAAATTCAGGTTGGTATACCATCATTACGTGAACGCCTAGCTGACAGATTACTTAGAAATGGTCCACCCGATAAGCATTCGCAACTAATTGAAATGCAAAAGCAATCAGCAAGTGAACAGTAATACTACTGAGGATAATATTAAAGGCATTTATATACATATCATTAACAATTGTCAAAGAAAAATATATTACTGAATTGATTTCACACTAGAATATTGAGAGTTGATCGATCCACTTGTGAATGAATCTCCGTATTATGTAATTTTTTGAGAAAAAAGAAAGAAAGAAAAGAAGTATCCTTCTTTACGCATGTTTGTATTTTTCACTTCAAAAATACTCTGGGTTCATACAATACTATCCATCATTAGCTAACAGTAACAATTCTAATTTTTATTTTCCGATGAGCGTCCAAGTTAAGCTATGCGTTTGAAATCGAAGAAATTAGATAGCAGATTAAACTGTTGATCGAGTTTGAACAATTTCACTGCAACTACAAAACATTCTGCTAAACTAATTCCATGCGACATACTAGTAAACAGCCGTCTTTTTAACAAGACCTACCTGTTTGTTCAAACTAGGAGATTTTATTATATATGTCCAAACGGTTTGAAAAAATTTGGGCATTTGGTATATGATATTCATTATAATAAAGGTTTTTTGTATTTCCCAATGAATGAAAAACAAAGCAATGTTGTTGTGTTTACTGACGTTTCGCTATTTAATGCTGTTGCCAACATCTTTGCCAAAGTATTATTAAATTGGAATTTACTAAATCTCAGCATATATATAACAAAGAGTTAAGAGGTGAGAAAATAGACTTAGGTCAAGTTCAAAGGACATGTTGAAAGTCAAAATAACAATGAAGATCAATCACTAAACCAAATAACAAAGGTAATAGAACGTCTGTTATGGTATCAAAACAAAGTTTACTAACTTGATCATCGTTCGTCTCTCTGGGGTCATTTTTCGTTGTCAAGTTGGCCACTTGGTAGAGATAACAAAACCAAATGTAGATTGTTGGGTTTTATAAGTGTGTAAAATTATAGAAGCAGTGTGCGTTTACATAGTGAAATCGCTCATCACACTCGTGTTGATTTTGTCACTTTATGGGGGAGGGAGATGCTGCAACCAGGTCAGATTCTGTTTTAGTCCATCATTCCTATTCAGACAATTTGGATTCCACTTGATGTGAAGTGCTTTCGCTGATATTAGACGTTCTTTGTGATTTCTGAAATGCTTTTTCTGGATGATGATTTCAGTATTGTCAAAATCAATTTTGTGGCCTGATTCTATAACGTGTAGACAAGCTATGGCTGATGATTTTTCAAGTTTTTCTAGTTCAACCGAATTTCTCGGTGGTCGAACAGATGCTCTACGGTGACCCCAGACTGACGAACGATGATCAAGTTAGTAAACTTTATTTTGATATAACAGATATACTATTACCTTGACTTTCAATATGTCCTCTTAACTTGACCTAGGTAGTCTATTTTCTCACCTCTTAACTCTTTGTTATTTTTATAGGCTGAGATTTTGTAAGCTGTGGTTTAATAATACTTTGATAAAGCTAGTAGCAGCATTAAATAGCGAAACGTCAGTAAAAACGAAAATATCGTCTTGTTTCTCATTCATTGGGAAATACAAAAACCTTCATTATAGGAGATTTTATCATGATAATCTATATGAGGGTTAGTAATTAGCTCTCTCTGTTGGCTGCCATTTTAGCAGATTTCTTAAGTCGACTAAAAAATGCTCCTTCAAAACAACCTTATCAGAAAAATCCTCATTTTATTACTGCTGTAACGACAGAAGACAAGGGCCAGGCAACAGATCGTTTATTGAGGAAATCAACAGATATTTATATATTTTATGTACATTATTATTAACACAGAAACAGAGTCTTCTGGTTGGTTGTTTTCTAGCTGAAAGTTATTCTATCATCCCTGTGTGGCCGTTTCTTTGAAGGTCAGACCATATATCTGCGAATCGTATTTGCACACGCTAAGTCTGCTGTGATTGGTCGTTGAGTTCCTCAAGGTTAGGCTTTGTTATTGTTCTTTCCTCATGACCCCGATTCGGGACGTAAACTGATTGACGTAAATTGGTGTCTACAATGTTGGCCAGAAGACAGCTCTCACCACACTGATATATGGATGATACCTTAATCCTTTTTTTGAAAGTGATTCGGACAGGAATACAATAATATCTCCATTCAATGAAGTACACTCGGCTGTTGAATTCATGTGCGAAGAAGTATTCTAAAGTAAAATTACTTTTTTTAGACATCCTACTGACAAGAAAATTCTTTGGACCAGTCAATGGACACATTTTGACATGTTTATTGCTCTCCAGTAGAAAAGAAACTTGGTGAAGAGCCCCCTCTCAGCTATTGAGTTAGAGCTGTTTGTTCAGAAGACTGAAGACGAACTTATGGTTGTATACGACACGTTAATTACAAACAGCTAACCTGAATAGTTGATCACTAAACACATGGTCAGGAGAGTAGAAAAGAATTCTTCTCTAACTGTTAAGAAGCGTCAATGTATATACAACTACTATTCAAAGGTGATATACCAAGTGAAAGAGTGTGTCTAACGCTCATCAGCCGCAGCTTGTATTTCCCAGATAGCCGGTTGTGATTCCGAAGCTGAAAGATAAGGTACCTAATCTATCCACTTCTAATTGTATTTATCAGTCCAACTGCTCTTGTGGAGCCAGTTATATTGGCCATTGCTCTAGGAATTTAGTTTTCCGTGCTTGGGATCAACTACTATTCTGGTTAAATAACAGGTGTTGTTAAAGCCGTCAACAGTTCTTCTATATCAGGTCTCCTCGTCCAAACAGGCCACAACACTAGTTAGCATTGATGAGTCTTTCTCTATCATCTATTGGGTATTGTATCGAATAAATTCAAAAAATACCTCTAGATACCGTTAACTCCAAACAACAGAGGCCACTGTAATTCGCCTTAGTCAACCGGAATTGGGCGTGCAGAAGAAAGGCAGGTCCAACCACTATTGTTCCCTGGACCTGTTGTGGAACCTATAAATTCATAGTTTCTTCCCTTAGTTCTTTTGATATTCAGACAGTTTAGTGTTATATTGATGAATATTATCTCTCTCTCTCCCTCTTAATGATGCTTTTCAAATGTAGTCTATCGATACTATTAATTCAGTGTATTTTCAAACGGCATTAGTCTTGTCAATAACAACATTTCTTTAACTATTAATAGAACCTGATGAAGACGAGTTTGTTCGTTAATCAGTCTTTTAAATTTTTAATGGACATCTTCAGCTGGAGGGATAGCTCAGAAAACCTTGAAATGATAAAACTGACTTAATGATAAATCACTGCATGACCGAAAGTAATCTTTTGCTGAATTGAGTGAGTAGTTAAACTTTGCAGCTGAAACACTGAAGCACCGTGTCAGGTTATCAGTAGAAGATCGTTATTTCGAGACTTCTAATACGACAATCTTCTATGACCCAATGAAAGAGAAAAACTAGAAAAGTCTTGAGAAAAAAACTTCAATAGCATCACAGATACTGCATCACTTATCCACGGTAAGGTTGTCCAAATTCCCTACTTTTACCTTGACTTCTCCTACTAATGTATGGTGCTGATACAGAAGTTCCTAGCAGACAGGACTTTTTGACAAAGTAGGTTAAATATATAGTCTCAGTTTACACTTACGTACTAACCACTAACATGGTATTTAATAATGACTGTCTCCAAGTATATTCTTCAACTTCATGCATTATAATGTTAAATGCTTTTAGAAAACTTGCAATAACATATACTATGTTTGACCGTAAAGGGAGTGCTGAGAAGGTACATCGCACTAATCACAGCACTTACCCTACTCGAACTCAAACAGCTAGGTAAGAGCTTGCGGAGAGTTGTCATCTGAAGTGATGACAACCACTGGTGTCCATCAAGGATACCCACTGTCCCTATTTTTTGTTTAGTTTCACTAAAGATATACTGATGGAATTGACTATAACCGTCATCGAAGACTTAGGGATTGACTTGTTGACTTAGAATATGCTGATAATATTAGTCCTCCTAGGTTAAGACGTCGATAAAATGCAGTTAACATAAGATCTGGTTGGAAAAGAACTAACTGCGCTAGTGGTGAACACAAAACATGGAATCACTCCATGAAATCTCTGACATTTAGTCTGAGCCAACCAGGGTGCTCGAGATTCTCATAACCAGTAGCTGGAGACAGTTGGCGGCATGGCTCGAAATCGTTCTCAATGGCTCAGGTTTATTCGCTTTTTGTAATCTGCAGTTAAACTCCCATGTTTTTCCGCGTTACTATTTTTTCTCCCTCACATTTCCACTTATAACTATACTTCCAAATTTCTTTTTTCCCCTCTTTTGTCTTCTATTTGTGTGTTACATGGAAGAAGTGTGGCAACTTGAATTGCTGCACTTCTGTGCAATGTCCTATGTTGAAACCAGTCAGTCAGTCATCCCATAGAGTATCTACACAGATATAGTCAAAGACCTGACAAGACAGAAGTCGACACAATTATATATATGTGCATAAACATGCATTAGACTTTGTTATTACTATAATAAAGGAACCATTTATCCTTTAAAAAGAAAAAAGACAGTCAAATGATTTTATTCACATATGACTACTAACAACACATAAATATACACATAAAGAGTCAAATTTGTGGCACATTATTCATCATTTGGTGTAAAGACTAAGTAATCAATCACTTCAATGTTGATTTCTTATTTCTTCTTCTTGTTGTTGTCAAATTATTCAGTCTTTTTAAACTTTAATGATGCACTATTTATGCAATAACGTAAGCCAGTTGGTTGAGGTCCATCTTCAAATACATGGCCTAAATGAGCATTACACTGAAATAATAAGGAAAAAGAATTGAATAAATGTATTATTATTATATAATATTAACTAGTAAACAGTTCTTAAAGTGTAGCAAAATTAACAAGACGGAGGTTATAAAAATAACCAGCCGACAACAACGGCAACAGCAACATCCAGTGCCAATCACCATCAACGGGAGGGATTTAAAAGAGGTTACTTCATTCACTTATCTAGCATTGAGCATTGTCTCAACTACGGGAGGAACGCACGAGGATGTCAAATCGAGCGAGGATCGGGAAGGCGAGCGAGAAACACATTCAGCAACCTGAAACAACCAATCTGGAAATCTTCGTCACTCAGCCAGCATCAACAACGAAATTCTGTCGGATTTTCAATACAAACGTCAAACCAGTTAGTTCTTCTATACAGATCAGAAACTTGGCGGGCGGATCACAAAGAAGATTTCCAATCAACAGGTTGCAGACCTTTATCAACAACTGTCTTCGCTGGGTCTATACTGAAGATCAGATGGCCGGGCCGGAAAGAATCACCAACAAGAAACTATGGGAACAAACAAAACAAGAACAAACCAATCGCCCAACAAACATGCAAGAGAAAGTGGAGATGGATTGGATACTCGCTGAGGAGGCCGATGGGTGACATCGCGGTACAAATCAATAGTATTTAAAAAACACTAATATTGTCATCGACTACTAAATCTAGAATATTCTATGTATATAAACATGCATATATATAATTGTAGAGCCAGAAGAGGAATCTATCGAAAAGGATATTCTTTGCTCGATTATTTTGTGTTTTACAATTACTTATAACAAGAAATATGTATGTTCATTTAGAAATGATGGAGAACATTTGAACTGCAGGTGGATGGAATTGGTGTAGTTGTGTTCGTATATGTGTAAAACTTGGGCACTGTGGTAGTAAGTAATTCCATATTAGTTTGTTTATTAGATGTATCACACAGTGAAACAGTATTGTGTACTGGATGAGGTTTCGAACACAATTTATTGTTCATAATCATATCAATTGTGGTCACACGACTTTGAAACTTGAGTTTTATGGTCTTCTTTGTTCTCTCTTATTTGTCATCGTTGGGATAGTAGAATTTTCGAGATATCTGGGTGGACTGGTGTTGAACCATTGCTATTACACGTATTTGCAGTTGAATCCATAGACAAAGCTTCTGTTATCAGTCTCTCCCTCCATCCGGTGACATTAGTTTTTAAAACTGTCATCCTAGCCCATCCAGCCTATTGTATGGTTGTGTGTAACTGCATGTAGTGCTATAGCTGAACTATTTTCTAGATTTCTTATCTTATTTGGGTCAACCAATCTAGATTTTGCTAGGTTTTTATGTTCAGCTAGTCTGACTGCCTCTGTTCTACTAGTTTGACCCATGTATTTGACCTCACAATCATTGCAGGGTATTAGATAAACAAAACAATTTTGTTTATCTAATACCCTGCAATGATGACAGCGGATGCTTTGTTTATCGAATCAACGGCAAATACATGTAATAGAAACGATTAAACACCTGTCCCAGATATATGGAAAATCCTACTGCCCATACGACAAATAGGAGACGACAAGGAAAACTATAAAACTCAAATCTCAAAGTCGTGCGTCCACAATTGATGTGATTATGAACAATAAATTGTGTTCAAAACGTCATCCAGTAGTTGTGTTCCTTGAATTGGATAGCTTAGCAAATAAACAATCCAAATTACTAAACACAACTACATCAATACATGTTCATAATTTAATGGATTAACGGGATTATCATTTCATACTACTAACTAGTAGAACAGGATCCTCTACACATATTACAGAGTTGTTTTGAATCGTATGAAGTACAAAACAAATTTCAATTGGTATATACTATAGAAATAAAAATATTTTAGTGAAAGAATAATCCCAACCACTAATTTCTCCCTTACACAAACTAATCAATTACATTACACAAAAAAGGCACAATCACAACTGAGATATACATACTTGTTTACAAGAAACTTCTATCCGTTTACTATCGAGTGAATTATCTTCTGTTCGAATAATATTTGTTTGTGAATCATTGCGTCCATCAGATCCATAAACTTGATAAAAAGATGGCCAACCTGAACCACTGTCATACTTTGTAGACGATCTAGGTTAAAAGAGAATAAAATTATCAGTAACCAGAGATACTTTAATATATCATTCGTGATTTTCGCACAACTTCACTGACATTTAGAATGATAAATGTCTGAGCGTTATAGTACTGCATTACTTTGTCGACAGACATTCAAAAGTTCATCAGTTATTTAAGTTTTAAACTGCGCTTTCGTACACAAAAGGTTCCCTACTTAGTGACTGCTAATTTTGTAGGCATAGAAACAAATTCGCTTAGCTCCACAGTCTTATATACTTCTAACCATAAAGGCACACTGGTAGCATAGTTCATTGCTCCAAATAACAAAATAAAGCGGAATCTAATATCGCTGTTTACCATCTAGTTCCTGTGCCTAAAACATCGCGTGAATCAAGTGTTCAGTTTAAACCTATTCCTATTACCTGACCATTTTTACACATAATGGAAAACTGCTTTTACTTAACCCTGCACCTTCACTGAAGGCTTTTAATCAACCTGAACAACTCGTTTATAAGCATAGTAGGTGTACCTTAGATGCCACTATTGTCGTACATCATAATGTTGTCTCTAGTTTGGACAGAGTTGTATTCCTAGATTACATACATCTGCCTGTACCTAGGCCTGCTTTGTTGAACAATCTTGCTGCGATACAAGCACGGTACTGGATTAATAAATAGCTACATTTTCACTTTTCTTATAGGAAGTAGACAGTATGTAATGGAAAGTCCTCCCCTGCTTTACTTACTCCAGCCGACGTTCCTCAAGGTGCTGTTCACAGTTCTTATAAGACTTTCCCCATTCTAAGTATGCCGATGACTTGACTGTTTGTTTACCGGTTACTTCTAAATAACTGTTTCAAAATAATGTTAGGATTTAGACAGTGGTCCCTGTCAAATGGTCTTAATTTAAGTCCCTCCAAATGTCACGTTGTTAACATCAATGATAATTAATAAAATCCACTTTCAAAATGAATGAAATCCAACTATCAATTAACCAGTTAAAACCTGAAGAATCACTTGAGAACTTACTCAAACAATTTTGAACCGCAGCATACACAAAGATATTCACCAGTTTCTTTATTATGATAGTATTCACCAGTGAAAGGCTACATAATCCAATTTAAGAGAAAATTCAGAATTACTGCTTCAGTGCCTTTAAGTCGTGCTACTCGATACTGTTCAGGCGTAAGTATACTTTTCCAATGATCATCTGACTTTGCTGTAGACATTTTTGAGCAGACACGCAGACTAAGATTGTAAAGTTTACTAAACAATGCCATGTGAATTTCTCTTGACCTACTTTAATATGCGCATAAAATGAAGTGGGAATAAATTAGAGCACACGCATTTGATTTTATTGTATTCGAAAACCTCTGAAATGAAAAATATCCATTAAACAAGGTGAATCAATACTTTCGAAACAAAAAGTAACTCAACCAGAGGTACGTTTAGAAGATAGATTAAGTGCCCCAGTTAAATACATAACTAATCAAACCATAATGAGAAGAAAAGATTCTGAAGGCGGAAACAGTGGCTGATCCCTGTAAGATTATACACGAACCAATGCAGATATTAGTGGGAGATGACAGCCATCCAAGAACACTGATCTACACCAATTTCTAGTGTTAAGACATGGTGACTACTTTTGACCGACTGAATTCAACATAAAACTTCACAAAGATATGCAGCAATCCGAGTTTCCACTCTTTATGTAGCACATAAAGCAAGAGAAGAGTAAAGAAGGTGACCACTACAAGCCCCAACGGACTAATAATTATCAAAATTATAGCACAGATGTTAGAAGTTCGTTTGGAAATTACTCAGCTGAATCATTGTTACTGCTGGTAAGATATCCAAAGAATAATCGAAAGGCCTATATATATATATATATATATATATATATATATACTGCTGTCCTACTACAATTGTGGTAATCACTATGATATACTGAATGAAAAGATGGCAGTAATTTCACGTGACCACGTTAGGAGGCTGACATGAGTTTGCGAATCTCCATTCATGGCAATGGCTAGGGTATATGCCGAAATGTTTGCTGCAAGTGCATGTTTAAAATTGTACCTTCCAGTAAAAGTATGGGAAGTAATTCCCAGAACAAAAATAAAAATCGATAGAGGCAATTGATTATATTAGGTTTACAGCAGGGTTATGTGGAGAATAATAAGCCATTTTGTCAAGACCAAGTATTAACACTTAAGAAACAATCCCCTGTAGTCTAAATTAATGAACTACTGGCTATGAAGAACTCTAATGCACCTCGATATCAACTGTAAGAAATACAAAGTTATAAATTCGGGGAACACAGTAACCTACTACACACTGCTCAATAATATATAATCTGTCATACAGGCTTCAACTAAGGAAAACATTTATCCACTGTAGTCATCAGTATAAGGCTGTCTCTAATCCTAACACTTAGCACCACGGTGAAGTTAAACTATCATAAACAGAGTTAATGTTTGAAGTCAAAATTTTCAACTAGAAATGTAAGTTAGGTGTGAATATAGAATACAAGAGGTATAGAAACAAAAAATTACACAGGAATAGAATATAATTGTAAAATGGTTATTTTTAACGGATTACAAGTGTGATCAGGAGGAGCATGGAAACAAACTTAAAATAACTGATTTTATAACTGGAAAAATACTTAATGTTTGTCAAAGTTGACTATGGACAATTAATCAGACTAAGGAGACGCTACGGTAGGTCATCGGAAGTAAAGAACATTTCTGAGTTTGTGGCATTTGGTGAATGATGATCAAGTATTTAACTACTATGAAAATAATGGAACTATTGGAGCCTTTATGACGTGTGTATGGGGAGAATACGAAGATAAGGTCACACAATGCTAGTGGGAGATAAATATCACTATATATGCCATTTATGGTATCAGAGGAAATCAGTTTGTGACCATGTGCACACTTTACTTAATCCCTACGTACTTCTTCCTCTAAATCTAAGCTATCTTTTCAAAATAATTTACGTGTCATATACATTGTTGGGTTATGCAAAAGCCTGTGAGGACAGTAGTAGTTGAGACGGAAAGTAGCCTGCTCTCTACAATGCAAGGATGTCAGAATTGTAAAGACATAACGTCATGGAAGCTAGAGGACTGTCTTGGAGAAGTAGCATGCTACTTCTCAACATAAACGACTACTGCAGTAGTCATTCATGTTGATAAAAGTGTGCAGATAATATGTACAACAGCAGAACCCAAAGTTTCGGTGCTTGAAGTTAATGACATTTCACTACGGAGACGTTTTATTGGCATAATCCCCAACAGCAGTACTAATTACAATTATTCAGCGCCTGTTAATGCCAGGAAGGACTATTCATATCGAAGAATAAGGAGGATTACAGCAATTGGATGTACTAGGAATGTTAAATGTAGTGGGGAAATGACATTTCAGAAGAGTTGTCAGGCTGTCAACGTCCGCCACAATTACTAACTCCAAAAGAACAAAAAACCAACTTACCCTCTTGTCACCAAAAGTCAAGGTCAAACTTATAACTGGTGGTAGTATACAGTTCTCAATATCGTTCAACAGTGACAATATAAATCAAGCTTGTTTCTTTGTACTCTTTTGTTGGTGACCTGTAATCCTCCCCGATCTTTAGAGAAATTGTGTTGGGTCATCTTTCTTTCTCGCCTGCTTTTCCTTTTGGAGGCTGTGGACAGTGCGTTTGTTATATTTGAATGCCGGTCGGCTTTAAGATAGACGCACTACCGTAATGAGACATTTCACCAGTTAGTCTTTTACTTTTTTCCACTAAGAATGAGGTTCAAATAGTGTTGGTAATAATGACAATTATGATAAAAAAACATGGTGATTTGGAGGGGTAACATAAACAACTGCTAACTATTGGAATCAAGAAAGTTCACGCATGAACAGGAAGACCAATCAGTCAGTCAGGAACTTCTGTTTAGAAGTTACAGACTTAATAGGTCTGAAAAAACGTAATACGTGAGAACACCATCGCAACTGATTTAATAGAGTCAATGGGTTCCTGAATCATCACCAACCATCCAGTTTTGGCTTTCCACTGATTGATAGTGCTTCAGTTTCAGATTATAAGAATGGAAGGCTTTTGTTGTCTGTTAGTCCTTGGGATATATATCTCTGTAAGGATATGGTTTCTCTTTGAAAGCGTTCGCCGATGGAGCTGTTACTACTGAATCAGGTAAGGGTTCTAGTCGTAAGCCTCCCTGTGAGAGAATCTAAATTCCACAGGTATTTCGTTCGACCTTGGCTTGAGCACCTTATGGGGACCTCGTAAATGTATCCTAGAGAGAAAGAGAAAAGGTTTGAAATGCTAATCCCTAAATCATTGCTTAATATGCTGAAATTAAGCCTCCTCCCCTCCTTCAGTATGATAATGTGAACAGACTTACGTGCTCCATCCTCTTATCATAAGGAAGGTGTGAAATACCACTAACTAGCTTAGTTCTCATCCTCTCTACTGTTTCCAGGATACGTGCCTCCTTTTTGAAACATGGACTCACCGTTTGTATATAGTATTCTGGATGAGATCTGATATATGTTGTGTAGAGTACCTGGAGCATACTCTCGTCTAACCGTATGAAAGCCCTTCAGAGTGCCCATAGCACTCGAAAAGACTTAGCTGCGGCACGGTTAGAATTTGCCGTTGTTTTTAGGCTATGGCTTACAATAATTCCTCGGTCCTTTTGCCCCCTAGCACCTGGCAGTTCTGTGTCCCCCGGGGAGTACGACGTGTAAAACCTCTGACCTAGGTGCATTACCACGCTTTTCTCGGAATTAACTTCCAGATTCCAGAGGTCAGTTGATTCAGTTAGTTTATCCAGATCTTTTTGTGGCACAAATCTATCATCGTTACTATTTACAGTTTTCCATATCTAAATATCGTCCGCAAATAGTAAGGAAGGTGAGGTAAGAATTTCCGGCACTTCATTTACGTATAGTAGGAAAAGCAGGAGGCCAAGTAGAGTTCTCTGAGGTACTCCAATTAGTACTGCTTTCCACCCTGACAGTACACCATTAACCCTTGCCTTCTGCCTTCTATCCATCAGATAGTCTCTGGACCACTCACATAGGCGTTGGTCTAATCCAAAACGTTTGAGTTCACTAAGAAGACCTAAATGGGATATCTTATTGAATGCTTCACTAAGATGGATATATACAACGCCCAACAAATAGTTCTTATTTCTGGCTCCTACACAGCCTTCCCTAGCCAACAGTAAGTCTATCAGGCAGTATTGTCCTGGTGTGGTGAGGTCAGGCTGCTAGCCGATTGGTAGACATTTATCTACGTCAATGTCTAGGTCACTAATATTGGCCGTGAGAAAGTATGAACAAGGCTGATTCAACAACCAATCACAGCAAACTTAACGTGGGCAAGTATGATTCGCAGATAGCTGGGAATACTTTTCGATGGTTACCCGAAACAACCAATCAGAAGCCTGCGTTTGTTTGCTTAACTTCTGAGAAACAACCAATCAGAAGAATGCGTTTGTCTACTTGACTAAGCTATAATAATGTATGTGAAATGTATATAAATACGTGTTGACTTCCGTAATAAAACGGTCTGTTGCCTGGTCCTTGTCTTCCGTTGTTACACTGGTAGGAATCCATGTTGTTCCACTGCCAGTAAGCCATGTTTCTCCATATGAGCCAAGAGCTGATCGCTTATGGGTGCTTCCAATACCTTCACTATAATGCAGGACAGACTTACAGACCGGTGGCTAGATGCTAACCGCCTGTTCCCCTCCTTGAAGATGGAGCCAGTAAAAGTATCTTTCCAGTCCCTGGATGGCCCAGCCTGGATCAGAGAAATTTGAAAAATCTCAGTAAGTGGAGTTTATATTATATCCGCCGAGACTAGTGGTCTAGGATGAAGTCCGTCAGGTTCATGTTTACCCGGCTTCAACTAAGACAGTTGTTTAAGAGCCACTGCATTCTCTACAACAATTGTGGGTACTTAAGGGTAAAGAGGAAAGGTTGGGCATGAGGCTTGCAACCCCATCTTGTGAAATAAACAATGCTACAGAAACTTCAAGCCACTTGCTTGAAGCCCTATGTTCCACTGGGGGACGTGAAGGTAACAAGGGGCTACAGTAGGGACCTCGCTACACCATTGAATTCTATGACTAGGCGAGAAAATATCACAAAAGCATTTTGAGAGCTTGTCAGCTTTAGTTTCATCGGATTCGGTTGCCTCTTCAGTATTGTTAATGTGGGACGGTATACCACCGCTAGTTTAAGTCTTGCGTTTGATATACGAGTAGTCTTTTAGGATAATGCACAAAATCCTGTGCTAACTGCCTCTTACTTTACATGACTTTTGTCAGCCATATGTTCACAAAGGTTTCGAATTTTGCAGTATTCCGTCCGAAACTCATCCCTCCCGGTCACAGCAAACTGGTCCCATAAGTTCTTTCGTTTTCTTATTACTAATCCAAGGTGGTTTATGAGATAGTTTTCAAGGTGTAGACCAAGGCACAAAGGGTGCAGTGACTCAATCTAGTGTATTCCTGAATCCCATCCAAGCCTCCTCAACAGTCTGGTGTGTATCAACAGACTAGTCAGTTAGGGTTACTGCATTTTGGATTGCAGGTGTATTCACTCTCCGAATGTTTGAACGAGCAGCTGTTAACCCATGTACGACAGCGTATGAACCTTAAACCTAAAAGTGATAACTATACGGCCACTACTGCCTAGCGTCTCCAGGCACCTAATATCGCCGACATCCTCCTTCTGGTGTGTTAGTTTGATTCCACTCTGTATTTTTGGTACAAGTATGGAATTTTCAGCATGTGATATCGGTAGCCCAAATTTCGCAGGCCGACCATAGATATCAGGTGTGGGTCGACAGGCGATCGAAACTCGGACCATGTGCATCGTCGGCGACGGTCCTAACCACTGTGCCACCGACGGGTTACTTCACAAAGTAAAAGAGTCATTCTCCTTTTCAAAGCACTCTGTAGCTACAACTGCTGACAAGACGTCCTGGAGACGGTAAGCATGAAAAGAAGCGGCCTGGAATGAAATCAGAGTGCCATCATGTTTCGCCGATCACCCAAAGGGAATATTTGATGACCTGATGACAAGATGCTGCTCTGATAATTGTCAATCGTTTAAACTGGACTCTGATCCTCTTCATTTAGGCACCAGGTTTTCCCGACCTCTCGGTAGTGCTGTTTGTTCCGGGAGCATTCATACTCCCTATTTCACCTCTTCAAAGAACCTGGCAGGTCTCTTTTTGAATGATTAAACGACTATACCAAAATGAAAATGCTCGCAGACATTCGGCAACCTTGCTCGACTTCAGTTAACTGCTTTGCTGTGCGTGCGTAACAGCATATGTCCTGGCTACTTACCCTTCCTCATGCCACTGTGAGCTGTATCTAATAACGTCAATGTTTCCTATAGTTTTTTAGGTTTAATCTATCAGCGTTTCTACGTGGACGACTTCGATAACCATTATTCGGCAAGAGACGTTGAATAAATTTTTATTTATTTTTTTATTTTTGGTTACAGCTTGATTCCACACCGTATTTTTGGTACGACTATGGAATTTTCAGCATGGATATCGGTAGCCCAAAGTTTGTAGGCCGACCATAGACATCAGGTGTGCGTCGGCAAGAGATCGAACCTCGGACCATGTGAATGGTCTACGAGAGTCCTTACCACTGTGCCACCGACGCACAAAGTTAGCCAAACCTGGCCACTTTTTGGGTGAACTTCAGCAGCGTAGATATTTTAAGAGCATGTATCACCCACTGTATTTGGTCATTAATTAATTCACTTTATTTAAAGTGTGCGATAGGTTTCCATTTAACGCCTGAATATAATTCGTGTACTGGGGCAATTCACTTGAATTTTTCCTCTGATTTTGAGCAATTTATATACTGTGGCAACATGAGGTGACAATTCCTGCTTCGAAAATCCGTTCAGTAGGTCGAATCACCCGAGAATTTCACCTGACTGGTCGGATATGTTATGCTCTCGAAGTTCGTATATGCTCCAGAATATTATGTTCAGAGTTTCGTTCTGCTCACTGTAATCATGTACCTTGTGGAGAGGACAGTGTTGAAGACTAATCAAGCTACCGTTAGTTGGAGTGCGTATCACGCAATACAAGGAATAAAAGTACTTGTCACCAGTAGGGGATATACAATAGATTAAGAAACATCTTTCAGTCTGGATGATGATGCAATTGGAATACCTTTGACACCTTTTATAGGAAGACAACGAACACCAGCGTAAAAATTTAGAAAGTATGGGCCAGATTTTAATCGAGCAATTATACGCTGTAGATTATATTGAGTTGTGCCAAAAGTATGTAGCCGGAATCGTGAACTGAGTCATTTGAAGGTTCCTTAACGTCCATGAATTCTGGTGTTCGCTGCTACAGCCTGATTGAACTAAAATATCCCACGAGAAATCTATATATTGTGTTGCCAGTTATTTAAATACCTCAATCAATTATTATATTACTCCTTACCATTTCCTCCGTAGCATTATTATCTACACGTTTTCCCACTACTTCATACATATTATTATTATAGCCTATCCAGGGTACTCCAGAACAAAGGTCCTTAGCTTCACTACAACCACTGGAGGAGAAATATTTGTTCACGGTTGATGAAGAATGTATTAAGGTAAAGAACTGCTGACAGTTTGAAAGAGTTTTTCAACTCACAGCAACGCAGTCATAACAGACTGGTCTCTACGATCATATGTTGTCCAGGATTTGACTTCTTCAGTTTCACACTGTAGGACTTAACAATCTGGTTGCTGTAGATCAAATATAAATCTCATCTGGATTTACGATTTTCTTTGATTCCCCACACTTAAACAGAATCCTTAGTGGGACACATATAGCTTCAACAAACAATTCGTCAAATAGCAGTCTGATGATCTTTCTTCCTGAGAATTTGTATGGACAGAAAGATATACTCAGCGTTATTTGGAGAATAGTAGTCTTCACTGTTCTAGGCCGGACTGTGAGTTACACTGTCGACTTCGTTGCTCATCTGTCTTTCAAACGTATTGCTCAATGCTTTAGCCAAATTCACCACTTCTGATGACACTCCCCGAATAGCGGTTTTCTTCCCAGTCATGACTTGGCACGTAATCCTGAGATTGCTTTGGAATTTTCTGGACCGCTTTACTTTGAGCATCCTTTCGGACGCTTGTATCACAATAATTAATGAGGTCTTAGCATTCAATGCCTGCTTCTTATAGGCATTTTATTTGCATCAAGAACGTTTTTCGTTCTGTACGACACAACCCGTGCCTCTTTTCATTCAGTGAGGTCATATTTTGCCGTTATCATTATCATAAGGACAGAATCGTCGACTGATTGCTTGATAGTATCCTTCAGGACGCGCACTACTCACCTACTTATAGTGAGTGTTAATCACAAAGCTAAAATGCTAATGATATTGTTTCTACAATCTATGTAAAGTTGGTCTTGTCGTAGAAACGTCGAACATGGAGACTTCTTCCGCTTAATTATTCCTTAATAACTGAGTTAAGCAGAACAGCTCACCATGAGCAAATGGTTCCTCGTGAGAAGTTAGTCCAACTCAAACGGTTTGCCATCGAACCCGCTTTTTTCATTCCTAATAGTTTTGAGAAGATCAGTAATCTTCTTGGAGTTCTGAGTTTCCCCATTAAAATCTTCTCCATACTTTGTTCTTTCCTCAATCTCAACAAAGACATATTGGATAGCCCCTTGGTATTGAGTCTTATTTGGAGCGATTCGCATGACATGTTTGGCTTCCAAACACCTATTTTGTACTTTTCTTATATCCTCCTACTTTTTGCAACTACCTGTTACAATAATTCCGGATGTACATTATGAAATTATGAGATTCAGCTACTAATGGACTACCAGTGGAAATAGATTTGTATCGACCTAGTACAACTTAGCTAAGTGTATGGTGCTTATTCTCAAGCTTATTATTGCTGGTTATGAAAGTCAATTGAATTATCACAAAGTATAAATGTAAGAATCATTCGAATAACAACAAAATTTAATTATGACCAGACAGCTGTCACTCAGACGAATCTCTGTAAGCTTCTGAACACTAATACTCACGTAGACAGCAGACGCAAAACAACCACCAATTCAGCGTTTGCCGACCCTGTGAAGATGCCCAACTGTACCGAGATGCTAAATAGAACGTAAAGGCAAGATAATAAGTCTCCATTGGATATTAGCTAGTTGGAGGCAATCGGCCACAGGAAGCCTTTGACTTTGACCTAGGTTTAATGCTACCTGACACTCACAACTCACAATAAGGTGATCTGCAACACTGAGGAAACTCACGTCAATTTTGAGTTTCGAACCTGAGTCACCCACTTCTGCAATCACAGACACGTTAACACTGAGCTATTGGGATTAAAGAACTAGACACATTACACTAGTCACTAACTAGTGTCAAAATAAAGTCCCTCCCCATTGGAATTCTGAAAATAAACTAAAGATAGAATTATCGAATCCTGTAGTCTGTTTCGTTGAGAATTAAGAAGAAAGTTTATTATTTAAGGATACGTTTTTATTAATATGGCAAATATAATAAATACACACAATTATTGGCGAATGGAGGGGAAAAAAACATGAAAAGCAAAGGTCAGTAATTAATGCAGTCTAAAGAGTGTTTACATCAGCAGATGTCGGTGAAAGGAAGCAGTAACTGTGAGAGACATATATATATATATTAGGTGCTAGAAAGCAGGCGCGGATAAACTGATTTTAGAATATCAATATGTTAATGAATGACAATGAGTAAGTACGAAATAAAGGTTCGCGTATTACAGGTGACACAGCTGGTGACTTGTTTATTAGCGGAAGGTAGGTGAGGCTAGATCGTACCTTGGAAAAGGAAAAAGAAAGGCGAATTACACAAAATATCTTCAGGAATTTACATATATATATACGGGTGGAGAAGTCAGTAGTCATCATCAGATAACAAACTCTAGTATTTTGTGTAAATAGGAACTCAATGTACGTTTCCATTGAAGCATGAAGCTGTGTTAAGCTACTTTCTACTACAGTAAATACAAAATTTGAATGTGTGAGAATATTTAGACAAAACACTGAAAAGGCAACTAGGTTAAAGAATAGCGACCTTGAGGCGACTTATCAGAATAACCAAGTGGTATTAAGTAAAAATACAGTCTATTTACTGGCAAAAATACAGATAATAAAAAGACAACACCCTAACCCTAGTCTCGACACCAATCCTAACTGTACACAAGCTATCAAACCAGTATCCAAACAAGTCTAAAAATCAAATCGGGTTGAGATTTCCACCTCATTTCGTGCAAATTGTTACTCGTGACGTTATATCATACTGGTAAGTGACGTTATCCCACGAGCTGTATGCGTTGAAGGTCATTAATGCATTCGAACTCCTGGTGTAGTTGGAAACGACAAAAGACTTGGTAACACTAGATGTGATATTCTGCAAATATCCACTGCCTCTAAGCAATGTGAAGCACAAACTGCCACATATGACCACTTCAATGTGCATATATCAGTTCACCTGGCAGAGCGTTAGCTAGGTACATAGGTCGTCCTATGCACATCCTTTCAAAAATGTTAGAAAACACTATATCCAGCTTGGCTACAAAGAGGAGATACTCGTTCAATCATAAGCGCCATAATTTGACACCTTGTCAACACCAGTCATAGCATCTCAACTGATTCATCATTCAGAGTCCTTTACAAAGTAACAAAAATCTACAAAAGACAGTACGTTCCAACTCTTTTGTACTGCAGAAGCTCTTGTCATTTGCAAAGGAAAGCCAGAACTAAGTGTTCAAAAGAAACTAGTCTAACTTCTACACTTACCATGGATCTAGTTCTGTTTAGCTATTTAGTTTTCGTGTTTTTTTCGTCCCCCTCATTTCCTGTTCACATCTGTCTTCGTTAGAAAACTATTTTCTAATCCTGTGTAATTTCGTTCCCAAGATCCTTATAATTTATACTCACACCTTCGAATTTTCACATCAAGTTGAAAATGATTATCATCCTTAATCTTCTTCGTTATTATGCGGAATCAAATTATGATAATTGCGTGGTGAGAGAGCTGTCTGCAAGCCAAAATTGTAAACAACAATTTACGTCAATGTTTACGTCCCGAATCGGGATCATGAGAACAAACAAGAACAAAGCCTACCCTTGAGGAACCCAGGACCTTCCGGTCACTAGGCAAACTCGTATACCATTCAGCCACCGGGACCCGATTAAATGGCTCGTGAATTCTAACTTCTACAAATTCGTGATTTAGCGCGATCCCAACCAAATATTGTCGATGGATATCCTGGGAACCCTGGTGGTGGGTGCATACTGCAAACGAATCCCAAACTAAGCGAATGAAACAGCTGTCCAGTACTCCGGAGCTGGTTTTCAATGATTCTCTAAGTATTATGAATCCGTGGACAAACTCGTAAAAACAAATCTAATCTTTACAAACCACCTATAGAAAATAATTATACAGGTGAAAAATATAAGGACTTCTTTAACTTACCATTTCGTCTCAGCATTTCCGTCTACTGAATCAATAAGATTTATACACACAGTTCCCATAAAATGTGTTTTCCCACTACGTGTAAATCGACCCACATGATTTTTTACATCTAGTCTTAGAATAGTCAAAGGAAGGTGTTCAGCGTCAACTGGAAATTGGAAACTGTATAATACAAAAAACAAAAAAGGTTCCACTTTTTTACAGACAAGTTAGAATAGTACACATTATAAATAAACGTCAGCAAAAAACCAAACAAACAAACAACGGCATCTAAGACATATCAACACTATAATATTTTCGAGATATTAACTGACAAAATAAACTTTAGTTATCTATTTGATGAATAAGGGCAATAAATATATTATTACTGATCGATAATCTTAAATTGTGTGTGGGCTAATTAATTACAGTCTTTAACTTCAGTGAGAAATTCTAGAATAAATACCAACCAATGAATGAGTAATTGTAATCTCACAATCGATGTATACTTTGTCCTACAATATTTTGAATCCTAGATAGAGAATAATAGGCAGAACTCTCGCATTCTACCTATTATTCTCTATTGTTCCCCCTTAGTTTTTCCTGGGCTACTCAAGAAAGACTATACCTTATTACGCAGGATGTTAAAGGTTGTCAGCAGGGTAAGCAATATACCACTTAACCAGCTTGTTAATATTCTGGTTGACAGGCACATGGACTCATGTGAAGAATGGGCAAAATCCATTTTATCTAACTCACAACACTCTCTTCATTCACAACTCTCCCCTTATATCTCATCAAGCAGAACCAAAAACCTCTTTAGAAGACTATATGCTCGCACTAGTAAGTACAAAACCTCAACCATACCCTATTAAGCTCGTGTTCTGTGCGATAAAGAAAGCATTAGGCGTGATACCTATAACTTATTAAATAGTCAGTAGAACAACTGGATCTCGACTTTCCAATTCATATCATTTATAGGTACAACGTTTTTTTTCTTTCTTTTCCTTTTCTCTCTCGCTCTTTTTCTTTTCTCTGTTATGTGCTCCTTTGTTTCTTTCTTCTGCTTACACCAGTAAATATGCTAGCACCTACTTTTCTAACACCTTCAATCACTATGTTCAATATTTTGGCTTTGCTACCGACATGCCAATATGTTGTTGTCATAATGAACTGATATTTCCTTAATCTTTATAGAATTTTTTTATTGATAATGTACTAAGTTGATGCAATACTGTAGTAAAATGCTGAGAATTCCATTCTGTATCACAAGTACCGTTTTGGAATAAAGAAAATTATTATAATTATGCTTGTAAGTAACGGGAACAAATAATTATAGAGAAACTTGAAGTAATTTAGTGGTTGGTGATTAGCAGTGGAATCCACCAGGATGCACATTTCGCCCTACTTGGGACTCCTCAGCTGATTATATACCTGCACTCTCCCCCCATTGAGACAGTAACCCAGTACCCAACGTTTCAAACGCCAAGGCGTTATCCACTAAACCACTTGTATCACGAAGACTATCTCTTCTGCAACTGCTGTCAATTATGATTTAATTTGAATTCAATTTTGATTTCCTCATTGACTGATTGAACTGAAATGTCCGGCTTCTGTTGAAATGTCGGTAACTTCTACGGATAAAATACAGATCCCGCGGGATTCCACTGCTAGTCACCATCTACCAAAATATTAGCATATACTGTTATTTCCTTTGGTCCTGAGCGGAACACATCTCCACATTGTTCTGTTTTCTACCATCCTCTTCAACTGGGTCCACGATTCCCCATGATCTCTCATATCCTCTTCCTTCTCACCACACGATCTCCACCATGTCACCTTCACACTGACGACCCACTCGTCGTCACTTCCCATTGGGATTCCCCTAGAGCTATGGCATGCGATGGCATTCGACGGCCTCTTCAATGTATGCCCGATCCATCTCCAATTCCTCCTACATATTTACTGAGCAATCGGCTCTTGGTGGATTCGTCACCAGCCAGTTTCTTGTCACTAATTCTTTCTAGCCGGCCAGCTGGTCATTTAATCTTCAGTATGGAGATAGTGAATGCAGCTGTTGATGAAAGTCTGCAACTGGCTGTTGAAAATCCTTTTCGTGACACGCAGTGCAAGTTTCTGACCCTCGTATAGAAGAACTGACTTCAAATTTGTGTTGAAAATCTGAGTCTTGTTCTTTATGCTGACCAAGTGAAGAAGATTTCCAAATTGGTTTCAGGTTTGGTTAAGGCATATCTTGCATTTCCGATTTCGATTAGCTTTCATATCTTCATCCGTGCTATCCGACTGCCTGTGTTTGAAACCGTTCTTCCTAGCCAGATAAGTGAAGGAAGTAATCTCGTTTAAATCTCTCCAGTTGATGGTGATTGATGCTGGTTGTTGTTGTTGCTGTTGGTTAGTTATCTTCATCCCCTCTGTCTTCTGCATGTTCACTTGGAGTCCTTGGATCTTTGCTGCCAGCGTCTTCTGCCAGTCTGTTGGTTTTTGCCTGACTGCAAGTCTTCGAGTTTGTGTGACATAAAAAATAAATCAAGTAAATCCTCAGGCATTATTAAAGCGTCCGCATTAGGAGCCAACATATCAACAAAGGTCAAACAATTTCAGTTCAATAAACCAACGGGAAAATCAAATTGAATTAAAATTATATAATAAAAAGCTTATTTAACAAAGAACAATGTGAGTTCAATTATCAGATACATTGCCTGATTGAGTTCCAACATGGTACTTTTCACAGAAGGGCATCAGTTCAAGTTACCATATTTCACGTAGCACACAAAAGAAGATGGAAGAGAGATTTAAAAAAAAAACTATGACCAGCAGAAGTATGCTGGAGAAAGAAAGAATAACAATATGGAAAAACATGATGGTTTAATGGTTATGTCAGAGTACAAAGAGCGAATGCATCTGCAGTATAGAGGACGGTTTTGAGTTATATTACCATCAGTTTGCAGGCTTTGGTTCATGGCATCCCAAAGACCTGAACCAAGTAGTTAATACATCCGTATGCAGCTCATACTAACTGCCAAAGACTTCATGTATTGATACCAGGTTTGGGTTAGACTACCACCGACTCTTTTCCAACCTGATCTAGTGTCAGCTAACATTGCTCATCAAGGAAAGCCATGCCTCGGGATGCGCAACACATATCCTAGCCATCACAATCTATGCGGCTGCATAACCTTATGGACTAAATTAATCGACATACCTTACACTCTTCGCATAACTTCAATATTAATCACCCTATTATGCCACCTAACACGGGAGACAGGACGCAGACTTTTGTGGTCGAAAACAGCTAATCCTTTCATGTCTTCCACTTCCAGCGGCCGTATCGCGCAGCCATAAACGAGGACGGAGTCAGCTACTTACCAGTACATACGTTTTTTGATTGACAGCCGGGAATAACGTCTCTTCCAGAGACTGCATGGAGAATTTCATCATGAGCTGACATCATTTAGAGAACCACTGGAAAACCTGGGAGTACTGCTGTTTCGTCCTATTTTGGAACTCTTCAGAAGTACTCACCCACCGGGGTTCGAACCCAGGACCTTCTGGTTACAAGGTGACCTCGTATACTATTAAGCCACTAGGACCCGATCCAATGGCCTTTGAATTCTAACTTCTGCCAATTCACGATATGGAACGACCATTTCGTAATGTCTTCTTCGATGAGTTACTGCTTCATCTTCAACCTGCTGTACCCTACTGGTCACGGCTTCCCACTAGAGACCACGTAATTTGGCGAATACCACATGAGTATTTTTATCCGTGCTAAGATTTCGTCAGCAATCAACGCATACATAACGGATGATGAGACTTCCTAAATACGTGAAATAGTCAACACACTCTACTATCGATTCACTCCCTATCTATGTTTAAGCTAGGAGACTTGGTGTAGTCAGCAGCATTTTACATTTTTCATACACTATTATTACTATTACTATCAAACTTACTTCTCTTCATATGTTGGATTTAAATTATCTTTCAGTGTTTTTGTCTTCTTTGAATCACTGACGACATTTCCATGCAAATCTAATAGATAAAGTTTTACATACGGATCAGACAATCCATCTTTATCAACACCAGTTAAATGCCTATAGAGATAAGATAAGAAAGAAAAGAAGTAGTCATCAATGGCGTTAAAGTGAAACATGATGAGTACATACACACTGGAATTCTTTCATGTATAAACAGGTTTAAAAGTATCAAACACATTTACAGATAATAAATAATATGAAAAATGAAATAACAAAGATTTCAGTGAACAAGAATTCACTTTTCGACAATTTTATTTTCAGTGGAACATGTTTAGTAGAGGTAATGACCATACAGCAGCAAGCAGCAACTTCTGATGCACCATCCTTTACCATCATCTACAAGGTCCGATAAAGTTTACCGAGTTTATAAACCAGGTTTCTGTGTACAAAAGGAGATGGTCGTGACTCTGAATCTACGTTTTACTTATTATTCTACCTCTTATTATTATTGTTATTATTATTATTATTGACTGATTTAAATCTATCCTTTATCATTATAAATTATTTAAATTAATCCCAGCGTGTTAAGAAAATCAAAACAAGATTTTTCTGAACGTTTCTCCGTGTAAGCCACAGCTTCTTCAGCAGATTTATTCGAATTATAATTAATCATCAAAATATATAGTCAAAAATTTTTACATAAAATGAAATCACGGAAAATACCCATTGAGTCATGAAGGAGATAAAAGACGGATTCAGCGAAGAAAATTTTCTTTATCGACGAAATCATCTTCAGAGGCTGTACAGTCGTATTTATACTTAGAAGAATGTATAGTGGTCTATTATTGAGTAATAGGGGGTGACATAATTGCTGTAATTAATCATAAGTGGCTTTAGAGGTGAAAATTAAAAGTTGTAAATTACATGGTACTTGACGGAACAAAGATAGAAGTTGGATGATCTTAACCCGCTTCAACACCATTATTATTATTATTATTATTATTATTATTATTATTAGTATAACTATTACTATTGTTATTACTCTGTTTGGAATTCTTGATATATTCTCGAATGATTAATTATTTATCTAAGTGATGTAATTGAAGCGTAATGCAATTTATCTTAATTTTGATCTCTCATACTCTCTCTCCCCTTATCTATTTGAACATGACCTGGAAAACATTCAAACCTGTCTTTCTGCATGACTAATTCGATGTAGTTTGTTTACTTATCAGTATTATATCTCCCAATGTAATTTCAAAAGTATATATATATATATATATATATATATATATATATATATATCGGTGTATGCAGAGTATTCAGCTGACAAGTTCTACTGAAACTTGATGAATTCATTAAATTCTGCTTTACTAATCTTTATTGCTTGTTTTAAATTCGTATCGGGAAATAAATGTTTTCAAAAGTTTACTGAAATGGGGAAGGAATGCATAAGCTTTGCATAGCGCAAACCTTGTCAGTACATAATACAAAAGTAGAATAGCCAACCTAAAGAATAATGACCATGGAGTGACCTTGAACGCTCAACGTTCGTTGGATTACAGGACTCAGTCCTATTACACAACCAGTATGAACACTGTGCGCCATTTAAAGTGTAAATTTCATTCACATCTTGTTTTGGCCAAGTTAAACATTAAGTACCGGTAATTACCAGTGGAGTGGGACCACACCGATGACCTTGAAACACTCAGTGAGCAAGTTCGTGAACTCTGGTAAATAATATTGTAACCACGAATGAAATATGCTTAATGAAATGTTACTATGTTAATAATTGGGATATATGGTAAGTTTCAGATTAGATTTGAGTAGAGACTAAGTTAAGGTTTAGGCTTTGGAACCAGTTAGGATTAGGTTAATCAAATAAGGGCAACATTAAATTTGGTTCTAGTTAAAGTAGAGTTAGTTTAGGTATATTTCCACTTTGGTGTTAATTTAGGAAAGGTTACGTTAAGGTAAGAAGACCCAGATAATTACATGCACAAAATGTGGTTAATTTACTCTGTTGATACTCCAATCCAAAAGTGAGAGGTATTTCTTTCACATGTCAGAGAAGGGGATCCCATGTAACAGTTTCATGCCTTTCAATCTATTATTTGCATGAATATATGTACTTTATAAGTAAATGTCGCCTTTATCATATGGTTGGTACTTTCAAGGTCATTTTGTCCGTTGGTACTCTCACTGGTGCTTGAAATTTAACTTTGCCCTTATTTTTAAGTACTGTTTAGATAATGGATTGATAGTACATAGCTGCAAATGCTCTTCTGGAGGTTGTATGCATATCTATCGTTTTTCAGATGAAATTGATGGATATGTATTCAAATGTACTGGCTTTGAAAAAAAAGAATTAGTAAAGGTTTTTTGTATTTCCCAATGAATGAAAAACAATATCGTTTTGTTTTTCATTCATTGGGAAATACAAGAAAACCTTTATTATAATGAATATCATATACCCAATCCCTAAATTTTGTCAAACCATTAAAGGTGAACTTGGTTTGGATATATATAAAAAGAATTAGTGTTCAAAATGGTAAGTCTTGTGCTTTTTTGATTTTCTTTCCTTCACGTTCCCCAGTGGAACATAGGGCTTCAAGCTAGTGGCCTGAAGTTTCTGTAGCAGTGTTTTATTTATTTTACAGGATGGGGTTGCTAGCCTCATGCCCAACCTTTCCTCTTTACCAGCGTTATTTCTGGTTTAGCGAGGCAAAGGAGTGCGTCGGCCGGGGATCGAACCTCGGACTACGTGCATGGTCGGAGCGTCCTAACCGTTGCGCCACCGACGCAAGTCTTGCACGTTATTCAGTTTAATTTCTAGGATTTTTCCTACCAAAATCAAAGTTGTCACTGACTAATGTACTTTTTATTTGCTATTATTGGGTTATGAAGATTGAGTTGAGATCCACAGTCAGCAATCTGTTGGTTTCTACTATCCAGTAGTACCAGCACTCTAAGAATATAGCGTTGGGGAAGATCAATACCGACATGCAGCTGCTTTTGGAAGGAGAGGTGATTTTTGTTCATATAGACATTGTCTTGATAAAGAAGAAGAAGTACAACCATGATCGCCCTAGGTTTAATAATGTGTAGGCATCAGGACTTTATGACACTAACATTATGGAGAAAATTCCAAATCATAGTGCAAAGACTCTCCTACCTGTTATACAACAGTTAGTATAATTCATGCAGAAGAATGGGCAGGATACAATCGGTTATCAGAGTTAAGTTTCATGCATCATCGTATCAATCATTCAGATGACTTTGTCAACCCCAGCACTATCATGCATACTAATTCCACCGAATGCCCTTCGAGGAGGCTGAAGAAAAGGATTCCAGCGATAACTGCCTAACAAAAAACTGTCATTTTCAGTCATCTCGATGACCATATGTATAAAGGAACTGGTTTAAATTTAGATGTGATACTCCTTATCGTAACTGGGAAATATTTTTGATTCATATCAGGAGAAATGGCCTCTTTAATCTACTTCATTAGTATTACGAGTATTTTTACTCTAAATAAACGTCTTTTCCTCAATGGTGCATTTCAAGATCGCGTGTGAATTCGCACTACGTGGTCGCTATTCTTTATGTTTCCGATCAGAACTTCATGTATAAAAACAACTTAGACAATTTCTTTCGTTACCATGGTTTTAATTTCGTCATGTGATATGTTTTTATTTTACTTTACGTTATCACATTCTAACATTTTATTCCTATTATTTTATTGAAGATATTTCCTTCACTCATCTTAGTGCATTTGGAATTACATATTTACATTTCCGATTGTACTTAAATTTCCCAGCATCTTTTTTTACGCATATCTATAGAACTTGGTGTTGACCTTTCTTTTATTTATTCATATTATAAGGATTTGTGGGGATTTTTTGTTAATTTCAATCGTTAGATCTCCATCACGAACCAGCACATCAGATAAAGAGATTATTGAAAACCAGCAAAGAGTTACTGGACAGTTGTTTCGCACTAGTTTGTAACTCTTGATCAGTTCACATCCATGACCCCGTCATCAAGATTTGAACCCAGGACCTTTAGGTTGCTAGACTAAGCTAGCTGACTATTCAGGCATTTAGGCTGGAATCCAATGTCCCCTGAATTATGACTTTGTCAACTCGTGATATTGCCTAACTCTCATCAATGCCTTCGATAAGCACTCACTTCATGTTGACACGGTGGAGGACATCACTGGTTGCAATTTCCAACTGTAGCAGCTTCAGAGAATCCAGTCAGTAGACATAAATGTACTGGGGATATTTCTAATCAATCTGTAATTCATAATCACTTACACTAATATCAGCGCATTTTAATACTTCCATGCACTGTAATATTTTAACAGACACACACACACACACACACAACAAAACTACTTGTTATTCAGTGAGGGCCAGGTTAAACTTTCAGCACCAATAACAACCAATGGAGTGCGACCTCACCAATGACCTTGAGACGCTCAATGAGTGAGTCAGCGAAACCTGGCAAATAATGTTGTCATCAGGAATAAAATATGCTCATCGAAGTGTTAGGCTATCATTAAATAGGATTTCTGTCAAGTTTTAGCTTAGGTTCGGGAAAGATTAGTTACTCTTTAAGCCGAGGACAAGTTAGGATTAGGTTAGCCTAATTAAGGCGACATTAGGGTTGGTTTGAGTTAGATTACAGTTAGATAATTTCACGTTAGCGTTAGGCTCAGGAAAGATTGGGGTTATTGTTAGGGTTAGAAGACTTAAATAATAACATGCATAGAATGTGGTTAAGTTACTCTGTTGACATAAGAACAGAACTTATGCACTTTGGTAGAGTATAATACCATAGTGAGTAAAATTTAGTTTCATAAAGTCTCACAGTGTTATACAGTAGTAATATTTTCTGATGACGTTTCCAGCACAATTTATTGCTCAGGAAATTTGACTGTATGACACTGTGAGACTTTATCAAAATAAATTTTACCCACAATGGAATCATACTCTGTTGATACTCCAACCTATAAATGTGAGCCAACGACTAGCATGCGTTCAAGGTCATTGGAGCGTTCGCACTCCTGGGACGCTGTTGTTCAACTTTGCCATATATATTCCATACACAAAAATGGCTCCTTCACTTGAATGGTGCGTTTGAGGTCATTTGATGATTGGTAGTTAGTGGTGCTTAAAGTTTAACTTTTCCCAGTGAGTATATAAGCTGTAACAAAACAAACCTGCTACGCTTGTATTATACGCCTAGATGAATATTATAACCATATCAGTTGTTATTTTTGACTGTTTTAAAGGTATTTTATTAACATTTTTGCACAGCTGGAAAATATTTGTTGAGGCATTTGCTATACTATGTCACGAAGATACCTCACGATAGGTTTTACGTTCCCATCCTACTGTTATTGTCCATCATAATTTAATTTCAAATGTTAGATTTCGTCGGAAGGTAACATCGGATCCTGAGATCACTGAAAAACCAGGAGGAAGCATAAGAAAACTATCTCGTCTTATTTTGGAACTCTTCACCTGTCAGCGGCCTCGTTTTATTGGTTTCCCTAAATGACATTGGCTCGTGAAGCAATCTAACAAGTGAAATTAAATTAATCTATTGTATTATTATTATTTCCTTGGGTTCCCAGTAGAACATAGGGCTTCAGCAATACATTTCCACTTTCTTCTATTCTCTGTCATCCTCTTCAGCTACTCCTTCAACTCACACGACCTCCTCTATGTCACTCTCTCACTGACGACCCATTAGTCGCTTCCCATCGGGATTCCACTAGAGCTATGGCCTGCATTGAAAGCGATGTCACCTGAATGTACGCCCAGTCCGTCTCCATTTTCTCCTGCATATTTTTCGAGCAATCGGATCATGTGCAGTTCGTCGCCAGCCAGTTTTTCTTGTAACCAATCCTTTCTAACTGGCTATTTGAACTTTAGTGTGGGGCCAGCCAGCTAAGATGGCAGCTGCCGATAAAAGTCTGTAAATTTTTGTTGTTTGTTAATCCCCGCAGATCTCAATATCTACTTTAATTCACATTATAAATACCATTGTACAGAATTATGAAAATGAAACTACAGTTTTATCTCAAAATAGGAGATACTAATTTAGCTTATAAACACCTGTTTATAATATCCCGGCCGACAACTCCTACCTTGCCGTGGTGGTCGGGCTTGAATACCGCAGTGACCCAACAAGCTAAACTGGCTGGGACTCATGTCCCTGCAGTTCCTACCATGTCAGGAAGGTTGTTTGGATAGTGGTTACATGGGCTCCAGAATCCAATCGGATCAAATGGCGTATGAACCCATATAGGTCACCGGCAATCAAGGGAATGCAGCTACTGACGCTACTCCGCTGCCTTGAGGATTAGACTCCAAGTCAAAGGCTAGGGGGTGGTACCTTAAGAAAACCACCTGCTTCGGTCTGAGCGCCCAGGCAGTATGTCAGACCTCACACAACAAATGAAGTAAAACAACAAACTGCCAGTGAAATTCATCGCGCGCTAGTTTATAATATACGAAGAAATTCAAAACTAATAATTCTTTTGACTTAATCAACTGAAGCTTTTGTTGATGAGCTAATTATCAAGTCATTTCTCATGATTTCATAGATTGTGAAGCATAGTTATCAGTTTACGAATAGATGGATTTATTCAAAACAAATTTTTTTAAAAGCAAATCATTATTCGTCGATATTTGACCATAACAGTCATCATGAAACAGTGACAGACAGGTTTACTTCTTTTCAAGAGTGAGTCTGTAGGGATTTGATTTGTTTCAAGTTTGATCACGGATTCATATTAGTTAGAAAACCATTGAAATGGGCTAGTGCTCGCGCTAATATCGCGAAATGACAGAAGTTGGAATTCATGGAACATTGAATTGTTCCCAGTGCGTCAATGGTAACCGGAAGGGTTCTAACCATGGTGTACACTGCAGATGAATCTCAAGCTAATAGGATGAAACCGCTCTCCTGTATTCTCTGCCGGCTTTCAGTGGTTCTCTAGTTGATATTATTCCGTGATTAAACCCCACAGAATAACTCTTCTTGAAAATTAACCTGATGCTCGCTAGTGACTGGCTATAGGACGGAGTTTTCTGTGGTTCTGGTGAGAACTTATCACCATTGAAGTTCACATTGGTTAAGGAACCATTGGAAAACCTGGAAGCACTGGACAGCTGTTTCGTCCTAGGGTGCAGCAGGTCGGCTGTGAGGACAAATGCTCGCCGAAGACATTGGCTAGTGGTAGCACTGTGTCGTGAATTGGTAGAAGTTAGAATTCATGGGCCATCGGACCGGGTCCCAGTGGCTTAATGGTCTACAAGCTCTCCTTGTAACCAGAACGTCCTGGGTTCGAACCCCGGTAGGTGCGTACTGATGAAGATTCCCGAGCTAGTAGAACGAAATAGCTGTCCAGTACTCCCAGTTGGTTTTCCAATGGTTCTCTAACCGATATCAGCTCATGATGAAATCCTGTAAATTTCAGTTGTTTATAACATGATCACAGTGAATCATTTTGAATTGAGAAATTGTCTTAATTTACACTAGAAAAAAAATAAAACCACAAGGTATAGGTGATTAGATTACTTACTGAGCTTCGTGTACTGTTATTTCTAAAGAATTTGAATTGGTATGATATTGAATAGTTAGGCGTATACGGCCCAAAGATGAATTGCTTATTTGTTGCATACTGCCGCTAAGATGATTCGTCATCTGTTGTTGAGCTGACTGTACACTGAAGTTGGTTGATAGAGATTCTGTTGAAGAAACCATATCCTAAATTTGATGGAAAGATTTTTAAAAAAAATGTAGAAATTATGTGTTGAACAGATATGCAATGATTATATCTTCACCCTTCAACAGGTTCTGGAACATAGGCATACTTACTGGCGACGTCCAACAATCATTACATTTCTTGACCTAAAGGCAGAATTCGATTCTGTCGACCGAGAGGTACTATGGCGATGCTTGGCTGTGAAGGGAATGACGAGAAAATACATTGCACTGATCAAGGCACTCACTCTATTCGAATTCATGCAGCTAGGTGAGAGCTTACGGCGAGTTGAACTGGTGATAACTAGTTGCGCCCGTCAGAGATGCTCATTACCCCCATTTTTATTCAGTTTCACCATAGATGTACTGATGGACTTAACCCTAACTCACTTCAGCGACTCAGGGATTGACTTGTTACCAGGGAATAATCTCGTTGACTTAGAATATGCAGGTAATATAGTCCTTCTAGGTGAAAACGCTGACAAAATGCAGAGTCTTCTGAACACCTCGATTTGCAATCTGAGGATTTTGGCATGCGATTCGCTCCCGCCAAATATATGATGATACTACAGGACTGGACTGGACTACATTGACTCCTGTCTTAAAGATAGGCAGGAGTGAAGTGGCTGCTGGAGCGTGTTGACCACTTCACTTATTAGGGAAGTTGCATTAGCCAGTCCCAACGGGTTGATCGTTGACGAAATTTCTACACGGATACAGAAGGCTCGTTTGGCATACCTCAACTTACGCCATCTTTAGCGTAGACAAGATATCCAGCTGGTCACCGACCAAAAGGCTTGTGTACTGGTCATCAGTCCGCTCCGTCCTCCTTTATGGCTAGCTGTGAGACCTGGCTATTGAGAGTGGAAGACATGAAACGCCTAACTAGCTGTCTTTGATCATTGGTGCCTGCATTCTATCTCCCGTGTGAAGTGGTAGGTGTAATAGGATGAGCAATATTGAGGTTAGGCGTCAAGTACTATGTAAGCAGGGGAAATCAGTAGACAAGGCTGTGAAGCTACATCGACTGAGATGGTTAGGACATGTTTTACGCATGCCTAGCTATCGACCCCTCGATTGACAATGTTAGGTTGGAAAAGAGCCAGTGGTGGTCAAACCAAAACATGGCTTCATTAGTCGATGAAATCCATAAAAGTTAGTTCAAGTCACGTAGGGGGCAAGACACGGAAGCCAAGGTAAAGTTTTCATTATTCAAACCATTGTTTATATATCTACATTTTATATTCGTTAACCAATCACTGAACGTGTGATTTCGATGTAACACCAAACGACATGAAATAGAATTTTCAAATAGATACATCGTATTTTATTGCTGGAGAAGGTGTGGAAAGAGGGCAAAGTACCCGAGGATTGGAAGAACGGATACTTATTCAAACTACCAAAGAAAGGAGACTTAAGTCAATGTAAAAACTGGCGCGGAATTATGCTTCTGTCCATTCCAAGCAAGATACTAAGTCGCATCATCCTGGAGAGAATCAAACAAGCCCTAGATGAAAAACTTCGTCCGGAACAGGCCGGATTCAGGAGAAACAAATCATGTATTGATCAAATCGCCACTCTACGGATCATCATTGAACAAAGCTTGGAATGGCAGTCACCTCTCTATCTCAACTTCATCGACTTTGAAAAGGCCTTCGACAGACAGAGTCGATCGAGAGGTGATTTGGCAACTACTTCGCTACTACTGTGGGGTGCCATCGACAATTATACATCTCATCCAACAGCTATACGACAATGCTGCATGCCAAGTAATCCACAACGGGAAACTTACGGAGGCCTTCGAAGTGAGGACGGGAGGGAGGCAAGCTGGCTGCCTACTACCACCAATGATCTTCCTGATTGCAATTGATTGGATAATGCGACAGACAACGGCAACCAACGAGGGAACAGGCATAAAATGGACTGACACAAAAGACATGGAGGATCTGGATTTCGCCGATGATATATGTCTGATTTCCCATAAACTGGAAGATATGCAAGTGAAAAGTAACAAGTTGGCAGAAGAAACATCCAGAAGATAGGACTTCAGGTGAACATAGAGAAAACAAAGGTGATGAAGATTCCTCGCCAACATCAACAGCAACAACAACAACAACAGACAACAATCAGCATAAGTGGGAAGAACCTGAAAGAAACAACCTCCTTCACCTACCTGGGAAGCATCGTCTCAACTACAGGCGGAACTGACGAGGATATCAAAGCCAGAATCGGAAAAGCAAGACAAGCTTTCATTACTCTCAAATCTGTGTGGAGGCCAACAGCACTCAGCATAGAAAATAACATCCGGATTTTCAACTCCAATGTGAAGTCAGTGCTACTATACGGATCAGAGACTTGGCGAGTCATAAAGAGCATCTCAAACAAACTTCAAACCTTCATTAACAGCTGTCTCCGCTCAATACTCAAGATCAGATGGCCAGAAAAGATCAGCAACAGGGATCTCTGGGAGCGAACCAATCAGGAACCGATTGTGAAACAAATAGGCAGAAAGAAATGGAGATGGATTGGCCATACGCTGAGGAAACCATCAAGTGACATCACTAGACAAGCCCTCGAGTGGAACCCGAAAGGGAGGCGGCCAGTTGGTCGTCCAAGGGTGACTTGGAGGAGGTCATGCGAGGAGGAGATGAAAGCATGTGGGCAGACCTGGAGCAGGGTGAAAAAGTTGTCAGAAAACCGAAGTCAATGGAGGTGCGCAGCTGAAGCCCTATGTTCCTCTAGGAACTAAAGGATACAATAATAATAATTTTATTGCTAATGCCGAACTGAAGAGTAAGAACATGTGAGAACAACATTCCGTTGGAATACGTTGTCTGTATCACACCACCACACCTTAACACTTAAAGAAACATTGATTTTTGTGCCCAACAAAAATTATAACTCTAACTGCAAGACAATACAAAACTCCATTCAACAATTGATATAAGTATAAAACTTGGGCACTGTGGTAGAGTATAATTCCATTATAGATAAGATTTTATTTTGATAAATCGCACAGTGTTTACAGTTATATGAACTGATGACGTTTCGAGCACAAACTATTGCTCATAATCATATCAACAACACTCGTACGATTATTTCTGAATGTACATTATCTCACATTGATTTTTAATCCAATATCTAATCCATTCCACACATGTATATAAATGAGAGATCAAAGTTGTGTGAGTAACTTGATATGATTATGAGCAATAGTTTGTGCTCGAAACGTCATCAGTTCATATAACTGTAAACACTGTGCGATTTATCAAAATAAAATCTTATCTATAATGGAATCCATTCAACAATGTTAATTATTGAAACCATAGTCCACTCACTAGTTGACAAATTCTGCAGGAAAGAAACTGGATGATGTTAGAAAGTCTCAAAGTTTAGTACACACAAAACGATGATATCCAGCGGAAAAAAGTTGGGTAGATTCACCATTCATTCAGAAGGAATGGGAGACATCTTTCTTCATATAAATAGAAAATGTTTCCAATAATATATATAATTTATGTACTTTCCTATAATTAGCATATAACGTACTTACATCATTCTCAGATTTACGCTGTCTAACAGCCATATCTTCATTTTCCACAGATCCTTCATTAGACTTAGTAATTGGTGTAGTAGTAGTAGTAGCATCAGGAGCAATGGGCTTCTGCTGATGTTCTTCAGTAGACTGACCTCGTTTTAAATCTGTATTAATATAACTATTGGCACTTTGTCGTTGTCCAGGAAGTAACACCTGAAAGAACGAAAAAATAATTTAATTAGAGGTAAACATTTATTACACAAGTTAACTATAGCACAAGCATTAGAGTAAGACTAAGAAACACTATCAGTTGACTAATTATGCTTGCTTTCTGTCTCACGTGTCTTAAATGCTACAACATAGTAAGCAATATTGAGGTTAGGCCTAGAGTGTTAAGCGAGAGGGTAGGGAAAATCAATCGATGACATTGTGAAACTATATCGATTGAGATAGCTAGCACCTTTATGTTACACATCAAAAGACATCACCTTCCTCGACGAGTAATGTTAGCTGACATAAGATTGGATTCTAACAGAGTCAGGGTTGACTAAATCAAAAACCTGGAATCCATCTGTGAAGTCCACGACAGTCAGTTTCAACCAGCCACGTAGAAAGGTGTAGACTGACTGCCCGGTCGGATTTTTCAGGGTACTTAGAACTGATGATTGGAGATTACTGATGAAATGGCTTAAAATTGTTGTCAGTGGCACTTTTTGTGATCTTCCGTATCCGTTAAAGCCTACTGTTTTTTCATGTCACGACTCTTCCTTCTTCCCACACATTTCTACGTATCATACTTCTTTTGAATCTCTCTGTTCTATCCTTTGTTTATCTTTGTCGGCTAAATGGAGTATGGTCCCTTGAATGGCTGCACTTCTGTGCAAGATCCAGCGGTAAAACTCGGTCAAATCATCATCATGTCTAACACTAAAATTCAGAACACTGGAAGAGATTTTGTTGCTGTATTCTTGCCACAGTCGGGAAAATGACCTGATTAAAGCACCAGAAAGGTTTTCAAAAAATTTAAAAGCGTGTCTAAATGTGCTAGAAGAGACTAAGCATGCAATAGTGACAACAAATTGAGATATACGAGGAACCAATTAGCACGGGATAGTTATTTCACTTTAGTTTGGTAAATTCATGAGTAGTCTACATTCTATAACAGTTCACAAAAGGAGAAAACCAAACTTGAATATACGGTTACCTCGCTTAGACACTTAGACGAGAAACTAACATATAAACATTACGATTTAAAATCTAAAGTAATATTATTCAGTCGAACTAAGAATCTGTGTATATATGAGCTTAAAACATTAAAAAAAGAAAATTAAACTCTCCAGAATAAAAAACAGACGAAATTACTAGTCATTACATGGTTGTCTTAGTTAATGAAGGCAGCTTCATACACCCACAGGTAAAGAAATTAAAGGTATAGAGCATAATGAGGAGACCACAGTTAAATGACCATGAACCAATCAAACGGATCGCTCACCATTACAAATGGATGCTGTTTATAATCTTATTTGTAACTTTCAACTAGGTTTGCTTTTTAACTTCTGTGTGGAAAATGATTTGGTGGGGTGAACTAAAACATGCATATTTGGAGAGATAATGACTCTTCAGAAGTATTTCCGGGCTACTGGTGACTATTCATTCAGATGCAATCACTGTCATAGCAGGCAGTCTGTAAGAGTTGGTGAGTTGTACATCATGATGACTTTTTAGATAATTTCTCCTCAAAATCGAAATCCTGCCTTAGTAAAATCTAGCGTACAAGCCACCACTGGCTACTGTGACGTCCAGTATCTACTACAGCTGAGGGAACAGAGAGTACTAAGTTTTCGATGCAGTGGTATCAGCAATGTCGAGATATTGCCTCACAAAAGATCAATGGAATTACCTCTGTACTTGGAGGAATTGGTGTCACAGTTAATATTGACGAAACAGTACTTATTCAAGGAAAAATGAATCGCAGCGGTAGGAGAAGAGCAAACCATGTTTTGGCGCTGTTATTGTAAGATACAAATCGTCGAAAAGGATTAGTACGATGCATCTCAAACAGAATTGTTGATGTTTTAATACCAACAATACAACGACTAGTCTTTCCAGGCACTAACATTCACACAAACGAGTGGACAAGGTATTCGCAAATATTATTACTAGGTTATTTTCATCATAAAGTCAATCACTTATTTGAATTGGTGGATCCTGTAAGTAGGACTCATACAAATTATATTAAAGGACTTTGGGCCCATCTAAAGAAATGTATTATAATAGTAAATGGTTCGCGACATGATATGATATCCAGTCATTTGGTGAATCGTTGTATCGACATTAGTTTGATATGTTTATGCATACTGTTATGAGAAACTGGGACCGATTTTGCAGTATATTAGAGACATGTACCCTGTATAATTCATTTTTATTACATATGTCTGTTATAATACACTTCTTTTATACAATAAATGCCACTTTTCACCTAGGAGAATCTGATTGGTCGGTTCAAAGTCATCCCACTTTAGTGTCAATTCCTTACTGTTGCCTATATTGGGAATAGGTAATAACAAAACAAATAAATAGATAAACAGAATTCACCATTTGTCACTATCATAGACGGAGAGTACCCAGACTTATAAATATCTTCCAATGGCCCCCTAATTGGAAATATGTTAAAATGCGGGATGTGTTTGGACGGACAATCTATCGTTGATAGCCGTGAAATCATGATTTGATGCATGCGATAAAACGATAACTTGATTGGTCAATTTTTGACTGGCTCATTTTTAGATTTTCAAGGTCATATGACAAGTCATATATTGATTATTTATTTATGGCTTGAATTTCTCAAAGGATTCGTAATTAACTAGATAAACTCTGTCAATGCTGATGAACATTGCATCGTTCGAACTAGTGGAAGACAAGAAGGTTGATTGGCAGAAGATAGGAGAAATACGATAAGAAGTGTTGATGTGCATTATATTAACATTTATTTACAGACTTGGGCACTGATTAACCACTTGTCAATCTGTTTCATTATCATTTGAAGAATGAATAACCGTGTTGCCCAACCGTTTTCTGTTGTTCTGCAGTGCATAGTGTTCTGCGTATTTAGGCTTATTCTTCAGAAACCAGTGCTAGGCCCAGGATCTCTGTGACCTGAATATTTGACACACCCAGTATTTTGAATTATAAAAAAGTTGTAATTGTTTTTGCAGTTAAATCTGATTTCCGTGTCTATCTTAGAGTGGGGAATATTTCCCAGTGATCAGTTGGTGCGAGTTTCGTGTCTGTAGGTGAATTCTACTAATGTTAAACGACAACTAATAAAATCGGTAACACTGCGTTACAGCAGTAACATGTGAAATGATATACTGGGCGAAACAAACACATTAGGCCATAGGAGTTGATTAACATACTGTGAAGCTTTTTCTTTGATATCTCCCAATATTTCATAAGAATGAACATGTACAAAACTTCAAGATTCTACGAAAAACACCACAAAAAAAGCGATAACGCCTTGATGGGTCTGATGACTGCCACTTCTGCCAATTGATGGACTATATAGTTTATGAACAACACACAATCTGTTTGTACACCTTATGTACCGAACGATAGTGAGTAGTAATGTTTATTTGCCAACATATCCGTTATCACCACATTTTTCGCGAAATTTTTGTGAATCTGGAAACCCAATCCATTTCATTGCATTTTGGAAACGCTATTACGGATGTAGATTTCTACATTTTCTATTTTCTTAAGTTTCATCGCAAGCTGACATCAGTTAGACAACCATTGAAAAGCAGCAGAATACTGAACAGCTGTTTCATTCTATCAGATTGGGCTCTTCATCAGTACGCACCCACTAGGACCTGAATCTACGAATTTTCGGCTACAAGGAAATCATGTAAACCATTCAACCACTAAGATCCGATCCAATGGTTGACCTCTAATAATAATAATAATAATTTTTCCTTCACGTTCCCAGTGGAATATAGGGCTCCAAGCTAGTGGCTTAAAGTTTCTGTAGCAGTGTTTAATTTTTACAGGATGGGGTTGCTAGCCTCATGCCCAACCTTTCCTCTTTACCAGAATTATTTCTGGCTCAGTGAGGTAAAGGAGTGCGCCGGCCGGGGATCGAACCCCGGACCATATGCATGGTCGGCGAGCGTCCTAACCGCTATACCACCGACGCATGGCTGACCTCTAACAATTGGTAATTCAAACGTGGCCACTAACCAGTGTCATTGGCGAGTATTTGTCCTCACTCCCGACCTGATAGACCTCAGTGGTCACAACTTCTCAATAGAACTCCAGTCAACTTTGTCCTCTAGCTCAGTCACTAGTGATCATCAGATTACTTTTCAAGGGTTAGTTTGTGGAGTGCTGATGATGAGTCCTAAGCAAGGACGAAATAGCTGTCCAGTAGTTCATGGCTTCTCAGTTGTCTTTTTTGACTAAACGTCAGCTCGTGATCAAACTTGAAACAAATCAAATTGTTAAAAACTAACTCTTGAAAATTTTCGGCTTTATTGCTCAACAGAAATGAAAGAGATTCCACTTCTGAAAATTTAGTCGGCAAACAACACAGACAGAGAAGGAGAGACAACTGGAGGTTTTGTGTGCATTTCGGATTGTGAGGGCGTTTGTTATCTCCCGGCTGCCCACACCGTGGAAGTTGGTTGCGTGACCGCAGAGCCCAGGGGACAACTGCTTGAGGCCGGTCACACGCGGCCTGTTTTTGTTTGTTCTCTTTTGTTTGGTGTGCCTCAGTAGCATACTTATCACTCCTGCCCTGTGACACGGCAGCAGGAAGCGCGGTCGTTGTTAATCCGGGCCACAGTCGATCCTGCATGATATTTTGTGAATTTGTTTGAATCATGGTATTGGATGGGTTAGCTGCTTTTTGTTTAACCGCTATCCAAACAACCTGCCTGGCATGGAAGAACCTCAAGAGACATAAGTCTCAGCCAGTATAGCTTGATTAGGTCATTGTGGTGTTCAAGCCCGACCACCACGTCAAGGTAGAGACAACTGGATGGTAAATTTAGAATAAATATATTCAGAAAGTCAACAAATGCAGACAGATACCTAGATTATAAATCGATATACTCATTCCACATCAAAGTATATGTATCAAGGATTCTCGTTAACAAAGCTAAGACGTCTAGTTACTAGGGTAGAAGAAAATGCATAGAATTAAAATTGAATCAAATAATCACCCACTCCCACCTCCAAGAATTGGGTTAAGACTGTGGTGATTCCTTATCGCAAGGAAATGTTAGACGAAATAAGGAGATTCCTTGACGTATCATGAAATAAGCGTATACTTTCGTATCAAAAGCGTCTTGCACTCGTAACCACCAAAGATTAAGAATATATGAAAGAAAACCAACAGGAATGTGTACACAAAATAAAGTGTAGGGATTGCGTAATGCTATATGTCTACTACAAGAAACCTCTAAACAAATAAATATAAGCGTAAAAGAACATAAACAATACTTAAAGATAAATTCCGAAAATTAGAAAACAAATCAGTAACTGGAAGTTAATTGATGGATAGTGACTAGCAGTGGAATCCAGAATGCGCATTTCGTCCTATTCGTGACTCGTCAGCCAAGCGAGTGATGTTCCCACCGAGGCTCATCACTCACTTCGGAATGCAGGTATATCCGGGTGACGAGTCCAGAATAGGACGAAATGCGCGCTATCCTCGATTCCACTGCTAGTCACCATCCACCAATTAACTTCTAATTACATGCCCAGACATATCGTCGAAGCATCTGCTCAAGAAGCTGACACGTCAACATAAGACCGAGCATTTCGGTCCAATCAATCGACGGGAAAATCTAAAATTGAATTAGATCAGCGATTGTACTATATTTTTGGAGGGAAACGGGACACGAGATTTAAAATTCGGGATATTCTTACTGTATACCAAGTCACCCATGACCTTCATTCTACCAATTCCATTAACAACAAATAATATACAAGAGTACACCAGTGTTGTTGACAGTGTATAACAAAATAGACTTATGATAAGTTTGTGGAACCATTCATTCAAATATTGATCAGAGGTCATGCAACAAAATAATTAAAAAAATAGGTGTGGCAAATTACACTTAAGTATGAGAAAAATTGGGTGTGCTTATTTGCATATTCGTTATCTGTAAATAGTTTTGTGTCCTATATTTTCATAATGATATATATATATATATATATATATATATATATATATATATATATATTTACATATAAGGTGTACACCATATTAATTCTGCAAATAGCCAAATGTTTTGTGCGAAATTTACACTGTTTTCCAATTCTAAACATTTTAATGATACAAAATCACCAGTTTATTAATCCCAGTACAATAAAATAAATAAAATCATGAATTGATAGATATTTGGAATTCATTGACCACAGTAACTGAATGCTCGATGAGCTTGATTTGTAAACCGGAATTCATCGTTCACAAAAGTTCATTTACTGACTTCAATCATAAATGAAACTTGAACCAGATCATATCCCCACAAATTAAGTCTTAAAAATTATTCCGATGCTCATAAGTGATGAAAGTGACTGTAGTTCTAGTAAAAAGTCACAACCGATAAGGTCCATCACCTCGGCCGTCAGAACAAATATTCGACGATGATATTGACTGGTGTGGTCAAGCTAAAATCATGAATTGATAGAAGTTAGAATTCATGAGTTAGTCATTTGATTGGGTCTGAGTGGTGGAATGGTCTACGAGATTTCCTCATAACCGGAATATCCTGTGTTGGAGCCTTAGCGAGTGGGTATTGCTGAAGAGTCCCAAACCAGAACGAAACAACTGTCCAGTACTCCATGTTGGTTTTCAATGTCTGATATCAGCTGACTAATGTCAGCTTGAGAACGAACTTGAAAACATTTCTTAGTTTTTTGACTGAATTTTGTATTTTCCTTTGATTGAGCGTCGGTGACACAGTGGTCAGGACGCTCGCCGACCATGCACATGGTCCAGAGTTCGATCCCCTGCCGATGCACACCTGACATCTATGGTTGGCCTGCAAAATTTAGGCTACCGATATCACATGCTAAAAATTCCATACTTGTACCAAAAATACGGTGTGGAATCAAGCTGTAATAAAAAAATTTTTAAAAATCATATTGAATGGGAATGATCGATCCCTGTGGACATATCGGCTACTAGCACGGACGCTTCGACGACGGATTAAATGTTTTCATTTCGTGAATGACGACTAGCAGTGCAATCTAAGATGCATATTTCGTCCTATTTAAGACTAGTCACCAGGATAGCGTTTTGGTGTTTGAAACCATGAGAACACCATCACTCACTGGGAATACAGGTACATCCAACTGACGAGATTCCCATACAGGATGGAAAGCGCATCCTAGATTCCCCCAGCCAGTTAACATCCATCAGATGAAAAAATGTGGAATTTCATTTACAAAAGTACATTGGGTCATTTCGTTCAGAGTACATGTAGAATATTATGTTTTAATCCACACATAAACATTTATATTTACTAAACATATACAGAAATAAATTCGGGTGTCGAAATACACATAAAATGACATTATAACTAACAGAAAGCTATTTAGCAAACTAACGTTGGAGAAAAGCCTGGTAATGAAAGTACACACACCCATGTAGATTTGCCTATTTTATTTCAATAAGGCAATACACAATAATTATGATAATTTGCTTCGCTCCAGAACACAAAGATATCCATTCTCGAGTAAAGAATTACAAAGATCTTGAGAGACTCCCCTGAAGAAACTCTCACATCTCACTCACTATTTAAAGCTCGCCCTGAAATTCAGTTCTATCCCGACAGCTAATGTTAACTTCTTCCTGATATGATGAAATGTGTATCCTGGAATCCACTGACAGTAACCGTTAACCAAAACAATATCCGTACCAGAGGGCCTGTCACGTGTCAACAGAAACTGCAAATTTTGGTCCAATAGAATTAATCAAAGGGAAATACAGTACAGTTAGAGAATCACTGAAAACCAGCAGGGAGCATTCGACAGCTTCAACGTCCAAATTATAGTCTCCTCAGTAGTAGGCGCCCACAATTGAGGATCTTCAGATTGCGATGAGATCCTGCTGATCATTCAGCTACCATGTTGGAACCAGGCGAAGGTTGAATTTCTGACTCTGTCAACTTGCAGAGTCCCAAACTAGAAAACGAAGTGGCTATTCAGTTCGCCTCTACACCTGATGGTCTAAGCCTAAATTTATTAAGCAATTAAGCCCCGAACTAGGACAACATATATGTCTAGTACCGACAGTACTGTCGTTTTCCAGCGTAATCTAATTTTTTGAAATGGTACTGAAAGAAGATGGCCGATTCACTTTATTTCATTAAACTAAATAGATGAATATCTATATCTAGTGGTAGGCTGGATAGTGCGACAGACAGCGGCGGGCAGCGAGAAAATAGGTATAAAATGGACCCCCACAAAAAAATTGGAGGATCTGGACTTCGCCGGTGATATTTGTCTGATTTCCCACGAACTTGAATATATGCATGTGAAAGGCAACAAGTTGTCAGAAGAAGCATCCAGAGAAGATTGGACTTCAGGTGAACACAGAGACAACAGAGGTGACGAAGATTCCTGGCCAACACTAACAGCAACAACAACAACAGACAACAATCAGCGTAAATGGGAAATATCTGAAAGAAGCAACCTCCTTCACCTACCTACCTACCTGCGAAGCATCGTTTCAACTACAAGCAAACAGAACTGACGAGGATATCAAAGCCAGAATCGGAAAAGTAAGACCAGCTTTCATTACTCTTAAGTCTGTGTGGAGGTCAACATCACTCAGCATAGAAAATAACATCCGGATTTTCAACTCCAATATGAAGTCAGTGCCACCTACTATACGGATTAGAGATTTGGCGCGTCATAAAGAGCATCTCAAACAAACTTCAAACCTTCATTAACAGCTGTCTTCGCTTAATATCACTCAAGATCAGATGGCCAGAAACGATCACCAACAGGGATCTCTGGCAGTGAGCGAACCAACCAGGAACCGATTGTGAAACAAATAAGCAGGAAGAAATGGAGATGGATTGGCCATACTCTGAGAAAACCATCACGTGACATCACTAAACAAGCCAACGCTCGAGTGGAACCCGAATGGGAAGCAGTGAGTTGGTCATCCGTGCTGGGATGGGGTGACATGGAGAAGGTCATGTGAAGAGGAGATGAAAGCATGTGAGCAGATGTGGAGCCGGGTGAAAACATAGGCACAGAACCGAACGCAATGGAGACGTGCGGCTAAAGCTCTATGTGGCTCCAGGAACTAAAGGAAACAATAATAATAAGTGGTTCAGCTTACAAAGGTGTGAAAAAAACACAAAGTGGTATATTTTCTTAGATGAAGTATCCCTAAAACTTACCAATAATTGTAAATGTAAATAAATAGTTGATGTTTCACGACCTGTATCTTGTAAAGTGAATGGTCGTGTAACAGACATATTCTTCTGTGTTAATAATATCTTTAGTGGGATGTTGCAAGCGCCTAATTTTGTTTCGGTTCGATTGTCTCGAATCTACAATAGATTGAAAATTATTTTTAAAAGAAATGATGGAATACAATTGAAGATTAAAAGTATACATGTACATACATCATACAAAATACACAATGTACTCTATTCATTCAGTCTTTATAAGGTTAAGTGTAAGACTCTGTAACACAATAAAGATTTTTACCCTGGACAATAACTTTTACTTGATTTTTGAAAGAATTATTACAGTATAACATTGAGCACAAGGCAAACTGGAGTTTGAATTTAAGGCACTATTGTTATTACTTCCATTGAGTCCCATGTTGAACATATAGCCTCAAAAGCACATCCTTGCAGTCGTTTCCAGCTGGCCCCACATGTGTCCATAACCTCTCACCTCTTCTATACACAATATCCTCCACCTCATTTTCAGACCCACGCCCAACTCGTCGTTTCCCATTCAAGTTCTACTCGAGGGCCTACATTGCACGCGATATCATTTGACGGTCTCCTCAGCATGTACCCAATCTATCTCCTCTTTCTCCTGCATATTTGTTGAGTGATAGGTTCTTGGTTATTTAATTCAATTTAAGATTTTCCTGTTGATTGATTGGACCGAAGTGCTCGGTCTCAGGTTGACGAAATGCGCATCCTGGATTCCACTGCTAGTCACAACCCCACAAATTAACTTCTAATTATACACCCAGACATTGACGACACCTGGGTAGGTGAAAAAAGTAACTCCTTTCGAACTTCTTCCATTAATAATAGTCGTTGTTTGTTGGATATCTCCATCTCCTCTGTCGTCTTTACGTTCTCTTGAAGTCCCGTCTCCGCTGTCTACCTCTTCTGCCAGCTTTTTGGTTTTCGTCTTTTAGTCTGACATTAGACATGTATCATCTGCGAAATCCAGATACTCTAGTGTCTTTTGATCGGTCTAACGTATTCCTGTCTTCTCGGTGCTCCGTATAATACAGGAATATCATTAGTGATAACAAACTGGTAACCTTGTCTTATTACTGTTTTCACTTCAAAGTCTTCGCTGAGTTTTCTGTTATGGATTACTTGACATATGGTATTGTCATGTAGTCAGCTGTTGAATGAGGTTGATACAGACTTAAGGTACTGCACTGCATGGCGTTGAAGTAGTTTCCAAATTACTTCGCAGTCAACACTATCGAAAGCCTTTTCAAAGTCTATGAAATTAAGGTAGACGTTTGTCTATTGCTCCATTATGGGTAAAATTTGTTCTGATAAAGTCTCACAGTGTTATACAGTAATGTTTACTGATGACCACGTTTCAAGCACAATTTATTGTCAATCATAATCATATGAAGGCACTACTCACACAACTTTCGGAGTTCGTCTATATAATTCCATTATTTTCCATCGCTTGATTTGATTAATAGTAATATTTTCCATATTTCCGGTAAGAGTGATGAGTCATTCCTATTGCATATGTTGGCTGTAGACTCGATGAACCAGGCAGGATTCAGTAATCAACCTCTCTCGCTCTCCGCCTACCTATATTACCTTTTAGAATTTTAACCCTCTCCCACCATGATATTGTGTGGTTGTGTGTTAATGCATGCAGTGCAGTTGCTGAACTTTTTCTAAATTACTAATCTTCTCGGGGTCAACCATTCTTACCTTAGCTAAATTCTTATGTTCTGATAATCTGACTACCCCTGACCTACTAGTTTGACCTATGTAGTTGACTTAACTCACAGTCATTGGAGGGTATTTTGTAAATTATATTATTTTGTCTAATTGGGTCAACCGACAGGGTCCTTTAACCTACAGAGCTTGTCCCTGAGTGAGTTTGTAGGTTTAAATGCCACTCTAATTCCAACTTTATTCAGAATCCTACGTAGGGTCTCAGATGTCTCCTCCTTATATGGTATAACAGTAGATGCCTTATATCTTTTCTTATTTATGTTATCATTACTAGTTTCACAATTATTTTTCTTTTTCTTTTGGTCTTTACTGATCCTCCTTATGAGTTTTATATGATAGTTATTTGATACCAACTCTTCTTCTTTCTGTTTTATTTCATTATTTAGGTCTTTTTTTGTACTACTTAGTGCTACTGATCCGTTTTTGTCTATTGCTACGAGTGAAATAATCTAACTATAGCAGAAGCTGATGGACTCCATCAAGCTATGGACAAACACATGGCGTCATCCTAATAGCTCAATGTTGTTTCTTAGGCGGTAAACGTTTACTTTTTCCAGGGTTTCTATACTTCTAACTATCTTGATTCTTCATAGCAAAACCCTCGAACGAGTAAAGCAACCGATAGTGACATGGAGGAGATCGGGAATTATGGGGCATGATAAGGGCCGGCTAAAGGCGACCGCAGAAAATAGGACAAAGTGAAGACGTGTTGTTGATACTCCATGTTCCAGTCAGAACCCAAGGGAATAGTAATAATAAAACATGTTTTTAAGATATGATAGGATTTTTAAATTAGCTACTTAATATCTCAAAAGTAGTGAATGATACGCATTACCATCTGAATATCAAAAAAGTTAGGCTTAAAACTCATCAATGTAGACTCACAAACCAGTTACACATATCTGTACACGATTATTGGGTTGTATTATTACTATTATATGGCATTTTTCAAGCAGGTTGCCGCGAACTTTAATCAACAGCCACCTATTTCTCTGGCTCCATACTAAAGATCAGATGGCCTGCTGGCCTGAAAGAATTAGCAACAAAAAACTCTTGGAACGAACCAATCAACAATCAGTTACTCAACAAATCTTCCGAAGAAAGTGTAGATAGTCTGGACACACGCTGAAGGGACTGTCGAGTGAAATCAAGCGCCAGACTATCCACTCGAGTGGGACACGACGAGTTGAGCATGTGTCTGAGGTTGACATGGAGGGGTATCGTGTGAGATGAAAGCTTAGGGTAATTGGAAGGGCCAGTCGAAGAGGACTGCAGAGCACAGGACAAAGTGGATATGTTCTGTTGAAGCCCTATGTTCCACTAGGAAATAAAGCGAATAAAAGCAAAGCATTACCTATAAAAAGAATTCGTAAGTTTTAAAAGCAAAACTATGTATCAACTCATTAGCATTGAGATTCGGTAATACACACACACACACACAGAAGGCAAAAAGTATTTTGATGAAAACCAATCAGCTACATGGTTAAGAAATAACTTACAATCAATTGTAGAATATCGACATTAGGATCACTGACAAGAAAGTGATGAACAGAATTCCAAACTGGATTTTGTGTTTTCTCCTTTACATCATTCGATTGATAATCACGTCCCAAATGTAAATTACAAAATGGTGATGGTTCTTGAAGTTGTTTTACGCACTAAAGCAAGCAAAAATAAACAGAACAAAAATATAATGATAAACAGATAATCTGGAGTCAGGAATTTGAGAGAAAAGATAAAAACAACTTGCGGTTAACTTAAACAAAGCGAGGAAAACAAATGTAACAGGATAATATGAGATCTTTTTCAAGTATATTGTTTTGTAGGGATTTGAATGATTGGTTACAGGATTTCCTTATGAGCTGACATCGGTTAGAGAACCATTGGAAAACCAACTGGGAGTACTGGACAGTTGTTTAGTCCTAGTTTGGGACTCTTCATCAGTACACACCCACCGGTTCGAACATAGGTATTTCCGGTTACAAGGCGATATCGCAGACCATTAAGCCACTGGAACCCGACCCAATCAAATCCCTACAAACTAAGACTTGAAAATCAATGAGGTGCTCACTGGCGACTGACCCTATTTAACTGGGGTTCTAGTAGGACGTCATGACCAGTAGGGCGCAGCAGGTCGGGTGCGAGGACAAATACTCGCCGAAGACATTGGCTAGCAGTTAGGCTATATCGTGAATTGGCAGAAGTTGAAAGTCATGGACTGGCCATTTAATCGTATCCCAGTGGTTTAATGGTCTACGAGCTAGCCTTGCAACCAGAAGGTCCTGCGTCCGAGCCCTGCCCGTGGATGCGTCCCGTCGAAGAGTGCTAAGGTGGAACGAAACAAATGTCCAGTACTCTCAGTTGATTTTCCAATAGTTCTCTAACTGATGTCAACTCATGATGAAATCCTGTAGCCAATATGAGATCATCTTTCAACACTTCAAGAATCCTTCTCAACTGGTCGGTGACAACTTGAACAATGTAAAAATATGTTTGCCCAATATATATATATATATATGTATATAAGTTATATTAAGAGTTTGAGCATACTTTTTTCATGATGACAAGGAGTAAGGATTTCAAGGTACTAACTATCCTATTGGGCACTTGTCATATTGTGGACATTCTGAAAGCGTCCAAAATAATCACCAGCAAATAAGAAATACAGCTTTCTGAGTTTTGCTAAAGCAATCACTAATCAAACGTTTAAAACTAAATTTATGAATGCGGAAAAAGAGAGTGGTGAATCTTGTACTGCCTTGACGATATAACAAGATATAAATATGACACGCTTTTTCCCTAGCAAAAAACTTGGTTACCACTTTTCTTTTCTTCTGCCTTTACTATACTACTCAGTTCGCCTTCCTACTAAATGACATACTGGTAATATTGGTTAGGTAAACTTACAGTAACATAACACAAAAATACAGGCAGTCAACGTTATACAAAAAGTATTATTTAGGAGAACTGAATCACTCATGCATGACACACCTCTCGTCATAGTAATGAGTGAATTCACTTAAATAAGCATACCTTACAACATCAAGTTAAAAACGTGTTCATATACACATAAAGAAACAAAAGCATACATAATAGTCTACCAGTGGTGAAAACATTGAGAAACTCAGTAAGATCTGCGTAGAATCTGTTGTCAAGGGGAGCAGCCAACAACGTAATAATTTCTTTCACATTTGGTCATGAGTTCAAATCAGTCAGAAAGCCATAGAAAACCGGGGAGTACTGAAGAGCTATTTCGTCCTAATTTGGAACTCCTCATCAGTATATGCTCACAGGGACTCGAACCTGGAACCTTCGGCTTACAAGGCGATCACATAGAAGGTTCAAACAACGGGATTCGACTCAATGGCTTATGAATTTTAAATTCTATCAATTCGTAATTTTAGAGCAACCTCCAGACAATGTCATCGGTGAGTATTTGACCTCACTTACCACCACGTGGACTCCACTGGTAGAAGTTGAAATTCATCGGCCATCGGATCGGATCCCAAAGCTTAAATAGTCAGCAAGCTCGCCTTGTAACCTGAAGGTCATCATTCAACTGATGTGCACCACAAGCCAGGACGGAACAATTGTCCAGTACTCCCTGATGGTTTTCAATGGTTCTCCATCTGATATCGATCCGTGATTAAAATTGAAGAACAAATCAAATCCTTACAGACTAACTTTTGAAAAATATTTTACTGCATCTAACCGGAATATATCAATGCGATAACAGACAATACTCGTATATTTCTCATGATTTAGATTAAACAAAATACAAGTTTTCAAAGTACGTACACATCCATAAAAATTCTAAAATTTTTAAATTCATCAATAAACAATTAAAATTTCCCACCCTTAACCTCTAAATCAATAATTTAGAGAAATTATGGAAAATAATTCTTTATATAGTAAATAAAGCATCTAAATAATAGAAATGCTATAACACTACACTTGTTATAAGAAATATATCGGCGGGGAACAAAACATCTTGATGTAATAGATAATTAGCTGTATCGTGAATTTATCGCATCCACTGTCAAACGAAACCAATCTGTTTCAGTGTGGGCCCGGTTATAAGCACAATCGAAAAACATTTCAGACAATGAATTATTCCACATTATTATCACAAGAGAATTGACTGACTTAATGGCGCACAGTGGAACGGACGGGTAAGAGAAGTATAAAATAACAGACAAAATTATTCCCTACACTCGTCCAGTCGGCGGAGGTTGATAGACTATAACATTCCTATTCAACCTTTACCTTCATTGGAGCTTAAGAGTTTTAGTAGCGTTCACACACACACAGACTACAGCACACATTGCCCATGGTTAGATGCCGTGAGATGGTAAAAATCAAAAGTAGGAAATTTCTGGGTATTATGACTTGTAATAGATCCCAATAGCACAATTTATCAGCGAAACATCAAGTACTACTGTAACAGCAGAATGCAAAACACAGAAGCTAAGGTCGGGGTGGGTGTCTTGCGCTGCGGGTTGGCCACCCCTCCGTACACCTCTTGAAATGCTCCCATATGACCGGGCGTCTTACACAGCCTCTCCTGAGGAAGTCCTACTCACTGCCTTCACGTGGCGGAGGTGTTTTTCACCAAAGTGAGAGGGCGAAAGCGGATGCCGGGCGCTCTTCACCGGGTTGACTGTCCATTGGATGACAGTCTAGGGGAGATGGCTAAACCCTGATTCCAAACCTCCAACGACTGGTGTATGAAGCTCACCGGCAGACGTATGGACAAAGGGCTTATTGGATGCCCTGGATGACTGGCCCCATTCAAAAAGGCGAATGAACCGGACTCCGGTCACCGGCTGCCAATGGATAGTGGACTCCCTACTCCACTCCTACTGCCTTGTAGGTCACACTTGGTTGTGTAAAGGCTAGAGCTGCACTCTCAAACAAAGGCCGAGCGATGCTGGGGACATCACTCGTACCCAATTCCCATGAAACTTCATGGTTCATGAAGCCGGCTCATCCTCCCGTAGGAGATAGCCGAAGTAAAGTACAGTAAGTATATATGTAAAGTCTATATTCCTTAACCAATCATAGAGCGTGTGATTTTGGCTTAAACTAAACGAAATGGAATGTTCAAATGTATATATATATATATATATATATAGTATTCTATTGCTAACGCAGCATTGAACTGTGAGAATAATATTCTGAGTCTAGCAACAAACAAAATGTTTAAATAGATATAGCGTATTCTGTTGCTAATGCCGTCCGTACTGAACTGTGAGAATATGTGAGAATAACATTCCGTTGGTACACATTGTCTGTATCCCACCACCATACTACTTACTGTACAGCTAATGCTCATTTCAGTATTCTTTATTACGATCAGAATCTTTCTTTGTTTTTAAAGTTCGTTCATTTTCATTTCCTTTGTGTTCATAAAGTGTTGAAGGTTAGAGTTGATGCAATCCCTATGGAAATTTTTCTTATAGATAAGGCAGTCAAAGAACAACAGTACTTCTGTTTTGAATCTGTAAGACAAACTGGAGACAAGTGTGAAAATCAATAGCATAAGAAGACACCGAAAATACCCATTGACTCATGAAGAAAATAAAAGACAGATTCAGCGAAAAAAATTTTCTTTGTCGACGAAATCATTTTCACAGGCTGTAAAGTCGTTCTTATACTTACAAAAAATATATAGTGGTCTATTATTGAGTAGTAGGGGGTGACACAATTGATATAATTACTCAGAAGTAGTCGCTTTAGAAGTGAAAATTGAAAGTTGTAAATTACGCGGTACTCAACAGCACAAACTCAGAAATTTGGTAAGGTTAAAATTGCTCTTCAGTGAGAATAAAGGTATTTGAGTGTCAATCTAACAAGTGTGAAGAGGGTGTGAAATCTACAGAAGGAGCATATGAGAGTGATAATAGTGAATTAATTATTGAAGCAAAAGCAAACTTAAAGTAAAATTAAAAATTAAAGAAGAAATGAAAATACCAAATTTTGTTTGAGAGGGAACGCCTAGTGAAGAGGTTAGGACCAAGGTAGAATAAGAGACTGGACAAACTGTTTCTGTATACAGAGTTCAGGGTTGTATTGACGAATTTCCAGCGCCTCCGCCATACACAAAAGCCGAAACCTAATTCCCTTTGTACCATTCGGCTTCACTTTGTAGATGATGTTGAAAGATGACTCTGGTGGAGCTAAGTGGCCTGAGTTCACCAAATGCTCGAGAATTGAGCTAGTGATTGTCTTGCATTGTCCCTTCGCTAACCATGCTGGATAATGTTCAGAGATGCGTTTGGAAAGCGTGCGCTTTGTGTGCTCGGCCAATATAACTAGCTCCACACGAGCACGTGAATTTATAAACACACATTGAGGTGGCCCAAAGCGGAAGTTTATCCTCCACACATCCATTGATCATTTGTCGGCTGTAGAAACTGATAAGTAGTTCAGCCATAAAGAAGGCTTTCTTGGCGATGGCATGTCTTGTGAGGTCACTTGATGGTTTCCTCAAAGTATGGCCAATTCACCTCGAATTCTTCCTGCATATTTGTTGCAAAGTCGATTCCTGGTTGGTTCGCTGAAGGTCTCCCCTATTTCTATTTATTTATTTATTTTGATTACAGCTTGATTCCACACTGTATTTTTGGTACAAGTATGGAATTTTCAGCGTGGATATCGGTAGCCCAAATTTCGCAGGCCAACCATAGATATCAGGTGTGCGTCGGCGTGGGCTCGAACACCGGACCATGTGCATGGTCGGCGAGAGTCCTAACCACTGCGCCACCTGATGTGCGCATTTGAGATTCGGTGACTCAGATTTAACTACTAAAGGATAATGACTGCGTCCGGCCCTTTTAACATTTTTTTATTTGTTTATGTTTTGAGTGGAACATAAGGCTTCAAGCTATATCTTTGAAGTTTCGTCAGCAGTGATTCTTATTTGTACAGAGGTACAAGGGTTTCCAGCCTCATGTCCCAACCTCACCCTTTTTAATGTCCCTGCTAAAGGTTTAGCGAGGTGTACGAGTGCGTCAGCCAGGCATTCTATCGCTGAACCAACTATGAATCCGACCCAAAGTACACATAAATTATCAAACGTCAAACAATTTCTATGTTAATATTTCCTGTACGAAAAATGAGGCAACCACATTTGAGAACTAAGACAGAGAGTTTTAAATCAATTCAAGCCAAACAGTTTAATAAGGCATCCTCTTTTCTTATTTCACAATGTTAAGAAGAAAGTTAGATTTTGCACTTCAAAATGGCACGACATCACTGTGTTTGCGAAAAAACTGAAAGACTTTCATTTCCGCCTCCCTCGAAAAGACCGTCGGGTGACAAGGCAATTAAGTGGAATTCGAATAGAAAACGGTGAGTTGAGCGTGCTTCCATGGATGAAATGAGGACAACCTTCGAGTCAACTTTGAAAAAACACTAAACAGGTAACAGGATGAAACAGAAATATAGCGCTGAAGCCTTATATTCCATTTATAATCCTAAAAAACTGAAATCATTCAACAACTAGCCAGCTCACATGGCCCCACTATCATTGACGGCATACAGGTTGAAATTACATCTAATGTCAAGTACCTTGGATTGAGTATTTCCTCCGATCTTTCCTGGTCCTCCTACATCTTGCTAGCTACTAGAAAGATGTCTCTACGTTTGGAAGTTAAGGCAGTCTGGTATAAAACAGTCTTTGCTTTCTTAGTTTGTTAATTCTTGTGTTCTACCCATCCCCCTTTACTGCTTCCCATTAATCTTTCCTGGACTACTTAAGAAAGACTTTGCTTTGCTGAGAAGGGCACTAAAAGCCGTTAGTAGGGCTAGTGGGATATCGTTAAACCAACTTGTTAACATTATTGTGCATAGACATATAATGTCATGTAAGAAACTAGCGAATACAATATTGTCAGACACCGAGAATCCTCTCTATACTCAGCTGTCTCCTTACATTTCATCTGGTAGAACTAGAAGCAGCTATAGGAGGTTATATGCTAGGACTACCAAGTACAAAAACTCCACAATACCATATCTGGCACAGCTGTTATGTGCGTGATGAGAAATCCGTTAGGTATGACACGATCAACTTACTGCGGCACTCTAACAAATAGTTCCCACTAATTTTTGTTTTCCTATCCTCGTTACTATTATATTGTTGTTCACATCTTCTGTTACACACTAATTTTATATTTCATATCGTGTGTGGTGCATTGTTTAAAATGTGAACGCAACGCTTGTCTTTTTTATTTCTTTTTATTTATCTATTTTTTTTGGTTGTTGCTTTTTGTTTTCAAAATCTTATAAAATTTATGAGGTAATTAGATGCAATAAATTGTAATGCACGCTGCAAAATTCCATAGCTATACCACAAATACTGTTTGGAATAAAGTTGTTATTATTATTATTATAATTAATAATAAACAAATAATAATAATAACTTACTGGTAGATTATGCGCCTGTTCAATAACCACATATAAAAGACCTGAACTCATACTACGCCCAGAAGCTTTACGATATTGCAGAGCCTGTTCCATAGCCTATGACCACAGCATCATAATCAAAGGAAGATAAAAGTAACAATAAACGAGTAAATATAAAACACTTTGTTTTACTTAAAGGTACAAAACTGCCAAACTTCAATGAGCAAAGCAGATCAAATTATGCGAAATAATAATCAGATCAATCATTAGAGCAGCATGAGTTGACAACAAGTAACCAACAAACAAACCAACAAACTATAAAAATGATCACACAGACAACAAATGCTGAGACATTAATTTTAAAATAAAGAAGAGGAAAACTAAACAAACAGAAATCATTAGTAAATAACTAAGATTTTAGTACACCAGTGTATCATGAGACTGACTGCTTTGTTTTTGATTACACATAAACATATATATACAATATGTACGTGTGGGTGGTATGCGCATGCATCACACACAGAGCGACTCAATCTTGTTTACATATATAGTTTCCAGAGAAAATCATACTAGAACTACACCCCCAAAGAAGAGTAAAAACTATCGAGCTAAAATTTTCTTTAACAAAAGAGGATAAAGGAGGTCCAGTGTGTAATTTACACACATTTTATAAGCCAGTCATACATTTCTTGGGTTTCAAATTTAGTTTACAGTTCGAGATACAAATAGAGCACTATAATATGAAGGAGAAGTTACAATTCTATACTATTTCACTTTTACTTCATTTACACAATGGTAATTAATAACAAAATATATCATTATTATTCTTGTTGAACCTTTCGTATTCCAGATGAGACATAGGACTTCAGCTGCATATCTCCGTTTTGTTGTGTTCCCTGTGGTCCTCTTCAGATAAGCTCATGATTGTCTATGAGCTCTCATCACCTCCTCATACAACCACCTCCATGTCACCCTCGGATTCGCGCTCAACCCGTTGTTTCCCATTCGGGTTCCACTCGAGGCATTGTCTGGTGCGCGATATCACTCAATGATCTCCCCAACGCATGTTCAATCCATCTCTGTCGCCATATTTGTTAAGCAATAGATTCTGACAGGCCGCCCATCTAATCTTCAGCACGCAGTCCAAAAAGTGGGCAGGTAATGACTAAAGTCTACAACAGCCGGTTGGAAATGACGCAGGTGCAAAGTTTCTGACGTACACAGAAATACTAACTGACTTAAAATTAGTGTTGAAAATCAGAATTTTCTTCTTTACATTAAGATAGTATGCGTCCAAAATGATTTCAGAGTGATGAAGGCCTGTCTTGACTTTCCGATTCTTGCTGGTTTTTATATCCACATCCATATCGCTGCCTTTAGTTGAAACGATTTCTACCTAGATAAGTGAATGAAGTGACCCTTTTCGAAATTCGCCCGTTGATAATGACTGCTGCTGGTTGTTGTTGTTGTGGTTGGTTGATTGGTTATCTTCATTATCTCCGTCATCTCTATATTCACTTGAAGTCATATCTTTGCTGTTAGCCACTTCTGTTGTCAACTCGTTGGCTTATCGCTTGTAAGTCTTTGAATTTATGTGACACTAGAAATAAATCATCCGCGAAGTCAAAATCGTCTATAGTCTTCTGATCCTATAAAAACGTTTTATAAGTAAGTCATACATGTTTAGGTTTCTATTTATTTTTAATTCAATTTTGATTTTTCCCATCAATTGATTAGACCGAAATGTTCCACATGTGCTGACATGTAGGCTCGTGCCTAGTACAGACAATAGACGATATCTAACGATTAAAATGAAGTAATTTGGTGGATGGTGACTAGCAGTGGAATCCAAGATGCACACGTCATTCTAATTGGAACTTTTCAGCCAGATGTACCTGCATCCCCAGTGAGTGATGGTGTTCCCACTAAGACTCCGAACCCAGTGGTTAAGTGGATAACAGGCTTGGTGGTTGAAATGATGGGTAGTGGGTTAAATTCCCAGTGGCAACACCACCACAAAGGACAGTCGAAATGAGCATCCTACATTCTACTGCTAATCATCATCCAGTAAAATTACTTTCAAGTTTCTTTTTAAATTACACTTTAAGATAAAATTAGTGAAACATGGTAACCAGGAGGAGCTGAAATTTTATATTATTTAACTTCTGCTTAATATTTTTAATATTTTATTTATTTATCTTCCCAGTGTAACATAGAGTTTCAAGCTAAAGCGCTACAGTTTCGGAAACAGTTATATTTATTTTTAAAGGGAGGGGCTGCTAGTCTCTCGTCCAACGTTTTCTATTTGCAGGTTTCATTACCAGCTTAGTGAGGAGTAGAAGTGCATCGGATGGGAATTGGACTTCAGATCAAGTGTGGCATGATTGGGGCGAGCATTCTACCTCTGAACCACAGGCGCACTCATTTTAATTTCCACAGTTGTATTTAACAACACAATTTAATAAGACTGAAAGAATTTTTTGCCTCATTAAGATTTGATGATACAGAAAGCTGAAAATACAGGAGTATTCTCTACAATACACGGGATGTAAATACTTTCAGAAACTCTCGGAGCCACGCGGTATCACAGGACTGAACAATCGTACACAAAAATCTAAATATTATAGGAAATTAAGACATGTACAAAATAAACCAAAATGGTGTAACCCGTGAAAATATACGCACGCTCTAGTGATGAGTAGTCATCATTATATGCCTAAAATCTATGAAGCTAAGCGCAGTGGCCGGCTTAAATCACTGAGCTATCTAAATTTTTCATCACCTTAATACATCGTGTTCACTCCATTTCAAATTGTTTTTATGATACACTTATGTTTAAGAATCGCAATGCACATTTTCAAATACGGCTTCAAAATACTGCTAGAAATTTTCGGATGGAAACGGATGAGAAACATTGGGGATTATTAAGGCATGCCTCGGATAAGACAACGCCACTTCAGCTGATATGTTGTCGTCTATTTTTTAACTTAAAGATTCTATACACGAAAGGTAAGCACCCTACAATAAGAAAATTGCTGAAAATTCTGTATTGTGTATAAATGCATTTTTCAGAAAAGAGATACTATTCTTACAAGAAAATCAGATGAAAGCCTACAAAGATCGATCTACTACACACCAAAGTGGATAAGACATCCACCAAACTACCACAGTTTTGTTCCAATGAGTAGAAAAAGAAACCCCATCACCTTTCTTACAATGAGAATCTACTGAATATATGGACTGAAGATGCATTGAATAAGCAAACTGGAATCCTTCTGAAACACTCTGATTAAAAATGGATATCAAACCTTTTTCATCGATAAACTAAAAACAGCAAAGACTGCTCCTCCTCGAAACCTCGATGTACCAAAGAAACAAATAATTGTAAATTTGATATTCAATAGAAATGCATTTAGTAACATCCTCCGAAACTGCCTGTCGACAGAGATTCAAAGAAAGTTCTCTCCTTCATCTATACGTCTCATCTTTACATATGCTCTTATTTACCAAAACATCAAAGACAAGATGCCGCTGTTGGCAACTTCAATGAGTATTTACAAATTCACCTACTCCAGTGGAATTAATGATATAGGTTGTACCAGAAGGATATTGTTTAGATGTGCCCATGAACACTTACCAGTATGCCGACTGTCAAAAGAACGTAGAACAGTCAACAGCTCAGTTGTGGAGGATATTCTCACTTCTAGTCATGTAGCATCAGCAAAGACTTATTTCAGAATCATATGTAAAATATCACCAAGTCCTTTCAAAAAAATTTAGCCTACATCTTCTTCATGCAGCTGAAGTGTAGGCACTCCTTAAAGAGAAACCTAAATGTTTTGTTCAGAAATGTTTTATCCAGCCTTTTTCACTACCGCAGCCTTAGCACGATTCTTCTCCTTTCTTTCTTCCCTGTATTATAAGCTCTTTGCAATCAGTTTTATGTTCTTCTTAAAAATTATTTTCGATTCTTTGTTCTCGCCTCTCTTATCAACTATTTCCAAACGATTATTCATCACTGAACTACTTATTTGTCAACCCGCCTACGTTCCAAGTGAAATGTAGGGCTTCAAACTTGAGCTTTGAAGTTTCTACAGCAAAAGTTTCATTTTTATGGGGCACGGTACTATCCTCACCCCCAACATTCCCTCTTCACCGGTCCTACTAGCGAGGTTTAGGAGTGCGCCAACCGGGAATCGAACCCCAGACCACTCACGTGGTTGGCATGGGTCCTATCGCCGAACCACCGACGCACAGCCTCTTGACTACGTAAGACTATTCCTCATTTTTCAAGCATAGTTATTACTCATGCACTTTGTTACTAACTGACAACAAACTTTGACGTCTGTTGTCTGCCTACGTCGTGTACATACAAGCTCCCAAATAACTGTACAGCTTTGAAGGGAAGTTATGAAACGAAGATATATCTTTACTGACTCATGCATTCTCAATTAAATGAGATGAGAATTTTTCACAAGTTTAGGAGATATAGATATCTCTAATTACTTCGTTGAGAAACAAAAAGTATCATCATTATTATTACTTTTGAACACTGAGAAAGATAGGCAGCTGTAAAATTTCATCTTCCTTCTCTTACCTCGTTCTTAGTTAAGTCCCCAACCAATCAGAATATTTATTTTTTTCACCGACCTAGACGAATCGTTTACCAATCAGAATAATGTATTTCCACTGCCCTGGGCCGATTTCGATGTTATATATATATATATATATATATATATATATATATATATATATATATATAACAGTTTTTGCTTTCTGATATCTACGTAGCTCAGAAGAGGGTACCACAGTCAAAAAGGAGTATTTAGCATATCAGTTATTTTTTTTATTTTTTGGATTACAGCTTGATTCCACACTGTATTTTTGGCACAAGTATGGAATTTTCAGCATGAATATCGGTAGCCCAAATTTTGCAGGCCGACCATGGATATCAAGTGTCCGTCGGCAGGAGATCGAACATCGGACCATGTGCATGGTTGGCGAGAGTCCTAACCACTGTGCCACCGACGCACAGTTGAGGTATTCATTATTATACCCACGCAAAAGTTCACTCAGTCACATCAACTGTCGACGTGATCATATCAAGTTGACGACAG